GATAGATAGATAGATAGATAGATAGATAGATAGATAGATAGATAGATCATATTCATCCTGGGTAACAGCAGATAAGTTAACAGAGGGATCATAATCTTCCACGGCATGCCTGACCCACACACACAAGCCGCTGCTCGATCTCCATTTACTGGCTGTCTAAGAGCAGACTCACTGTTATCTTAGGACACACATTTAAAACTAAGGAAGTAACGCAAAAAGTCACCTCGACTGGATATTTCATCCAATTGTGCACAGACTCAAAAGTTCCCAACAATCTACCGTAGCCTTCAGTGTCACAGCAAATAGGTGCAGCACAGCTAAAACACAAACAGTTGTTGACAGGCGAGCAGTGCAGTCAGCGAACACCTTGCCAAGGTAAATCCCCGTGACATGAGCTCACCCTGCGCCCCCACAGCTTACCTGCTTCATTTACCTGTCCGGGACGCCTCGCTTTGCCGCGGTGTCACAAAGCCACCCATCGCGCCTCGACTGCTCGGGGGACCTGCTCGGGATTCTCAGGGGCCCTCCGGTGTCACTCGGTACTTCCGAACGTGCCCGTCTCCCTCCATTTATTAGCGGAGATTACCGGAGCGCTGTCTCTGCGGCTCCAGACTAATCCTGCCCTCTGGGAGAGGTAGCGGAGCGCTGACGTCACGCTATCAATCCAGCCGCAAGCTGTCCACCGCACACGTCCCGGAGTATGGACACAAATCCCCTGGAGGCAAAACACACACACACACACACACATTCACACGGAGATAAATCAGTGCAGGTCTGCACAATTCCAATCTTTATGGTCAAGACTGGAGTCGGAAAATGGTGTAATAAACCAGCAAGAACTCAGACCCCCTAAACAAAGATCTTAATAATAGGATCTTCCTTTAAAATATCAGCGTTGAGCCAATCTGAAGCTGGTGCAGAGACCTTTGGGTGGGGGCACACGACGGGGAAGTATTGGGTTCCACTGAGTGCAGTTGAAGAAGGCAGGGTTGAGCACAAGTGTGGAGGCCATCACCGGCAGGGTGTGCTGGAGCCCTGCTGCTTAGGTCAGCAAAACTCCCCAAGTAAGCAGACACACTCCACAGATCTTTGGATTGTTGTTAAATGCAGAATTGTTTCAAATTTATCAGTTTCAGGACTTTCCAGCTGCCAAAGCTTGAATCTCAGAACTTTCTCTTACAGTTGTCATCTCCTGCAGCACACGATTAAGTTTTTAATGTAAACACTTCACAGATGAGCTTGTTAGGATGTAAAGATTGTTTCCACAAAGTTACAAATCAACCAAAGCAAGTAGGACTTTTTACCAGTCAGGGATTCCTTAAGGTTTATTCATCTTGTTTTTAAAACATTTCTGATCTGCATTCATTGCTTTACTTATTTTCTGCACATTAAATACATAAATTAATCAATGACTTGTATATAATATTTCCTTTTGAGCTGTATGTCTTCTTTGCAATTGTTTCAAATTACTTTGATTCTAATAACGCTAGTTTTTGCTGATAAGTCTTTGTTTCAATTTTTGAGTTAAGAAGTCAGTTAAAGATTAACCCATTTTCCTTTTTTGTTTTTCCTATGCATGCAGCATTAGTTTGAGGTATTCAATCCTACTACTAAGATAGACAAATCGCAGAGAGAGCAATCTTTACGTCTTTTGGGTATAGATCTTTTTTGGGGGGGAGGTGTAAAGGAGAAAAATGACAGTCCTGTGAAATGCAAATTGTCGGAAGGGACAAGGAGCATCACTTCAGATCAAAAGCAGGCTAGCACATGCAAGTTAAGCACAGGTCTGGAACACTGCTGGCAAAGCAAAAACAGCTTTTAAATTGTTGTGGCCAACAGTTAGTTTGGCTAAATTGATCCCTCTGAGGGAAAATTATAAGATCTTTTCTGGCCATGTGGAGGAAAAGATACCACATTCAAAAGCATGATGTGCCAAGAATATCCTCTGGACAAAAAAATCAATGTATAATTTGACAGGAATTTTGCCCCAGAAATTACTTACTTTTCTCCACGAGCATAAAGTTACCCTCTGAGCTCAAAGTTAGCAGAAAAGAAGCAAAAACACGAATGTGCGATGACTCCATAAAGTATTATGTTTGTGTGTTTTATTTATGTTTTCAACCTGTAGTATTTGCTTAACTGCTATTCAAGAATTAGAGGTGATGAATGGTATTCATAAATCATGCACCTACTGCACCTTTAGGTACCAGCCAGCCTAATTATTCAGCAAAAAGGCTACCTTTCTTAAATAGGATCCAGCTATTAAAGCAACTGCTGTGTGCAGGTGTTTGTGTTCCTATTTAAAGCATTCATTGATCAGTGAGTTTCTGAAACTCTATGAAAGTACCTCGCCAGCATTTTGTCGCAGCCCACTGACTACCTCCACCCCTCCCTGAAACCACACAATCTCATTTCCAAACACATACACAAAAGATAAACCTTCAAACTGAGCAGCAGTTGAAGACTTGAGACTTTACCCGGTGCTGTGCTCAGCACCTATTGGAGCAGTATTATTCGTTTTATTTCATACACTTCCCCATCGAATCTGTGTGTGATAGGATTGAACTCCAGTAAATTAAAAGTGCATATGTTTGTCCCGCTGTTAATGGAAGCTAATTCCATTTCCAGGGATTTGTATTTTTGAACTTTTTACACAATTTCTAAACATTTTTATGATAATTTAAGTCAGAAAATGACTGCATTTTAATTTGCTGATATGTTATGTGATTGTTTGAATTACAGGATCTCTGTTTGATTTCACAATTACTTAAAATATACACCTGTCTCAACATCAGGCTGAGTTACAGATTTATCCATATCAATGCAATAATGCTTTAGATGTCCATCCATCCATCCATCCATCCATCCATTTTCTGAACCAATGATTCGTGCAGGGACTGGAGACTATCCCAGAAATCAATGGACGGGAGGTGGGTACACCCTGGACGTCCGCCAGTCCATTGTAGGACTGCTTGAATTCTTCAAATTCACCAAAGCATTTAACACATTTTTTTAGTATTTCATGGCAATTCCAGGCCTGGAAAAAGAGACTAAAAAAATAATTTCCTCTTAAGAGTTTTATTTTTTATATGGGAATTCTGGATTTTAAACTTGGCCAGTCAATATCTTAAGATCATATTCACAACACTTGTGTAAAGATGTCTTAGTTGTATGGCTTACCACAACCAACAGTTGGTGGGCTCATAAACTGAATATTCCTAATTCACTCAAAGGTCCTGACTTGCCTCGAAACAAAACCAAATGACAGTGTAGATCTTACTCTTGAAAAAAAGTTTTAAAAAAAACAATTGCTTCAATTGTCTGCATTCAGTTACCTGGCACACGTGTCAGTGAGTTAATTATAGGGCTCTTGAGGACTTGAACTCACCCCCTGGGGACATTAAACATGAGACAGGGCTTGTTTTTAACAAGACATGGTATATTACTTTAGACCCCAAAACTCTTCTGGCCATTGCTCATATTAACTCACAGCCTTTTTGGTTTTACCACAAGCTCCATGAATGCTTAAGTTTAAAATCAGTGAATACCACAACATTTACAAGAGGAGAGCAGAAAACACCAAAGCAAGCAGAGATAAAGTTCTGAAAGCCTTTTTAAAAATGGGTACAGAGAAGTAAGAGCCCTCAAGACGAAGACAGCTAGATGATATATTTACTGAAGGTAAGGAAAAATAACATGTTTTTTCTCAGATCTGCTGACTGTGATTGTGTCTTGAGTATTTCATGAACTTCCCCTAGAGGGAGCAAATATGTGGCCTTCAACATCCATCAACTTTTGAGTGAAATGCCACAGGAAGACAGTCTGCTGACAGAGAGGATGATAATCTGTGCATATTGTTCAGTAGTTCTGAAAAATGCCCAAGGACTTGAATTTCTTCATCCCTTTCGCTGTTTCTGTATGATTCTCCCTTTTAGAGCATTAGAAGGAAAGCAGAATGGTTACATTTAAAGGCAGGAGTGTTGGCTTGGGAGAGGTTATGGGGTAGTCGTTGGGTACTTTGTCTGAGTGAAAAAAGAAACAGAAGAAAACTAAAGACTCTTATATTCTGATTAGACTGTCATTTTTGTGATGGTTTTTAATGGAGGAGGGATAAAGATGCATGTCCAAACACACTCCTATGGAAGATACTCATGAATCCATGAGAAGTGGTCTTTCCTGCTGTAAACAGAAAGAGCGGAGGGAAGACAAGGAGCAGAGAGGAAATCCTCTGTTTAAATGCCAAACTGTGAGTGCCATTCTTTCCCTCCTGTTCTTATTTCCTTTGTGTACCCTTCATTCTTCTGATTTTGCACCTTCATCTCCCCTCCGCTGCCGCTCCGTATCATCTCAGGGTTGCAGTATAATCAGATTCTCTATGGGCTGAATATTTAAAAAAAATGTTGATCTAAACGTTTTTCCATAGCTGCAAATGGGGGACAACATTTGAAGAAAAGAGAGACTTTGCTGAGTTGAGAGATTCTGTTTAAATGAACAGTGACAGACAAAGAAATGCAAACAGTGAGCGGTGCATTTTGAATAGACCGAATCCTGCTGTGTGCACCACCTCGCCACTGCAAAAGCCAAAGATGCTGAAAGTGTGTGTGTAAATGTAAAGAGCAGCCGCCTGCTGACAGAGCACCACAGAGCACGCATTGTGCTTGTGTGCACCTGAGTGTGTGTATTTCTATAACTCATTAAGTGGGGAGTTTACTGTCATGAGCTGGTCTCAGTAAAGTAGATCATTAGATTCAGGAGTGAAGTGTTACCTTGGGATTAATGTGATCTGAGTCTTAAATAAGGGTTAAGTTTGTCTGCACAATTTTAATGTCAGATAGTGCAATGTCCCCTGTAGGGATGGAAACCCTTCCTGTTTGGAAGAGGACTAACAGTTGGTTTTGGTGACAAAAAAGATTAAGTACATCTTTTAATTGAGTACAAGTAACTGAATAGATGTGGGGACAGTTTTTATATCTGGAAAAATACTTTAATAAACAGTTAAAGCAATGTGGCTGTATGTAAGTCAATTTTCTGCAATTCTAAACAACATTTTCAAGTGTTTTTCCACAAAATAACATCCTGGGTAGAAGGGGTTAATTTTTTGTTTAACAGGCTTGTTTTGTTGGTTAAATCAATTACATTCACCTCATAAAACATGAAGGGGTAACACTGAATTAAGTTTTTACTGGAATGCTTTACTTAAAAAAGTAACACAAGCAAGTACAAAGTTACCATCTTTTTCAGTCTCTTTTTTGTTTTTGTGTTTTTTTATTGTTAGACCTCCACTAGCCCAAACAGACGTCTCAGTGAGGTTGAGGATGGTGTCAGTGAAGTTTAAGCCCTACTGGTGACTTGTGAGGGAGGAGTGGCAGTAATTCAGGGAATTTCTAACTTATACCAGCATACCAACACATTAGATTTCAGACAAATACAGCCAGATACATGTCACTAGTATTGATTGATTGAACAAGCTCTTTGTCTTTTTCCTATTTATTTTATTTATAGAATCCTTTTCTGGCTTGCTCCAAACTCATCTGACAATCACGTGGAAATCTGACTAAATCATCTGTTCCAAATGTAGGTGTTTTGAATGTTGGGACTGATATTTCCAACACAGATCAAGCAATTTAGTGGAAAGGCTGGAACTATTAGGTTTTATACGTGCTATATTTAGTTCGCAGGCTTGTTAAAGAGATCACTGGCTTTTCCAAACTCTTTGAGCAGCATTGGGCTGTGTCAGCATGTCTTTTTGAGGTCTTGTCGCACTGAATGCTGCTAATTCTCCAGCATGGGTGAATGAATGGAGAGTGTAAGCAGAAATGATTTACACATGCTGATGATTTGCCTCCCACTGACAAAGAAATTCATAGCTGCTGCTTTTTTGGCCCTCATTCCTTTGATGATCAAAACATGTGCTTAAATAGAATCAGAGATGACAAGAGCAAAACTTTGAATTACTCATTTGTATTGTGGTCTTGAAAATATGCAACTTTAATTTTGACTTTGTTTGTTTTGAATAATTTAGACAGATCTTCGTGTTTAATTTGAGCCTCTTTAACATTCTGGGAGTCTAATCAGGACCACTTGCATTTGCAACATGTGCTGAAGAGTCACTGCATTGTTTTTTTTATTTGAGATGGTGTCAGGTCATCAGCACATTACTGTCATCTGCAGGACTAAAGACGTAATGACAAAAACTCTCTCAGTAGATCAAATAGCATTGGTTCTGTTATGCACAGCACCTGGCAGACAACAAGACAATAAATAGGAATATGATTTCTTTATCTGAGGGTGAGGTTGTCGCCAGCTAAAGCTGAAACATTGCAAAAAAATTGCATTGTTTGATCTGAAAATATCAAAGGAATCTCTCTTTTTTTGGCATGCAGTCATTTTGATATTTAGTTCTTTTTCACGTAAAACAAAAAAGGGCCACTGTGGCTGAGAACGTAGTATCATTAGGACCTTGCAAGTGTCTGAGCTCCAAACTTTCCCATCAGTGACAAATTCACCAATTCACTTATTGACTCTCCTGTCAGCATGTGTTGGCTCTTAACTTCTACAAAACTCTTGTGTATCTTGTGTAAGAATGACGCCAAGTTTTTATCAATTCATCTGTTAGCTTATCTATTCTTGGTGTCTTAGATAATATTTGATGGGTGATCCGATTAATGTCCTTTTATCTCTCAGCAGGCCTGCTCTGTGTACCACTGCATCCACAGGCCAGAGCAGCTAGATCAATGGTATTGATGAGAAGATGCTAATAGCAGATGCTAATAGGGCCCGTAATAGACCAAGGTTTATATTGATCTGCAGAGCTAGCATCTAATGCTAAAACAGCTGATTCAACCACATAGTTTGACCAAAAGTGCCACCTTTGCTTGGCTTGAGTGTGGGTTTGTGTTTGTGTGGTAACAAAGTAAGCAACAATACATTTCTGCAAAGTAGTACACAAAATGGAGTACGAAAGCCAATAGTCAGATTTAAAACTGAGTAAAGTTTTATATCAAAGTTTGCATACTACATAAAAGCTCATTTTTTATTCCAGACTAAAACAAAATCGGATGTACTTTTCCAATATCAATTTGCAGATTATTCTACCAATGACAAAGCAACTTTTTAGCCACTGTTTTGCATATTTAAGTCCTTATCTTGTTTAAATATTAACATTTGGCCCCAAGGAGGCACCCTCATATTTCTGTTCCACTGTTCTTTCATGAATGGTTTTTGGCTGAACGGTCATCTATATGGACACAGTTCTGCTCTATGACCCCTTTTTCTTAAGAATCCCTTCTTTATCTGAGAATGACGAAGGCTACTTTGTTATTAAGCTTCTTCAACACTACAAAAATGAATATTTGTCTTTCCCCAGATCTGTGCATTGATCAATGAGTTTCCTCTTTACCCCTCGCCTGATTTGTTTGGGAATATAAAGGATATATTTCCTCCCTGTCATTCCTGACAGGGAGTCTCATTGCTGTTTATCTGCCGTGCTCTTGTTTTGGAGTTTGGAGTTGTGCTGGGAAACTATCTTAACTATGTGTAAATGAGCAGGAAAAATATTTTTCAAACTGAATAACTTACATGAGTAAATGCGTTGCCTATGTGCAGGGTCTTCAAATGTCTGCACAGATGTCAGAAGGAGCTATTTGGCATGGTCAGTATTATCATTCAATCATTTGTCCGATGGGTCCCGAGACAAAAAGAGGCAGAATACTTTTTAAAGTACACCTATGCTCTGAATCTCTCTATGGGGGAGCTGCTGAGTTAAACAAAGAAAAACGAGACAGACGTTTGACAACATAAAGAGGATAGTTTTATTAATCAGGTCATTCTTTACATCTGTTTCTACAGATATACATTCAATACATTTCAGACTAGGCAGTCAGTTAAATTTTACTCATAGATGTAGTGTTGCGATGATTTATTTTGAAAAAGAGCTCATTCAGCAGTTCCTTCTGCATTACAAATTTCCCATGTACTGTGTCCCGTGCACATACAAAGGAATTGCTTTGGGTTGATTAACATGAGGAGTCTCAGGGACCTCAATGCAAGTCTCAATGGCCTTTGCTTACATTTCAGTAACGAAAAACACATAGCTTGCTATACCTAGATCATAAATACTTACTACATCATAACCATTCACCTTGTGCTCAAATCAAAGCTGTGCTGCAGTTTAAAAAATATTGACGCCAATAACATACAGGAAATTAAGACTGTCCCTATAGATTGTTTACAATAAATGTTTACAGTGATTTTACAGTGTTTTGAATGTCCCTGGTTATCAGAGAACGATGGTGTTCTATTGTAATCTTTTATATTACAGGAGACAAACAATGTGAATACTTATTGGGATGTAAACGGTTTTTACATTGAAAAATTGCTGGGAGTTGTGAAGGTGTGTTTGCTTGTTTGCTTATTTGCTTATTTTTGTACTAAAGCCTGGAGAAACAGAGACATTTAAAACAGAAAAATAATGTGAGCCATGTGATAATGTAGTAAATAGCTGTTCTACATACACAATTATTCAGTCATTCCTTGGTTATATAAATGGGTGCCATGGTTACCAATCACGTGTACAACAAGGAGCACAACACCACAGGAGTCAACACCAGTCTTACTGCCACCAAACTACCTGCAAATTCTTCCTTTGTCTTTCACCGTGCAGGATATTCAAACCATCTACAGGAGTTATGAGGCAGACAGCATAATCAATTAAAAGTTATGGAAAGAGAACCAAAGAAAACAATATTTTCTCTTTAGGGTGGACAGACACAGAGAATGAATATATTACATCAATGTGCAGACAGCTCCGTCATCAGAAAGACAAATACTTTAGAAGTTTAATGTCTCTGACATCATCCTCCACCAGTCCGTCAACTCCTCACGCTCTTCCTCCTTCCTCTCCAACAGAGACTCCAACTCGAAATCCACCTGACGAAGGCAAAGAAAAAACACAAATAAGACTGGAGGGTAAGAAATGAATGATGCAACAGCAGAAAAGCTCTTTTCTTTTCAACTTCCACTCTATAAATTTTGTGGGTTTTTTTTCCCCAACGTGGAAGTCCATTTTCACCTTTGTGAGAACAAACTTCAGTATAGAAGAGTTTTAATTTCAGGGTAAATGAGATGTTGGATTCTGCCTGGGCTTGGATGTTTGCAGAACACTGAGTGGCAGATTGTTTTGATTTCTCACTCAACCTTTAAGCAACTGATTGGCAGGGTCACCTCTCGCTGGTGTGTCTTACCCTGGTTGCAGGGCTGTGGGGAACAGCCACCTTCTTGATGACAGTCAGGTATCCTGGGGCAGAAGCAGCCACTTTGTAGTTTCCTGGAGCCAGAAGGCGCCAATAATCTCCATCTTTGGCTGCAGAATAAAGATTAGGTCCTCTTTTATAATTGGACGCAGATCAAACCAAAAGCAGTGAGTTGATGTTCAGTGGGAATAATGTGGTGAAAGTTGGGTTCATTTACACAAACCATGTAGTACCTGAGTATGTCCACAAGATGGAGCTGTTGCAGCACGGTGACATGAATGTTTTTCCTTTACTGAGGTAAAATGTGTGTTTTGTCAGGATTGTGTGACTTTTAACTCAAGAGTAATACCTGTGGTGATGTCATGGCTGATACCCTCCACAGAGATGGTGGCATTAGAGAGGGGATTGCCGTGCAAATCACGGACAAAGCCCTTGACACCACGGTGAACCTGCAAACACGCGCACACGTATGATTAATAACATTTAAACAAATATAAGTAGTTTGATTAAAAAAATTTTAAAAATCTGAAGAATTTAACCTTTAACTTTATTAACAGAAATTCATCCAAATATATATATTTTAGAAGACTCATAAGAACCTTCAAAGTGGAACTATTGTGGCCTGACTAGTTTTCTCCATGTTTTTTTTTGTTTGTTTTTTTGTTTCTGTTCAGGCCTTGTAAGCATGACAAGCAGCAAAAGTAGAGGAAGTGTTTCTCTGTTATAGCACAAAAAAACAACTTGTGAGGAGTGTGACTTTAACAGCACAAGAGTGCACTTTATGTCTTATACCTTAGCATCTGTCATACTGAGCTTCTCCTTATTGTTTTCAAGATTTCCCCTTTTCTTACTTGTTTGCTTTTTTTTCATTCTACCTCAACCAACCTATGACCAATAAATCTACACTGAGTCACCACAACATCCAGAAGAGTCACAGCAGCCCTTACAAATAAATAGTTTAGTCTTTGAGGTTGGAAGGTTGTATTGCAATAGTTTTTATCCTCTGATCAACATGATGATTTTTATTCACTGGACATGCTGTGTCACAGGTTTGTCTCTGGTTTGGACGCATACAAAAATGATGAAAAAAGGAGACCATGTGGGATCATTTTTCGCAATGAAAATCCCAGACCTGTTCGATGTAGTTGACGAGGGAATTGCGGTTTTGATCCCAGTAAGTTTTAAGAGTGTCCTCACTGGGGAACTTGTCACAGCTGAGCTCCAGAGTGATCTCAAAGCAGTTGCTGCTCAGATAATTGAAATCCTGCATACCTGCAAAGAGTAAAAAAAACAAAAGAGATCAATAATTTTGTTAAGGTAGATACGTGAATAATAAGCCAATGCCAAATAGATTTTGATGCATCAGAAGCAAAGGCTGATGGAAAAAGGCCTTTTTGTAAGCTGGACCGTTAATGAATGCAAATGATCAATTTTTACGGTTACAATACATTTTTAAACATTTAAATCCATTTGAAATAATACAACATAATATTCAAAAATTATGTTTAAATTTTATTTGGAATATATTACAAATGAAAAATAAAAAAGTTAGCTTGACTCGAGCTTTATTGAAACAGAGTATTTTACTGTCTTTTACACACAATACAACTAAAGCAGCCTAAAAGGGACACTGATAAAAACGTCCGAGCATGTTTCTTTTGTTTTTCATGCCCTTCATAACTTCAATATGTGACTGAGGTAAAGTTTGTCGTGTTGGGTATTAAGTTGGTCGCATTCTACAATTAATGCTTTTAGATCTTTAGACACCCAATGTCTAGAGATCTTAAAAGTGTTTAAAAATCAACTTTCCAAGACTGAAAACACAGTTAGATCTTTGCCTGAGATTGCCCGGGAGCAGGTTGTTTCTTACCTCCAGGTACACTGTACCAGGCTCCACCATTTGTGATGCCATCCTTAAAGCTGGAGTCGTCATCATTCTTGCGGCAGGGGGGTCGGCGGGGGTCGGACATGACAGGATTGTACATGGAATAAGCTCTGGCCAGAGACTTGAACATCACATCATCCGGACTGGCGCTGTACTCGTGGGTGGATCCTTCAAGGAGGTGACGATCAGACAGAGAACAACAGGGCAAAAACGTTTAGACAGCAACTGGAATAAAATCCAGAACAGCTTAATTTGCCTCTCTTCAAAGGCACGTCTGGGCAGTTTGTTTTGTTTATTGTAGTGATAAATATTTTCCGAATTAGATTTTAACGACGTTCAGGAGAAAAACAGAATTGCTTGTTTCAGTTGCAAGTCAAATACGGCTCATGAAATTCACAAAACTCTCTCATATAAAAGTGGTTACGGCACATGCCGTATTCCTGTTTTGTATCAGTATGTACCAGTTCGAGTCTCGTCATATGGATAGTTGGCAACAATATCTCCTCCGTGCAGGTTGGCTGAGAGGACGAAAGGGATGTCCATGATCCATCGAATCACGGCCTTAGTCTCTGGAGCAAGCTGCAAAGGCAAAAAAGAATTAAACCACAAAAACACATACCAAAAGAAAAAAGGTTAAGTAAGTGAAGCCAAAACAAATAACCGACCAAAGTAATCAATACTGTCTAAAACCACAAGAAAGGAACAGCGCATTCTTGGCATAATTCATAACTTCAAAAAGCCATTCACTTTCATTTTTCATTGCTGGGCTTGATAAGCTATAAATGTTTCCAGTTTTAAGCAAACTTTTAATATACCATGAGAAAGAAAATGTTTTACTAACACTTAAATGGTTCTTATAAGACCTTACTCACACTTTTCTAAGTTAACAGCAAAGAAAAACATTTAAGAAATGTTTCGTGGAACTTCAGCATATTCAAGGTGCATTCAAGAGAAGGTGGTTTGCACTTTCAGCTTTAAACAAAAAAGGGTTCTGGTCCAAAACCTGGACAGGGTCTTTCTGTTCTGCTCGTGTACATGTGGGTCCTTTCCAGATGAATGAACCAACTCCAGTTAAGCTTAAAGGCTGAGTAGTACTGACTGGACAGACTTGAGTCATACAGTGCTGTTCTAGTTTTGTCATTTGGTTTAGCAGTGGCCGTATCTTTAAATCACTGACACGGTTTGATACCTTGGTGTTTTCGTCTACGGCCTTCTTCATGTTCTGCAGCAGGTGATTGTTGGCTCCACCCTCACGCTCGTTCATGTAAATGATGCGATCCAGATCAGGAAAGTTACGGTTCAGATCCACCCCCTGCGCATTGCTGCGGCCCACAAACCAATCCTTGATGTCTCCGGGCTGTGCACAAAACGGTAATAACGGACAGACACACGAGAATTAAGCAACATTTCTAAGACAGGCAAAGGGATTTTTGTCATGGTGTGCGCAATCACCTGGGAGGCAGCCTTCTCAAAGCCGTCCGGGTTCATGGAGGGCATGATGTGGATGCGGGTGTTGTGGATGAGGTCGATGATGGTCTCGTTGCCCTGCTGGTACTGGTTGCATAGGTACTGAGCCAGGTAGATGAGCAGCTCTCTGCCTACAGCTTCATTGCCATGCATGTTGCCAATGTACTTAAACTCAGGCTCACCTGTGGGAAAATAAAAAGGGTTTTCTAAGTGTCCAAACTTTATTCTAAATTATTCTAAAGCAATAAGCTGGATTGAAGCAAATGAACATTTTCAATTAAAAAAAACCCCACAACAATATAGTATAACAAAACAATATTTGCAAAAAAAAGAAAAAAAATATTATTTTCAATGGTAATAGAAACCATCCTGATTCGAAAGTTCAGATAAAGCGTCACTATTTGCTATGGAGGTTAAAGGAAGACACACACGTATTAGAACAGGATGTACAAAATGAAATGGTGACTCATCAGTCTAAGGGTTAAGCAGAACAACACATTATAGCCAAAGGCCCATTTTGTCAGAACAAACTGAGACACAGTGGATTAGGGAGAGACACTGTCGCTTATTGTTCAGCTCGACTCAGAGCAGCCTGCTGGTGACAGGTCTGAAATTACATTTACTGAGGATTTACCTCCTGGACATGGTTTTAAAAAATCAACTAAACTTCATCTGGATAAATCAGCACATAATGTGTGACATATGGACATTCACGTTGTGAGAAGCAGCCTTTTATCCTTACATACAAAGGCCAAATGATGAAAACAATTGCTCCATTCAGTAAAATAAAAACACAGATTCATGGATGATATACATTAGTATAGAATAGCTGTTAATAAAATATCTATAATACATCCAAATTGGATGTAGACTTTGTGAGACTTTGGGAGGTCTTACCCAGTTTGAGAATCCAGTTTCCCTGCCATATCATTCATATCACACCTGTGAGATATTATCACATTTTGCACTTCTTTTCACTGATATTACTGAAAATGTTGTACCATTTATCAGCAGCATCCTTTGCTGTTTGTTATGACAGCAGAGTATATTTCAGTGACTTCGAATCTCTTATCCGTACCGTTAAAAACAAAAACACTTTTGCGAGAGACACAAATTATTCTTCGGAGCCATATAAAGTCCTCCATCAGAAAAGCATCCTGACAGACAGAATGACAATGTGAGATAAAGCGTGCTGTACAGACTCTTTTGACTAAAAACAAACCCGAGATTAATGGTTCTCTGTCACAGTATGAGAACAAAGGAGATTCTCTGAGTCGATGGAAAAGAAAACACTCTTTTGTGCAGATCCCGTTCGACTTATGAAACTCAGCGATGGCGAGCAGAGCATGTGTAGCACCGAAGCTGTGGGGTTCCTGGTTCTATCTGCTGCTTTCATTAATGTTTTTGTGGCTCTCAATATTAATCTGACAACCAATATATTGCATAAGTGTAATGTTTTCAATGTGTAACTGTATATGTATGAGATTTCATTTCTCAGAAGGGTTGACGTATTAGCAAATTAATGCCAGCCGCCCGTTTGAGAGAATAACACACATATACACACGCCCAGAGCACATCTGGTAGTCAGGTTATTTTTAAACTCTTAAATCTGGCTCCTTTGCTCTCTGAGTTACAACTAATGATTTCAAGACTTCAATTAACTCTTTCCCTCCTGAGAATGGCGAATGGCTTTTGCAGGCTTTGAGAGGGCTGACAGCACTGACAAACACACACATTCACATTCATACACACACTTTGATGTTGGAGTCTGCCAGTATGAGTTACCATGATTCAAGCTATTAAACACATGTTCCATACCTGGAGACTTTCCCTTTCCCCCATAAAAAGACATGGTTTTTGTTGTTGATTCTCGTGTTAGCGTGTGACAGATTACAGAGCTGTACATGTTGTCTGCATATGGAACACACACAGGAATCCCAAAGGGTCAACCTATGTAGCTAATTTTGGTTTAAGAAGGACTGCGTGCCAGGTGAAGAAAGAGGAGAGGTACTGCTCATTTCCTGCCTAAAACCTGCAAAAACAATAATGGCTAATGCTGCTATTTATATTCAGATCGCTCATTATGGTTTTGCAGATTTCTCCTTTATTAATAGCTCTGTTAGATCTTTTTAAAATCACAAACACATCTGCATCTTTTTTCAGCGAATTGCTGATCTTTCAAACATTCAATGCAAAAGAAGCTTTGATGTTGTCATACATATACAAAGGATGATAACAGCTACAGTCAAACAGTCTGAGAACTGTTCATTTTGAAAACAGTTTTGAAAAAATATCGATTGTATCAGATTCAATAGTGCAGAGTAAAAAGTTATTGTTTATTAGTTATTTATTTGAAGCACTTCATATCCGGTAGATGAATAAGAGCACACTGGTGAGTTTTGCATATTTTATGACAAATTGGACATTCTCAGCAATTAGACTTTGTGTGGAGCACAAAAAAGCCTTAAATTATGCATCAGTATCAACATGAATGAATATTATGTACTATCAAAGCATAATCAGCAAACAGCACATAAAGCTTTGGTCTATTTGAATTATTTGTGTGTGTATTTGACAGGTGCTGTCTTTATCATTTTATGTTATTCTCTATTCAACTATTAAGGTTTCAGTCAGATGTTTTGTTCTTCTTGAATGTCAGACTGTCTAAAATTGAATCTGTTTATGGTAAAAACACATATAAACACATACACACAGCTAACAAACCTTTGAATTAAAAAGGACAAAACAAAAATGTGTAGGACTTGACAATGAGACCTATTTCACTGGAGATACTTAAATGTTTCAGTTATACTTCAGTTGAATGTACCACAGGTAACATGGGTGCTGAAAGGGAAATCCAAAATTCAAAAAGTTGCCAGCCTGCTGATCAATACAGTTACCATGGTGACCCGGTTATAATGACACCAGCGACGTCATTTGTGAAGAGGTGCCTTAGACTGCTCTGTGTTGTCGTGACAACTCTGGCAGGGCCAGGTGGTTAGGGAGACAAATCAACTGGGATATTGAGTACACACACTCTCACTCTACGTCCGTCTGCCTCTCTCGTTCGAGTAAACACACTATCGCACTCATTTACAAGCAGTTAGTTAGCTCATAATGACTGCGAGCTGTGACATCTCCCATTACGGTCTCACCGAGGAGAAATGGCACTGATGACTGAGTCTTTTGGATCATATATTACCTTAAAACTATAAGCGTGAAATTTTCGATCCACCGGGAGTCATACATTACTCACATTTTACACACATAGCAAAGCAATTATTGTGTAAAATGTGATAGTTTTTAGGTAAAGTGACTGTCAAGATTTTATTCTTTGCAGATACATACATAGAAGCTATCCATAAAACCATTATTCCTTCAGATTCTTTTCTCTGTAATTATTCTAGCCATTTAGTTTCCTTCTCACCGGCTGCTTGCTGGCATTATGTTACATGTTCTTTTTGGACTTAGAGCAGTTTCAGTAACTTATCTTTTTTTTTTTGCTTTCTGAACACACAGGAAATGTTTAAGTCCGAAGAGCAACAAAGGACAAGAACCAAGCACAAAAGAGTACTGAGAGGACTACAGGCAGAGGGGAAGAGGGGGGATGTGTGGGTGTTTGATGTATAATGGATGATCTCCAGAGGATGCCTTGCCCTTTCCCGCATTCGCTTTCCATTTCTGCCCCTTCTTTATCCCCTCTATATCTCTTACCCACCCCTCTTGTTCCCCCTCATCACATTTGCAGTCGTGTGACACTGGCCGTTTTCTCAATCATCATTCTTTCTGTTTTTATCTCTCTTTTCCATCAACTCCTCCTCCAACTCAACAGGAAGAGGCTCCCAGTCATAAGAGAAAAATGTCCAAAAAACACATAGTTTTATGAGCTTGATCTCTTCAAGAGCCACTTCAGGGTCAGTAAATGAAACTTCACATGATATGACATATTCAGTTCCATGTCTCACTACTCTTCACTCTAACTCGGTGAGTGTATACATACTTACTGTGAATTTCATTCTTTCTCGGATACAAACAGTTGGATGAAGTGTCATGTGACAGCTTCTGCACCAGGAGAAGTTCTACATATTATATAGAACTGACATTTGTATCACATATTTTGCACATGGTTCCGGACATGAGAGTCAAAACAGTTTAGTCTCGTTTTCTCTGAGAAGAGACACCTCTGTTTATCTTAAACAAAAAAAGCTTTAGGAGGTTTAAACTTGGCACTCAGACCCTTCAATTACAACATAATTACCAACAAATAAACTGTTACATTGTCAGAACTGCTAAATGTTTTTAAAGCATCACAGGTAACAGTTACACTTGATCAACAGACTGAGTGACTGAGCCTGTAGTTTAAAGATCACACCATTATGAACTGAGTGTCCTCAAAAAACAGCTGGAGTAGAAAAATTTTCATTTTGGGTAGGGAGCCATGGAGTAGCAACAGTGGGCTGTTGATGTACCTCCAACTTATCTCCTGAGAAAAACTGAGTCAAAGAACTGAACATGTCTAATTCGTTCTTTGCTTTTAAAGATACAACAGCTCCTACAGTTTATATTGTCCCACTCAAAATGTTCTGACCTTAAGCCAAACGGTTAGACTTCCTTTGCTTTAATACTGCAATTTGTTGCCTGATATTCTCAATATGCAGATGTTATGCAGTAGTAAGGGCCGTGGTCAGAATGATGATGCTAAATATGTTGCGTAGAAAAAATAATTTGATTTGACGCAGAGGTTTGCCTGTGCTCCTCTTCTGGCTCAGAACTGAAGGGCAACAATGTAAAATAAACTAAACCAGTTATCATTTTTAAAACTGGAAAGACAGACTCATTATACTTACAACCTCATCTAAATGTAGTAATGTTTGCTCCCCCCTGGCAAATATTAGTCTACCGATCTCTGAGGACCACAAAAACAGCAGACCTGCCATTCTGGTCTTCAGAATTTCCTAAAGGGAAACCGTCTGTTTAAGCTGCTTACAGGTATCACTCCTTTGTGGGCTAGCCCAGCCCTTCAAGGCACAAAACGAAAAAACATTAAAACAGCATCTCCCGTTCTGTATTTGCTCTGTGAAACATGGGCTAGGCTAAGGAGCAGATAACATAGGACATAAGTTAGCCGATGACAGGTGTGGTTAGAAAATGGAGGCGGGAGAGAGAATAAAAAAATAGAGAAGACAAGAAAAAATACACAAGAGAATTCCAGAGAGCCAATATGGTGGAAAACCAAACTCCTGATCCAAATAAAACAATAATGCTAATGTGGGCGTTTAAGGTTTTTCGGTTCTCTAAGCGGAGTACCAGTGAGCTCATAGTAAGTGCACGACGAGCTACGTTTCCCTTTACGTTTCCGGTCAAAGTGCAGTTCCTGAATGTGAATACGTAACCGGTGTTTACACTCCTGGCTTCAGACGGTTCGTGGCAGATGGCTGTTTACTGACAGATGCATCGGCTCAGGACCATCGTCACGCCAGCCAACCACAGGCAGCCAGTCAGCTCAGTGCACTAAGCCGATCTGTTGCCTTGGCAACCGCTATTTCAGCTCCACCTTCCACAGGGCCAGAGTCAGACTAAATATCAGAGGGACATCCTGAAGACTGATGAAAGATTTGAGATTGTATCCTTTGTGAGTTCAGTTCTACACGTTAGCAGACATTTTCTGTCCTTAAGCCCATCTCTGAAGCCACCCCCTCTTTCCTTGCCCCCCGTCACCCCAACCTCTCTTGACATGGATGTTCTGCTCAGCAGGGCAAGAGTGGAGAGTGGAGAGTGGAGGGGAGGGGTGCCACAAAGAAGTTTTTAGATTGGAAATTCATCTGGTAGTAATGAGGGCTACTGTGACTCATGCCTGTGCACACCCATCGGAGTATTACAGGCTTATTTAGTATGTGCAGTCATTATTCTGTGTGGCTATGTGAACTAGAGCTGCACATCAGACCTGTGGTGCACCATCTAGACCACACACACACCCACAGAGTGAAGCACACCTTAATGCGCATAAAAAGTCTGACAAAACTCACATATTCTCGGTCAACTGTTCTTCACAGTCATTTTGGTTTTAGCTTTTCTGGTGGTTTGTGTTTTACCGATAACTGAGAAAATATTATTCACGTTTGTCACGGTTTACGCTTCTGTTTGGAGTGAACCAATCCCAAACAATCATTAAAGGATAAGAGAAATTCAGGCTAAGTGAGCTATGAGAGTTGCATAATTGTGCTACAAGAAACATGTTTCTTACACTGTTTTCAGGCTTACAACAGAAGCCTTTCTAGGTCAGGTCAGTCTCTGATTAAGGTATTAAAACTGTAAAAGATGCACAATTGGTTTGGTTTACTGTTGGGAAAATGTTTCTAATACAACATATCAATATGTGCTGATGGTTTCAGGAGGATTTCTAAATTATATTTAAGCTTTCCCCAAATAGGAGGAATCTATTAAAGTCAACCATTAAAAACAAACAAAAGACATCCCTCAAAGGTAGAAAAATGAAGCATGAATTGGTCCAGTTAGTGCCTTTAAGCTGGACATAAAATTGTAAGAAGGAAGTGGAACATCCCAGGCCAGATCAGTTCGTAATGCAATTTGGTAAAATGTAATGTAAATCCATGTTTCAGAGTTTTCTGTAGAAGTTGTTATAACATGATACACAGCTTAACGTTGTGCCCCTAATTTGGACAATTAAGGCAAAGTGTCTGCAGAATTGTTCTATCTTCTTTATTTACTAAAGGTTTCGGAGAGAAACATAATGCCCTTATCTTTAATCCAGTTGTAACTGCTGTGTCAGGTTAGTCAAGTAAAGATTCAGCAGACCGTTTTCTCCAGCTGAAATTATGTGTAGCTGATGTGATAAAATCCTGGCAGTAATGGTCTTCCAGGGAAGAAGTAATGTTCTTTTGAAGAAGAGATTTACTGCATTAATTACCACTCTGGCATTTGATATTCAGCTCATCTTTCAAATGCTGTTTTCTGCTAATGAGTACTTTCCCCTTGGGGCCTAAACATTTCAAGATACGATTGATTTGAGCTGGAAAGGTCCATTCACAGTTTACTAAGATAGGGCGTGATCCCTCGCTTTGAAGATGTTTTCACGATTCGGGACAAGCGTGAAGAGATTCTTATCAGCCAGCAAAATGGCGGCTTGGTGTTGCAGATACCACAATCTATCATCTAGGTTCCTCTAAGGTGGTGATGCAGCAGGCCCGCTGCCTCAGACTGCCTAACAACACCTGCGCCCTAACTCCACTTTTCTCTCTGGGGAGGAGGACACCACCCACACAGGTCGTTTCTGCACACTCTCGCCAAAAAATGGGCATCAGCAAGGTGTTATGCGCAAAAAAAAAAAAGTGATGAGTTTTTGTCATCCCAAGCCAGTGGTTCCGACAAATGGACCGGGAACAATGGGCAGCGGAGCAGAATGTCCGCATTGCAAAAAGCAGACTTGGTGTGTGCGTAAAAAAACTGACCAGGCTCGTGCGTCCCCGGGTTGTCGGACATCTCCAGCACCAGCAGCTCGCGGCCCTCGAAGCTCTCTCCGATGGTGTAGATGCGGGTGATGGTCTGGCACTGCAGCCACACCGACACCAGCGCTTTGCGGAGCTCCTCGTAACGGTGGTACTCGAGCGAGATCTCCCCGTCTTTACCGGCCGCGCTGACCAGGGCCACCGCCGCGGCCCCGCACAAAACTGCCCACAGGAAAGGTTTCATTTTGACGCGCTGTCGTTCCTCTGAGCCCCGTCTGCCTTCTGCGGTTTGGTCCCGAGTCTTATCTCAGTGCTGCAGCCTCGCTCTGGGCTATAAATATCTGCCTCTGACTCCCTCACTCCTTCCCTCGGCGTGTGATGCGCTACTGTACCTGAGCAGAGCGCAGACTCTGAACCTCCACTGGAAAGCCAGATGGAAGATTCTCACATCCGGAGACTGCTTTGCAAATAAAGGCTTTAAACATTAAGATAACCTTATGTTGAGAATGCAGGGGATGTCCCACAGAGATGGGGAGAGCGTGTAAATCTAAATATATGAGACTTTCATTCTTTGCAAACTCTGGCTGGCTTGACCAAAAACTATAGCTGCTACACAGTTTATAGATTGAAGCTTCAAACACTCTAATAAAATAGTCTTAACAATCCATTTCTTATCAAATGATAGCATCACTAGTTTCTAAATGACAAAGGTCATTTTTTTATGCTGAATATCAGCTTTTCTTACGTTATGATTAATAAGAACTGTGTAGGTGGAATTCTTCACACTTCATGAAAACCTGCCTCACTTCCTGCTAAGTGCCCAGGCTTTTGGCTGACTTGACACAGCAGTCTGCTCAAGCCATACTTTTCACTTCTTAGCCCACACTTTCAAGATATGATTAGTAAGACCTTCCTGAGCTTACAAAAAGCAAGCATACAAAACAAACGATTTTCAGAGAATACCTTTTATTCTGTTGCACACATCACTGTCCAGTTTTACAGACTTCCGTCACATAAAATTTATGTCCAGATTAAGTTTTGGTTATAGTTTCATATATTTTATTCGACTATGATAAACACAGAAGAAACAGAGCAGTTTTCCTTTAGTTTTTGAAAAAAAGCATTGGATTATTAACTATGAAAATATAGTTTTATACCCCATAAGAACCAAAATCTCATTCCCAGTTCATCCCCAGTGTGCACTGGTTTGCAAACATGTACACCTTATTTCAGAGGTCATCACAAGTTTAGGTCATTTCTACTGAACGGCAGCTTCAGCTGCAGGAAGTAAAGATATTTAGACTCACATCAACGTAAGAGGAAGTGCTAAAGTGCTGAAACATTTAGAGGTAAACAGGAGCATTTCACAACAAAGGAATATGTTACACTTTTTTCATGTCATGAGAAGCAAATCAAACATTCAGATGTTGATGGTTTTTATTCAGCCAGCAGCTGCAAATGCATACAACATACTTCTTTTTCATTAAGGCACTGAAAGCAGAAAAAAGTCAACCTGCTTTTTGACTCCGAATCAAAACCTGTGTGTTGGTTCGCCTGTGACACACTTCTGCTTTGAGTGTGTTTCATTAAGGGAACAGAAAAGAAAAGCTGTGCTCTTTCTATCCTCCTCGTTATTGTTAAAACATCAGATACGTGTGTCCTCAGCTGGGGAATCAGGTAGATTACTGCTCCTTCTTGTCTTCTTGTTTCTGCGCGTATTTGTTGTACTGATTGTCAGTGTTCAGCAGCTTATCCCACCAGGTGAAGGTGGACGCATAGTTCCCAACAAAGTTCATGTGATGGAAGTCGTGGAAACGGGCACCAGCGTAGAACGGGATTAAGTGAAGTGGATTCAGAGGGATGTCATAACCGCTGATGGGGGGACAGAAGATAAGAAGAAGTTACAAATATGTAATATTTCTTTTCATCTGTGATTATGAATAAATGAGCCCCTGAAGTTTTGCCCTACTCAGACCGGGAACAAAAGAGTACGGGTAAAAGCGAAAGGTGATATAAGAGTTTTTGTTTGTTTTGTTTTTTTCAAAATTGAACATAATAACATAAAAATTAATAAAACACTTTTTAAACAGTCTTTAAAAAATATCATGTATTACTTTTTTCATTGTGGTGTATGAGAAATGTGAAAAAAACATTTTAAAAGATTTTTTATTAAATTTGTTTAAATAGCATTTGTATTAACCCTCTAAATTTGATCCATTGTATTCATGATTTATTCAATTCAATCGCATTGGCTGAAGTGGATGATTTGTGCCATAGTCTGGTGCTCTCTGTCTCCCTCTAGTGACAACTCTTGTACATTACAGAAAGATAATGGGAATAGACATCCAGTTTCAGATATAGCCACTGTATAATTTAATCATTTATAATATATTATACAGCCAGTATTTACCGAGAGGTTTAGGCTCTAAAGGAAACGAAAGCTGATGACAGTGTGAATGTATTTGAATGCGTGTGTGCATGCACATGTATGTCGGAGCTGTTATTGTCCTCTACCTGTGGACATCAATGGTCTCCAGCAGACGGAAGGCCACCCAGGCCCAGAGGAAGAACACGTGGTTACAAAAGGTCATGATGCCGATGAAGAAACCAGCGCCCAGGATGAGGGTCTCAAGAGGGTGAGCGTATTCTGCCTGCATGCCAAATGGAGCCTGGCGGACAGCGGAGATACGAGATGTGTGTGCTTTCAAATCAATCGAAGCGTTGGAATGCTGAATAAGTAACTCTTCAGTAAAAAGATTAAACAGACAGTGATGTGTGTGTTTGCTTTATCATGAGTGTGTTATACTCACAGTGAACTCGTGGTGGACTTTGTGGATATATTTGTAGATGCGCCTGTGATGCAGCAGGCGATGGAGGAAGTAATGCCAGGTGTCCTCAATTACAGCACAGCCAAAGCACTGAGCCAGGAGGCATGGCCTGGGGGACACCAGGTCGTTGTCAGAAAATCAAAGTTATAACGACCAACACACTCATTAACAAACACATGTCTAACCATTTCCTTCAAAGAGGTTTCATCCTTCTCTTCCCACACTGCAAAACAGACAATCAAACTGTTACTTACCAGCGTGGCATGGAGTCCCAGTCATATGGGATGCTAAAGAATTCCGTAAAGTAGTATGTGCCACAGATCAAAGGTAACTGGATGCAGAAATGGTTAAAAAGCAACATCTTGAAGCATCTCCATTGTTTCTCCCAGGTCTCTGGCTTGTCCTGTGCATACACATAGATACAGATCACCCATTAGACTTCTGACTATCAAATCATATCCAGGTCAATAAGGAAAGGTAAAATCCACACAAACCGATTGGATCTTGTATTTCTGCATGAAGGGCATGAACTGGAAGAGGAAACCAGGCAGGCAGAACAGGAAGTAGATGAATTCATGGACAATGAGGGACCCCCAGGTGGCAATCTGGAACTTGGTGTAGTTGTCCAGCATGTAGTTCCAGGCATGTTTCAGGGAGGGCTGGAAGGGGTTCTCCGGCAGAGCAGCGTCTACATACTCCACTGCAAGATAAGCAGAACTCAATACGTCTGCTGTGCCGTTCATTGCCATGATGGATGATCCAAGGTGAGTCCAGGTCTGGAAAGAGGCAGATGGACAACATCAGAGTTGTATAGATTACTTGCATAACATATATGTTAGAGTCAAAATGAGTTATGTAATATCAAATCACTGTGCCTCTCTGAATAAAAACAAGAACAGTTAGGTAACATAACAAGCAATTTTGAACAATTGTGTTTTCTTAATCACCATATGATTACAAGTACGGAAAAATGTGGCGCGTCAGCTTAGCACAGTTATGCATCCAACAAAAACAGAACGGCAAGAACTTTCAGTAACAAACAATACAGCACTTATTTTTGCCTAATCTATACGAAAAGCATCAGAGTCATGGTTTTTGTCGTGAAATTACTCTGTCAGGTTAATATCTATTGCACTCTAACAATACTTGTTATTACACTGAAACCTTAAACATGATAATGATCCTGAAGATGGCTCAGTTTTTGAATACCATATAGTTTGTAAAACCTTTATGCAATTAGAAAAATGGCTTGTTTCCACATTGAAACCACTACATACTAGGTTTTTCTTCATCTGGACTTGTTTGATAAACTTTTTTAAAAAAGCATAAAAAGGTCCTTGCAATCTGTGAGATAAAGCTATCCTCAGTTGGTTTAGTAGTGGTGTTTTTTGTCGATTTTGTCTACCATAGTGCTGCCCTATTATTTATTAGAACATTTAATAAATTACATATGATTTAATAACAACGTTTTTCATTTGAGTCTTTGCAGTCTCAAGACCAATGTAGGACACAGTAAGTAAAGTGGTTTTCACTTGGATCTCTATATAAACAGGAAAATCTGTGAAATTGTCTTCTGTTTTTACCATGGAACTGCCTGTTACAGTCAATTTCACGACAATGAACTGAAATCTAACACTCAATATATTATTCAATCATTGCTTCTTTAAACACAAGCTTCCAAACGTTAATTTTAGCGTATTACAAAAGATTAGAGCCGAAACGCTTCAAAAGCCCACTTTGCTCCGACCAGGCTAATAGCTAACGTTTTTAGATAAAACTGGCAGGAGAAAACGCAGTCAAATGTCATGCATTCCTTCAATTTTCCTTCGTTCGCAGTAAAAATATTCCCGTAATGGACATATTACTGTTCACGAAATGTCAATACCAACCTAACAGTAGTCTGCAGCCATCAAAAACATGACAGCCTTACCTTTCCGCTGTGCGTCCCGTCTACCTGGGCAAGAGGCGGATGACTGGCTGAAGTACAGTATTATCGGTAAATCTTATTGGCTGACGAGAGAGGAGAGTGACGTCAGGAGGTATGATAGCCTTCCTGATTGGTTATAACGATGGAGTGATGATAGTGAGACTGGAGGTTTCAGCAGCGACAACCAATCAGAGGGGCCATCAGTTTTTCATAACTTCAACAGACTGTATGGGGAATAAGATGAGGTGGTGGGGGTGTCTAAGTCGAGAACTTCATTTACTTTAGAAAGTTGTTACATGTTCGAGGTCCAGTGATTACTTTGGAAATTACTTAGAGCCCCCGTAAAAAAAAATGTGTCCAAGAGACTCCTCATTTTCACTTATGTATGAAGAAAGAAAGAAAATCTGCTCATGATCATGATTGAGGTAGAAAGTAAACAATTTTTCATGCAATTTCTTTGCTATAATATAGGAAATCACACAGGTTTTTATCATCTTAGGTTAAACTGACGTTTTCCTTTTTTATGGGTAAACTATCATACATTAGTGTGCTATATATGACATATGTAATGGAGTTTAAATAAAAAAAACTAAATGTATCAAGTAACAGGTTAAATTATCCCAAATTTTGGGACACGCACTTATTTGTCCTTGGCCGATTTTTAAAACATGCAGTTAAACTAAACATTTAAACCGAGGTAAATGGAAAATGTTGTTTTCCATTCTGCACCACACTGACGATGAAGTTTACAGTGAATTCTCAGGCTAAATAGTGGAGGGAGCGCTTTTTTCAGTGTGTAAATCAAGCTGAAATCAAGTAGGAGGCCTAAAATTGCAAAATGATTCAATCATCACACAGAGAACATCACCTTTGAATGTTTTACTGATTTGGCAAAGTTTTTAAAAACAGATTATATCATTTCACAGCTTTAAATACAAGAAGCATATTTATCAATGATAATATAAAACAAACAATGAAACAAGTTTTAAGTTATTAGCCTACATGACATTCCTCAATATACTGACAAGAAACAGCGATACCAATTACTTTTAGAGCAATTTTTAATATAGCAGAAGAGGCAAGATTAAAAAAAGGCTCGGGAAAAAAAAGAGGAGGTTTGGTCACTTTCCAGAAAGATTATTAGTGACAGATCGATAAAGAGAGACAGAAAAGAAGAGACATTAAAATTGGCACATTCATATTACGTCAGGGTGTGCAGTTGTTATCCGGGTTGTTACACCAAAGGAGGGGAGGAAACTGTAAAATGATAGTGGGTTAGAGGCAGGGACCATGCAGAGAGTTCAGGCTGCTGCTGTCATTAGTGGTTATCAACCACGGTAATATGGCTGCCAGAAGACAGTAGAGCATTGATACATCCACATCCAACTGTTTTTCTCCCTGTTAATATGTTTGGCAACATGAATGAGGCTTCTCCCTCACCAGAGGAGTTAGGACTCCAGTCAAAGTCCGTTTTCTGCACAGAAAACATACGTACATTATCATGTACCACAACTTCTTCCAAAACACTCGTAACGCGTGCCAACGGAACCACTTCCCCAATCTGAAGGCAGAAATTCTTTCTTTCTTTCTCCCAATACAGCAGCTGAGTCCAGCTGTGCTTTCTTCAGTAACAGTACTGAAAAGCTGAACAAAGGACAGGAAAAAGTGTACATTCAGGCACTCTCAAGCAGCCTCACTGCAACACTGCAACAGGTCAGAAGTTGGACAGAGTGTGTTCATGCAGCGTTGAGCCCAGTGTTACCACACACAGACTCGTTTGCACACAAACACACATGCTCACACATGCAAGCAATGGAGCACCATTATATGCTAACATACACGCACGCACACACACACACACACACTCAAACACACACTTCTCAGAAGAATAAAAATGAATGAGAAACAAATCTGTCCAAAGTGGTCCTTCTCTGCTTTTGCCGTCCCATCATTTATATGAGCGGTCCTTCTCAGAGCTGCTTCCTATTAGGATTACTAACATTTAAGTAACTTTTGCAGCTATAGCAGCTTCTTATCAGTAGCGTTTCAATGGCACTGCAGTGGTACAGTGGTGCTTCAAACCGGGTTATCCAGTCACTGCTGCAGTCCTGCTCAGAGCGGATTAACACACAGGTTTGATCCTCTTGTTTGTTACAGCTCCCCCAATCAGCAAAGTGCAAAAATCTTCAGCATCTTCAAAAATAGCAATCGTGTCATTTTCTTCATCTTCATCAGTGCCTGTGCGAATACCGCCCAACTTTGAAGCATTGGCATTGTAGATCCAAGATCAGTATTCAACAGGAGAATACATTCTGCTCCTAATCAGTGGCAGGTTTCAAGTGCAGTCATAAGGGCTTGTCAATCACGGTCACACCTGTATTTCAGGAAAGACATTTCATTTTTTATTTTTTTAATCCCCAAAAGAACATTTATATACATACATATATATATATACTGATACACAGAGATATGTTTGACTGTGGTCTTCCACTGTGATGTCCAGCTCTCTATATCACTTCTGAAGACTGAAAACAAGTCTAAACTTTCCAATAAGCTTAGATGTACCGTTGTTGATGGAACTATTTACTGGTGAAGGTGCAGACTACAGTGTTACAGTGTAAAATTCAAAAAGATGCTCTGTATTGAATGATTAATTAGAGTTTCAACATATTATCTGTGGGGTCAGCCAGCTCGATGTCATAAATCCATCTCACGGATCTACACCTTAAACTCTTATTGGCTGAACTCTCAGGAACTTTCCACTTCCAGCAGGTATAAAAGCCTCCTTACGGCAGACTTACAGCAGGAATCAACCTGTGAGGTGCAGGTGGCTGAAAGCGTACACTGACCTGCATAACTGCGGCCTGTGCTCATGCAGGTCGGCAGTAACGTCCACTTGTCAGAATTTGGATTATAGAACTCCACGGAGGCCAAATTGCAGCTGCCGTCATCTCCTCCCACCACATACAGCAAGTTGTTCACAGCACACACACCTGAAAACACAACACAGCGAATGATGAGGAGCAGCCCACCTTGGAGGATGGCAGCTGCAGGAGCTGGTCACTTACCCGCATTGCGTCGACACATGTTCATGTCAGCTACTTGTCGCCAGCTGTTGGAAGCTGGATCGTAAACTTCGCAGCTCTTCCTCACCAATGGACCATCGTGCCCCCCGACAGCATACAGCAAACCTTTTAACACACCTACACCTGAGGGAGACCACGTACATGACGTGACATTAGTTGACAGTGAGCACAATAATGTCCCATTTAATAGGCAAATCACACTCATGGAACTAAAGATTCAGAGCTTAGAATGTTTCTGGTTAAACTGCATTCCACACTTCGTGATGAATTTGATGCAAGATGAAAGAAATGAAAAAGAAGGACGAAATAATGGATCTATTTCTGCCTCTTGTCTGGGACTGGGTTGCAGAGGGCAAGTCTTAACAAAGATGTTCAAAGCATCCTTTCACCAGCCACTTCCTCCAGTTCTACTCATCCAAAATCACCTGAGAAATAAGATCTCTCCACTCGGCTGAAAAACCAACTAATCTGACTCATTTCAGTGAGAATGGGTGCATCTCAAAGCCCCAAACAGATGATAGAGCTCACCCCCTTATTCCAAAAGGGCTGGGGGGGAGCTGATATTAGCCTGCAAGGTTAGCATTAAGACCACATTTTTGTAGCATATAAACATGAGTGTGTTTTTTCATTCTTTGAGGACGGATCTCTAAAAGCAGCTGCTATTCATACTTTTAGTTCACACAAACCAAACACCAACAGTCGGCCACAGACTGACACACCTGCTCCACTGCGTCTCGTGCCCATCTCTGCTATATAATTCCACGTGTTGCTTTTAGGGTTGTACGCCTCTACCGTACTTAAACATTGCCTCGTGGCTCCATCGTATCCTCCGACGGCATACAATATCCCTGAAAAACAAAAGTGGGAGGCGACGTAATCAATAACTTTGGATTGTAGTGGTGGATTTGAAACAAACTCTGCTCCGTGCACCCTGCCTTTGAAAGCAAGCTGCGAACTGCGCTCACCATTGACCACTCCGACTCCCACGCTGCTGCGCCGGGTGCTCATGGGCAACATGTGGAACCACTCATCTGTTTTGGCGTTGTAGGCCTCAATTGTGGAAAGCCCTAGAAACAATCCCACCGATTTGTATCAAAAGCACCGAGAACTGTTCATACATGCATGCGTAACTTTAGTTTCACATATTTCAACATCTGTTTTTTAGCCCCACAAAGATGCGGCCGTACCCGTGCTGCCGTCAAAGCCGCCGACAGCGTACAGGAGTCCGTTGAGAACGGCAGCCCCCAGTGTTGATCGCCGGTCCTGCATACTGCTAACGCTCGTCCAGCGGTCCATCATGGGGTCGTAACAGTCAACCGTCCGCACGCGCAAAGAGCCATTGAAACCACCAACTGCGTACACACACCCACCCATGTACACCACACCTGAAAAAAAATACAAAAGAAACAGAATGCCACACTATTAACCGGCTTAGATGAAGTGGATGTAAAACATTTAGAAAATTGTTTAAAACTTTTTTACTTCACTTTGGTAACATTCGTTGCAGGTTAAGGATTGAAAATCCCCCCAAATGAGAGCACGGTGTCTTTGGCCTCCTTAGACAGTAGGCGATTGAGGCAAAGTGTGTCTACTGAGCTATCTTGCTTTCACGAAGTACTGAAATAGTCTTTTCTTTTGTGTGTCTGTCTCAAGTAATTTTGACACATAAACTGCAGCTTTGATCATTCTATGTTTCTGTGGACTTCAACCAGCCAAGTGATATACAATCTGAGCAGTTTCCATTCCAAAGGAGCCCAGGTATAAACAGAGCAGTTAATTTTCCAGATCATTTACAGCAACAAACGTACTTCATACATTCTTCTACTTGCCTGTACATGGCTTTCTTCTCCTAGGTTGACAATATTGTTGATTCGTCCAGTTAAATGTTGTGGAGATTATTGTTGAAAAATCCAGTCATAACAGAGAAGATTCCTTCTCTTGATCCTTGATGTGCTGTAAACACAATACTGCAATATTTGCCATGCTTTGCAATATTTTTAGTCTCCTGTAAAACCATTACGTTTTTCCAGGGGGGAGAGCTTTCATAAAGCCCATCTGTGGATCTGTGTGGTGGAAGTCATTCAGAGACGTGCCAGCAGGGGGTGTGCTAAATGAGCTTATTTGAGCCAAGTAGCAATGCTGTTCACGCTGCTTTATGTCATGAAATAAAAACATACAAAACCAATATCAGTTAGGTTTTACCAAACAGACAGAGGTAACTACTGTTTTTCGGTAAAAAGATGAAGGTCAGGACTGCAATGGGCCAATACAACCAGAGCCTTGAAGCTGCTGAGAAACGCAACCTCGTTTTTCTCAAATATGAAAATATAACCTGATTATTCTGAGCAAACCTTTGATCCGCTTTTAAACAGCTTCGTTTAGCCTGGGTAAAATAGTATTTAGATGTACCTCATCAGCTTAAAGTGTGACTGTAAGGCATTACGGCATGATACATCATCCCTGGGTTGGTGATTTCAAGTGACCCACTTTTACCCTTCTCCTTATCACGCCGCACTCTAAATATAATGCAGTTACTGAGGGTTTCCCACCTGCTCTGCATCTCCTGGTTGGGAGTTCAGCCACCTGGTACCATCGCTGTTCCTCGAAGTCGTAGCACTCAACGCTCCGGATGGCCTTCGGTGCCTGACCTCCCACCACCACCATCACCTCAACACACCAGAAACAGCAGCGTCATTGGAAAAAGAGCTGTGGATGACTTATTCATTATTGGTGACTGTGAGTGCCAAGCTCTTCTAATGTGGAGACACTCGTTACAGCCTGTGTTTGTACCTTAGGACAGCAGGCTGGAGTTCTCATGCGAGTGCGAGCAGTTTTCATCAGCGCTCTCTGGTCAGCTGGCAGTAGGTGGTACTTCATGGCCTCAATTAGGTAGTCTTTACACGCACTGCTATTCTTTATCAAGGACTCCTCCTCCACCCGCTGATACAGCCCCAACAGTGAGAGAGAAACCAGTCATCCACCAAGATTTACAAAGTTCTGTGCGTCCTGTTAAAGTCACATTGAAATTACGCTCTGTAGAAATGAACATATACTTTGTATTTAATTGAATATCACATTGAACTTAGCAATTTAGCTTAATTAATCAAATCTTGTCCTAAAGGACTGAAGATTATCAAACATAAGTTGATTCGGAGGGATTGTATTAACTGTGAAACACTTATCTAAAACTAACCTACCCCTGTTATAAATAGTCTTTTATTGTAAAAATCTAGAGGAAAAATGTGTGCATCGTGTTTTTTTTAGCAGTATGCTGTCTGCACGTAAGAATAAACCTGCACGGAAAAACAAGCGTGACACACCAATGTATTCTAAATGTATGTAGTCTGGAATTTTAACCAAACAGAGCACGCAAAATAGCTTAGTGCATGTCGTCACAAACATACCTGCACCAGGTATTCCCTGGAGAGGAGTGGCAGGCGAACATGCTCCATCAGGTGAGCCAGGTGTTCCTGGCGGACATCTTTGTCGTGGTTGACCCAGGCAATGACCGCCTCAAAAACCTGCAGACGACGACACACGCACGCATGTCAGCTGGCGCGGCCCTTTGACCCTGCTGTTCTGTCTGCACGTGCACAGAGCAGGGCGTGTACCTTCTCTTCTGTGGGGATGGTGAGCTTGTCGCTAGCAATCAGGCTGGACACTTGCTCCATGCCCAAATTGAGAAACTCCTCGCTCCCAACCACCTCAGTGAAATGTTGCTCTGTCAGCACAACGGAAAAGTGTAACTACTTCTTTATCGCTGCACGCAAACCAACACAGAAGTTTTTCTCCAAACCTTCATCAATAACACCTGCCCTCATTCTGTCTCCTCCTTTGTCCCAAACTTATTCTAATAAAACCACTCTTGCAATGCATATGAGAGGTGCGTCTGCTGTTCATTTTGCGGGCACAAACCTGCGTAGCTGTTGGCCTGTGCGAGGAGCTGGGAACAGGCGTGCAGGTCAGCAAAGGCTCGAATCCCCAGACAGTTGGACGGATGGAGCTGAGAGCTAAGAAACTCACAACAAGCCTTTTTCACCTCATTGAGCTGGAGCAGTCCTGCTGCAGGCAACAGCGCCTGAGACAAAGAGACACACAAGTCCAGGGATAGTACAGAGGCCGAACACGGACCAGTATATGATTTGGGAACAGAAATTAAACCAGAGCGGTTAAAACAGGTTGCCAGGGCACTCGGTGTGTTTAGTAAGTTTAGAAAAATGTCAATATAAACTGATGAGCCTGTCTCTACTTCTCTACCATAAAATGTCCAAAACGGGCTTTAAGTATCCCAGTTTTATCCATAAACCTCACTAACTGAAAGTATGACGCTTCATGTGTGTGTGGTTATCATATCAGAATGATAAAATACTCCACTTGAGATTAAATATCTCAGTGAAAAGTCAGCCAAGTCCTAAAGTCAAAGAAGACTCCCCAGTTTCCATGACTGCTCAAAGTGATAAGAGGCCTTAACCGCCAGGATTCATGTGCACACTTACCTGAACATTATCCTCTGTGACCTGTATCTCTGCGGTGTAGATGTAGTCTACCAGCAGACCCAGTGTCCAGCCATCCATCTCTTTTATCCTCACTCGCTTTGCCCTGCTCTCTGCCATCTCCCCTGTTCACACACACACATGTTATGACTTTGTCAACATGAAAGTGACAAATGGGCAACAGGCAGCCACCAGAGATCGGTGTAACATGGAGGACGGTCCTCACCAGTGAACATTGCATGGAAGTAAGGGCTCCCAGCAGCCAGCACCACTCTGTGAGCAGCAATCTCCACATCTTCTGCCACTATGGTCACGTCACACAAAAGGCTTTGGCTGTGTGGAGGACACGGAAATATTTCCATTTATAGTTTGACTAATAGCACACAGAAGACTTTAGCAAGGTGAGATGATAAGTCCCCGAAAAAGGCACCTGCGTAGCTCGTTCATGACTTTGAATGCCTTCCTCATGTGCCGAGGGTTCAAGGTGACAGGACCGTGCCTCTCGACTCCGTCCTCTTTATCCAAAGAGTGTGGACAAAGTCTAGTACACCTTAAAAACACAGCACAGACACACACAAACGAAAATCAAGAAACTGCTGTAAACCGTTCATTTGGTGGTCTGATCGGAACTTGTTTTAAATGTATTCACTTTAGTATATCAATGCTATCAGTCAGACAGTTTCACTCTTGCAGTATTAACTTATACTTGGTTCTGCTTCTTCTATCTAGTGTTCAGACACAAATTATTCTTTTAGGAAATGTTTCAAATCAAAGCAATGTTTAGTTTCGATACTTTCCTCCGACCACTGTCATTCACCTGATGCTTTAAATATAGTATTATGACATTTTTATTGTTTGAGGTAAACAATAATGCTAATATTAATCATAACATTATGCTGTTGTTATCATTGTTATTGTGCATGTTACATACAAACTCACAAACGTGTAGAAAAACCTGGGATCTTAAATAGTGTAGGATTAAGCAGCACAAGTAAAAAGACTTGACTCATGATCCCAACTTCCAGGCCATACAGACATGTGGATGGTGGAAAAAAGCATTAAAGGTTAGCAGTTAGCTCTTGAAGACTCTTCTGTTCAAACAACACCCAAACACACACCAAACACACATAAATATACCGGTAAACCAATTTTGCCCTTCTTTACCTCTCCTACCTCTAATCTGTCTTTTACATGAACATTACAACAGGTTTTCTTAGTCAGACCATATTGCCTTAATTGTGAGCTGTTTGGAATAAAGATTTTCTTCTTTTTTTAAATGCCTGAATCTTAAACATTATAACAGGTATTTGAACTTTTCCTATACACGTGTGACTTCTGACCTGTGCACGTAAAAAAAAGTCAGTTTAATATTCCCTTCTCACAAGTTCTTGTATACTTTGGACACCATGTTTAAACGTTTCCTCCCTTAGTTTTGCTGGAGTCGAGCTATGAGCGGATACAGTCTTGATTCGTTTAGGAAACCTGTGCCACCTTCCACAATGGAACCTCCGACACATCATTTCTGCTGCTCGTGGCAAAAAAAAATCACGCCGCCCCTGTTTTCTGTCACAAACACACACACCCACACCGTGGCCGTGTAGCACTTCACACTCTTCTTCGGTGGCACAAAACAAAACACCTCTTTTCTCCCGGCATTAAAACACCAGCACGGAGCCTGGAAGCCCGGAGCCCCGGGCTCGGTGTCGGTCCCCGGGTTTCGGTCCCTGCTCTGCCCCGGGTTTCGGGCTCACCGGCCGGCCGCTGTCTCTGTCAATGCGGCACCATCCGTCAAGCAGCCGCTGGGAAACGTCAACGAGCACACACACACACACACACACACAGAGACACACACACACACACTGCCAGCACTTACAGCGGATGACTGTCCATTATTCCGGTGTTTTTCAGAGGCTGAAAACTTGGCCCAGCGGCATGCACCATTCCATAGCCACAATGTCGTCTTCGGTGAGTCTGAATTCAGGCGTCCACCGCAGCGGTAGTGGGTCTACACGCGGAGCGGAGGGCTGAAGGCAGCCCCCATTGAAGCAGTCCGTCTCACATAAACACACAGTCCGACTGCGAAGGGGGGGGGACACTCTCCACGGACACGTTGCTATTCAAGCCCCGGCTGTTGAGTCGAGAGGGGTTGCTTCTTCCGCGCGGCGTAAAAAAAAAAAAACACGTAAGAAACGGGCCGACGTCGCGTTCGATTTGGGTTTGTTTTCACTCCGGTTTCTCCGCTCTCGCCTCTCGGGGTGTATCTAAAGTGGGAGAGGCTGTCGGGCAGGATACCTGCTATTTTGCACTAGCTGATTAAAACGCACAAACAAGGACATGTCGGCAAAGACGGTCCTGGTCGAAGGCAAGGCGTCCCAGAAGAAAGCGCTGTCTCCCTCTAGCTGTGGAAGACTGAGAGAAGCCCAAACCCCATCACAGGCTCACCTGTTTTCTGACTGCACACTTCCCCCTGAATATGACAAACACATAGGGAAAGATTGACCTACTCTAGATTGTTCGTTTCATACCAAAGCCCGTCATTATTAAGTCGGTCATTAGGAGAATTATGAGCTCATTTCAGGATCAGCCACATCTTGTGGCATTTGACTGGTTTGACTCATTTCATGTTTTGATGTCAAACCTACCACAATAACACAATTTGCTCAGTTATAGTCACATGATATTGTAGCATCTTGGTTTCTTCCACAATATTCTCATGACACTATTATGAGTCTCTGCAGGCCAGACTTTCTCTAATCTCGCCGCACACGTGCCACTAAATGAGTACCAGTTGCTCCTCATCCTTTGACATGTGATCTGTAATAAAGTGACATTTACCCTTATTTCACGCACTGAGACAAGATTGCCATGATATAAAACTAATTCCAACATTCGGACCAGACATCTGAAGCCATCTTCTGCTTTTAATATAGCACAAAATGTATGAAATCAATAAAATCCTAATAAATCAAATATACATCATTTACTTTTTGATATTATAGATGTATTTCATTATGGCCTAGATTTCTTTAAGGTAAAGAGGGGGTTGCCATCCCGGTTGTAACAGAGTATACTGTAGATGTTTGATGATCTACCCATTTTCTAAAACCCAAGTACAAAAAATCCTGAGAGAATGTCTATATGAACTATTTAAGCATAATGATAAAAGCTGAATGAACCGATCTAAAATCAAATGTATTCAGTCGAGTACATCATTAATTCAAATCACAATATGATGGAGAGAGAAAAAAATTAGAGGCTGCTACTAACAAATGCACAATCCAGTTTCCTCATTTCAGGATCAGTCACTTGGTTCTGTGGAAAGCTTCGTCCCCAGAGGCCATCTGTGTGGATTTTTGCCTGGCTTTGCTGTCAGAGAACAGGACGGAGCTGTGAAGCCGGGCAGGACAAGTCTGTTATGGTGTGAAGGCGCTGAATTCATTAGAGCGAGCAGGCTGTCAAGAAAGGAACAATAATCCAGATATGATCATTTAGCTCCTCTCAGCTTGGTCAGCATTAATTTTAAGATGAATGTCCCCAGTTTTAAACAAAGGCCCATTTCACACCAACATAACACTGAACATTATCAGTGGTTATTTTCTAAGAATGGAGTATTCAGTCATAACTAGCAATAGTGAGAGAAGTCAGCTCTCACATAGTAAAATTCGAGTTCAACTCAGATTTTCAAACAAGAGAAACAGAACACACTGACAGATTTAAAATCCTGACTACTTTTATTTTTTCAATACAAAAGTCAGCATTGGAAATATTTAAATACAAAATAATATACAAGTCTATATTGAAATAACAAAAATTGTCTATAGCTCAGCAAGAAACCTAGGTCTATTTGACCGTCTGTTGACAGCCAACGTCATATGAAGTATGTGGTTTGTGTACTTTTCCAATTAGGTTCGGTCACATTTCACAAATGTGCCCCAATCATCTTACACACTTGAAATAAAGTGTGTATGACTGATGACTGCGTGCATGCATTTCCTGTTTCAGCACCACCTCCAGACAGCTGTTGCAGACTCTGGTCAGTGAATATTCTGGAGATATTATCATTCCAATCCAAAAGTAAATGCAACAGTGTCCTAAAAGACATTGACTCACTCATTATTTTGGGTCTGGTTGTGTTTCTTTGTTATCCATGGTTGACGCACAAAAGTCAGAATATGGGGCAAACTCAATTGTGCTAGTTTGGCTTTAATGGAGCCGGAGGCAGACTTGCAGATGCCTGCTCCAGAAAGGCCAGTGGTCCAGGCGGGGGGAGGTCTGAGGGTTTACGATGCTGACCGCTGACATCCTCCAGCACTTGTTGCCAGTGATGCAGCTTCCCCAAATGCTTCTGAACCAGCGATTCTTTCCTCTGCAGCTCATTACGCAACTCTGACACATCCTGAAGTGAGAAAAAAAAAAAAACTTGAGAAAAGACAGGGAACACCAATAAACAGAGAAGAACAAATAATTTAGAAAATGTCAAATATAAGTCATTATATTAGTTTACCTCCTTCACCACCTGCTCGGGTTTCTGCACAGAAAGCTGCAGCCTCTTCTGTAAGAAGAAGCACTCGGTCTGTCGAGCCACGTCCAGGAACTTTTGAATGCACTGGTCCACACCTACAATTAACATGCACATGTGATTCAGCATACAGATTATATTCAAATATATATGCAAGATAGTAATGCAGAGCTTCACTGACCAGTTCGAATCTCCTCCTGGTCTGTCCCATTGACATAGTCTTGGCTTACCAAGGATGCAAAACAGGCCTAAAACATTAGGAACAACATCAGTCAATATGTTTTCTCCAGCAGTTAACAAGTTTTTAAAGGGCCGGGGTCAAATCCATCCAGAGTTGAACACAACAGTTTTTTGCTAAATCAATGAGTGTGTAATGCCTCTTGACTAAGATAACTTGATTACTCACGATGGTTATATGAAAGAGATCCAGTGAGGATGAAACTTGCCATTAAGTGAGGATATTTGGAAAGTTAATGAAATCCTCCAAAACATCAAAGCTATCTTATATGCCAGAGATAAGCCAAAGTACTGATGGGGATTGTCACTAAATGAAATCCAATGAACAAGTGGAACCAGACGGCTACAACAAGCATGCTAGTTAAACGGATTTAGCTTTTAGCAGTGAAAAGAAAGGAAAGTTTCACAGCTATTTAACCGAAAACTGTGTTGTGGTGAAACAATTTTACAGCCTATAGGCCGATGCAAATAATAACATATCAAAATCAAGTACTTCATAATGGAAGCTAACAATGAGAAATCAGTGCTAACGAAGCACATTAGCCTCCAACCTCAAAAGAAGCCTCCAGTTCATCTACAAGCGTGTTGTTTCCCTGGGCTCGCGCAGCGGTACCAGGAAAGCCCGGCTGGCCCGGTCCACTGGGTCCCCCAACGGGATGTCCACCCGTCGGCTGCTGGCCGGGAAACATCCCACTCATGGACGACGCCATCTTGCTCCTGCTGTTGTTTTCCCGTCCTCTGTTTGCGCATGCGCATCTTACTGTGTCAATTTAACCAATAACCGCGCAAGGAGTTCAAGGCCACGGCCTTATCCCAAAATGTAAAAGTTATATTAAGAGACCACCGTCTATAACTTCATCAAGACACAAAATAGAAATTGTATACACACACTTTCATAATGTCAACAGTGAGTTTAGATACATGAACCAAGAGGGCACGATGAGAAATGAGAGACAATAGAGAGATTGACAATTTAAACTATAATAAAAACAATCACAAAGTGATATGAAAAACTGGGAGAACATAGAACTGCAGGATATCTTTGCCAGGAATGTGAAAAACATAATTACTCATAAACTTCTCTTGTGATTTTGTATATTTTATTTAATAAGTAATTTCTTTTACAATGTATAAATGAATATGTATTGAAAAACAGCTTAAGAGGCAGAATGCTTGGTTCCACCAAGCAGCTGTTACTTTGCATTTTACTTTCTGTATGGTGAGATCCGTGTCAATGAAAAGACTCGCAGATTATCAAATTTTCTTTCCATCTCTCAGCCATTGTGAGTCATTCCAGCAGCAAACTCCACCAGCGTACGGGTCGGTCTTCCAGACATGCCTTTCCGCAAGTAAGGAATTTCATCTTTGTTACTCATCACACCAGCAATGTCCAGATGAGCCCAGTGAGGAGCTGTGACAAACTCCCTCAGGAATGCAGCTGCTGTGCAAGCACCACCAGAACTGCAAATCAACCAACAAACCTGTCAAATACAATGTAAAAAGAGCAACAACAGACTCCTCTCTTGTAAAAACCTGCACGAAATTGTTGTGAGTAGTGGTGAGGTACGTACCGGCTGTACTTGCCAATGTTGTTGAGGTCAGCCAGCTGGCTGTCAGTCACCTGCTTGGTGTAGTGCTGGAACAGTGGCATCCGCCACACTCTGTCACCTGTCACAACACTAGCCTACACACAAACACACACCCATTTGTCAAGAAAGGACCTAAGAAGAGGCTGACATGTTTTCTTCAAACAAATCTGTAGTACCTTTTGCAGCTTCTCCCAGAGCCAGTCAGAATTTGTAAAAACTCCTGTTGCAGCGGAACCGAGAGCCACGTCCATGGCACCTTGAACAAAGGAAGCCATACTGATCTTTAGTCAGTGCATTTTAGCTTTTAAATGTCCATTTGTTGCATATAACATTTTCAAAATGGCATATATGCACGTGGTTCTGGCAGTTGTCATAAACATTGAGCAAAACCAGTGATCTTGACAACTTAAAACACAAGCTAGAAAACTGATCACACCTGTTAGTGTTGCAACATTTACAATAGCTCTAGGGTTGAAGGTGTGCCCGTAACAGAGCGCATCAGCGAGGATTAGTCTGCCCTCTGCATCCGTGTTATCAACCTGAATGCAACAAAAGCATCAGTTTATCAATACACGTATATACCAGTGACCCAGAGAGGCGGTCTGAATCCGTCATCTGTAATCACTGCTCCACCCACCTGGATTGTTTTACCATTCTTGGCTGTGACAACGTCACCTGGTTTAGTTGCCTTTCCACTGGGCATGTTCTCGCACAGCGGGGCCAGGCCTGTTTGAGTTAGTGCACAGAAAACTTTAGAGGTATGCTCACGCCCCTACATCTCATTTCCCAGCAACATTTTCACCATTCAAATGAACTGAACTGTTGTGGAAACAATGACAAACAGCCTGAAGGATGCGCCTGTTCCTTTAAAGAGGTTTATGGGACTAAAGGTTCTGGTCAAATTTGGATTATAAAAAGAAAACAAAATCCCACTGAGGGACATTTAATGTCGAAAAGCGTACCGATAATGTTGACTGGTAGTTTCAGAGCAGCTGCCGTGACAATGGACGCACACACTGTGGCAGCTCCTCCCATGTCTGCCCTCATTGCATCCATAGACGGGGAGGGCTTCAGCGAAATACCACCGCTACACACAGAGAGGGAACAAATGGCACCAAATTTAACAGATGAGGTAATATCACCAAGTTGTGTGTGTCCAAACACATCAGTATAATTATGATGTACCTGTCAAAGGTAATGCCTTTTCCCACTAAGAGCAGTGGTGGCTGCTTGCTGTCAGGTGAACCGTTGTAGTGTATCTCCAAGAAGACAGGGAGCTCCTCCGAGCCTTTCGACACACTGAGGAAGGCTCCCATCTGCTGCTCCTCGATCCAAGCCTGGGATCTGGGAGGAATAAAAATAAAGAATATTTGCTGTGTTCTCTACAGACCAGAATAGACCGGTAACTAGACCAGTAATGATCTGATACGAGCCGTTGGTGGAATAACAACTACAAATTAGTTAAACCAACCAGTAAAAATGTTGGCTCTGCCTTTTCAGTTATCTTTTTATTGGATTTCCTGAGAAAATCTAAATATGACATGACTGACCTATGCACCCCACAGATGCAACAAATTGAAATGCTTCATTACACATCCAACTGAGAGATAGTCATCCACTATTTCCAAATGGCGGCAGCATTTCTCCTTCAAAATACCGTTAGAAGTAATGACAGTGAATCTTGTCCATCAGTCTTGATGAGCGATGCACAAACCTCCTATTTATTGTGACTCTCTCAGAGTGCGGTGCCAACTTCTCTTCGATGGTATTTGCAAATGCAGTAGGAGTGATGTGGTTTGCAGGAGCCTCCATGAGCAGCCTCGCCAGGTTTTGGCCTTCGGCATACCTGACACCTTTCTCCCAGCCATCCTTGTCAACTCTAGAAAAACACAGACAGCAAGCAGTAGCTGTGAGTTTTATACAACACTCGCAAATATCAAAGGGGACTGGTTACAGTCCGCGAGCATCGGTCTGCCAGCCTACCCTCCGTGAAGCTGTGCTGTTACTTTGGTCTTTTTCTTGGACTTGAGTTGGTCGTAGTGAAAAAGGCCAAGCACTGCACCCTCTGCTGCTGACTGGGCGTCTCCACAGCCATCCACCTCTACATGGTTCACCTCCAGGTCCTGAAGCAGGCGGCAGCCAGCTAAACACACACGCAGACACAAGGATATTGGCAACAGACCAACTCAAGATCCACGTGTGTAGCTGTAGGTGTGAGTCTCACTTGACATGGCCTGCCTGACGTTCTCCTTGCTGGTGTCCCAGTTCTCAGCCTTGCAAACGCCCTCATTGGTTTTGCCCAGCCCGACTACTGCGACACATGGGAAGTCCTGCACAAGACCCAACAATGTCACTCTGAAGTTGGTAATAGAGTAGGTTTGTGATGCTGATGGGACTCTTCATTACCTTGTGAATTCCATAAAATATTCTACTCTTGCCTTTCTTGATTCCTGGTCCAGAGCTGGGGAAAAAAAGATATATATAAAAGAGTCTACCAAGCAAAAAACATTGACTAGAAGTGACACCACAGGATCTGTTAATATATGTCCATCTGACAAATCTATTAAAATGGAAGAGGAAGACTAACGCTGTCTGGAAATGCTGTTGAGTTGTTATCCCTGCAAAATGTGAGATATATATACCAGGACTGCTAATAAAATGGACTAAATGCAATAAGAAAACACAGCTTTGCAGTTTGCCACATTCAGGTGTGCGTTAACACAATGCACAAAGGAAGGACATTAGAAATCAGTCAAACCTTACAACTGATGCTGTGACACTCAAAACAGCTGTCAAACTATTTCCATGGAGACAAAGCATCCTATTAGATTATAGAAGTATTTTCTTCCCGGTCACTGAGTTAAATAGCTGTAACGGTAAGCACACTGTCCGCAACAAAGTAAAAAACTCACATTTCCAGCAGTTCTGAGAGTTTTCCGGACACAGACTGGTCGAACCCCGCTGCAGCCTCTGTCAGATGAAGAGCACCCTCCTCTCCCTCCTTCTCAAACACTCCCAGAACCAGACCCTGCAGACACAGACACAGACATGTGACACGGTTCTTTACTCACAAACACAGGCAGACCATCACAGCAGTGCATTAAAACCTTTTGGGCAACGCTGTGTCCATGTGTGAGTGACGTAACGGAGTAACGCCAGCTGGTGGGTCGAACGACTCACTTTTTTCTCTCGCAGGCGCGTCTGTGAAGCAGAGAACGGCCTGCAGAGGCTCCTCCGCGCCGCCGTCTGCACGGCTCTCCTCACGAGAAGCATCGTCACCTGCTCAACATGTATCAGCGCCAGTATAACGACTGAACTACTCAGAGGTCGAGTACATACATGTGACGGAAGCCGGGCGACCTCATCGGGTCGCGTTTGTTTGCGTCACAGAGGAGCGACAATGTACAGATTTGTCTCCACCTAGTGGTGGATTATGAACACTGTTCTGTGATTTGCTTCCAATGAAGATGTAACTCAAATGTATTGGGGTTTTTTTGTTTAGAACAGGGGCCTCAGATAACTCGACATTTTTAGCAAAAGCTAAAGTTTTAAATAAAAAGAAAACCTCCAGGTTCCTAATAAGAAGCTATTCTTAAGACTTTATTCTCCTAAATGCAATACAATGAATGGCAAGGAATTCCTTCTTAAAATATTTTGGTTGCATACAGAAAATGAATTAAGTGACTGACTAAGTGATGAATTCCAAATAGATCAAAAAAGAAAAGGGAGACTCCTTGGAAATAAGAAGAATAAATGCATAAAGTGTTTAACTTAGAAGTTTTTATCTTGGATATAAAGTTGGTTTCAATTCATCAGACATTTGGAAAACAGTGGCAATCTAACCCCTTTTAACTTCTACAAGTCAACAACAACAAAAGTGATTGCACAAAGGAAATAAATTTAAATTCTCATGCAGAATGGAATACATGAAAATAAAAGCTAAACTGATCTCATTTAGCTTCAGAACTTAGTAGGCATTTGATGATAACGAGCATGACACATCAGAAGCTTTGGAAAGGGACAGGGAAATACTTTGATACTTTTAAACATCTGTACAGTAACTTCCATGCAAAAAATGGAAAATAATTCTATGTAAACATTATGTACACAGCATGCATAGAATTAACGACACATTATGAACCATTCAGAGGCTTTCACAGTTTGAAGCCCCCCGCTCATGTGGAGCACAGGAAACCAAATCAAATGCAGAACATAAGCACATTTCTACTCAAGAGAAGCATCCTCTGTGTTTTTCTGGTCTTTATAGCTTTAACTGGAACAGATGCACATGGTTCACGATGCTAGATGGTGTGTGTTGGGATGCAGAGAAGACACTCGTCTGTTACACGTTTGGGAACAGGTTTCCTGGCTCATGCCCATTCCAGCTGCTTTGCATGATTTCATGAAGAAACGTATATATATTTCAAGATTTTTTATTTGAGCAACCCAGTTCAGTCAGGCAATTAAGTTTTGGAAAATATAACTTTCTTTTAAATAAAAAATGTTTGCATACTTACTACTTCTGTCTGTATTTACTTGATTTATTAATAAAAAAAATTAGATTTTTCTGTGAAGAGAGGGGATTCCCCTGGATTTTACTATGGAATGGTATAAATAAAATCTTTGACTGTGGTTCTATAGACCATCTAATTTGATATAATAATGGTATTTTTCCAGACACACAACTGAATTACCAAGGGAGCAAAGTCAGAAAATATGAGCTTCACAAAATTCAGGTGGCTCCAACCTTAGTGCAAATTAAATGCATCGATAATGTATATGAAGAAAGAAGAAATATTTTTATTACTCTTTGCAGATGACGCCAAATAACAACTAGATTCTTGTAGACCAAGAATTCTCAGGAAAACATTGAAAGTTGGCTTTAGTGTATAAACCACTTTTCTCTGAAGAATCCATCAAGCTCTGGAAACACAACCAGCAGTGATCTGTCCGTCAGTAGAGCAGGTCCAGAGAAGAAATTGTGGGTTCTTCGGGTTTCTTCATCTCTGGTTTGGGCAGCTTAATCCGACTCATGGCAACAACTCCACAGACAGCAAAGTGAGTTCCAATGCTGCCGACCCCAAGCCAAAAAGACCAGTCCAGATCGTCCTCCAGAACGTCAAGGACGAAAAGACTCTCCCGATAATTTGCCACCCGCTCTGTCAGATTGTGGTGCCTAACAGCTGCCAGGAAACACAAGACACCCAGAGCACCAAAAAGAGCTGAAAACAGAAGAGGGGGGGCATCAGAGGTTAAACATTTAAAAACATTCTGGGGGATGACAAGCAATGAAGAATTCACATTCACTTATAAAAATGTTAAATTAGAAATAGTCTCAGCCATTGTAGAAAGATGATTTGGATGAAGTGACACAAAAGACCAATAAGACAAGTTTAGATTGAATGCATCATACAAGAGACTAATTGGAGAAAACATTTTGCTACAATTCTCACATACCAGCAATGAAGTTCCACAGGTAAAGTCCTTTGTGACCTTTGATGCTCTGGTAGGGAACCTTTCGTGCGTTGTAAATGCAGAAAGATAAACTGACCAGCGCAAAGCCCACCGCCACCAACAGGAAAAGGATCACCATCATGTGAAGACCACCATTCAGCGTTCGCACAAGCTTCGGAAAAACTGTGAATTCAAACAGTGGAAGGCACAGTGTGAGCTGGACTGTGAATATTTTCTTTCTGGATTTTGTTTTCTAACCGAAGGGTCAGTTTTTTCTCTCTCATTATTCCAATTCGTGGTCACTTCCTGTGCTATTTTGAAATAATTTAAGTTAATTTTGGTTCCTAGATTAGATTCACACCTGTTGTGTGGAGAATAATTATATAAATCAAAGTTTTCCTGTATGTGGGTGGGAGCAATATTTGAGCCCAATACAATTTGTAATACTTTACGCATTGACTGCCCTGTGTTCATTCCTCAGTTGATATAAAAATACTTATCTTGCGTCTCTGAAATATTTATACTTTGTTTTAGTACAAAATCTGAACAACTAATTTAACAGTGAACCTTGATTTCAGAATAATGAACACATGGACATCCAGAATGGACCCGTTGTCCACATTTGAAGCTCCTGAAATTGTTTTACGTCCATTTTTTATCCGAGGGCTTATCTTTCACATTGATTATATAGTTTAAAAGTTGCACAGACAGTGCCTTACTGTATATTTTGGAGCGCCTGTTCCCGAGTCCACACTTCTTGGTCTTTCCTCCCTGGAACAAACCGTAGTAGATGTGCCCGATGAATTGCTCTAGCTCAGGACTGGACGCATTCACTATCTCTACCCCAGTTCTGCACAGGATCCTCCCCGTGACCCACCGTTCCGTGGACAGGGCTACCACCAAGAGGACCACCGAGAGGATGCACAGCACTGAGGCCACTGAGAATATCGTTCGTTTCCACAGAGAAGGCATCTTACGAGCCCATTGTGCCCCGAGAAAGGTAATACGACGCCGGGCAGCGACCTCGGGGCGCGCTCGGCGATCACCATGAGTTTAATCCATAGTTTGATGAAGGAAAATTATTCATAAACGGACAAATAAACAGTCCCTTTTCCTCTTTCCTCTTTGTATTCATATGTAAGAGACACGGGAGGAGAAACTGAATCTATGGCGGTCACAGAGATCTCTTACTGGGAGAAACTGTATCCGTGTCCCCAGAGCCTTGTTCTACTCCCTCACCAGCACATGCACACTCACACACACACACAAACACACACGCACACACAACATTTTATTCATGTGATGAATTAACCTTTGCAAACTGGCATTTTAAGGCGAAAATTTATGCATCCAAATACTGACCTTAGTGGCAGATCAGGTTGTAAAATCAAATGAAGTAATTTAATTGTCTCCCTTGACAAATTATGATTCAAACTCTAAAGGTCAATTTACCAATCCCATGTGGGTTATTAAACTAATTTTATAATTCTGATCTATAAATTATCTGGTATCTTGAAAGTTCAAACACATTTCTGGATTTTGGTTTGTGTCGTTTTATCAGTTATTCTATTAGTCTTAAAGCAGTAACCATTGAAAAACTGGCCAAGTTAATCGTGTTTCTTGCTTTGAACACTGCAATAAAGATGTTGACACAGATTTTTGTTCCAGTTAAACCGAATTGTTGTCTTTTGTACATTGTAGATGTCATCAAAGGTGTTTGAGACACGAACTCACAAGTGTGTAACAGGATTCGGGGGCTTTGGCGACATCTGCTGGTGAGTGCATACAGCTACAGTGCGTGATGACGTCAGAGCGTGTGACGCGATCTCCCTGGCAGCGGCTGAGACCGTTTGGTGAAGATGGCGGACTCGGTGTTGACTGGTATGGGAGAGGAGAATGAAAAGGAGAAAGAGGGCAGTTCTAGGGAGAGAAAGCCTTCCAAAACAGAAAAGAACAAGGAGAAAGACGGAGTCACTGAGACGCTTAGTTTTAGTGAAAAAAATGGCGGCAGTAATGCCCAGAAACGCAACCTGTCAGGTGAGAAATTGTTTTTCCTCAGCCACGAACCCTTAGCTTGTCAAACTCCTGGAGGTTCCTAAAGTTTGCAGGCAAACCTTGCGGTTGTAGATAATCTTTTTCATTAGACGTTTCCTTAGCACGCAGGTGAAATTACAATCGCTGAACCAGTGCAGCTGAGTGCGCGGCTTTTGATCTGGTGATGTTGCTACACCTACTGTTTGTGAAACATTAAGCCCGGCTAAAATGACACCAGGAGGACAGACAGTGCCATATGCATCCAAAATCACGTGTAGAATTGGGATTTATGATGGTTGATTTGACCTTGCAACTAAATGAATTCCTCCGTGGGTCTGTATAAACCAGTTAGCTTCTCTGTCAAACTGGACTTGGGGAATTTGCGCAGACGCACTGAGTGACAGCGGATACTTAGTGTACGTGACTGAAAATATGGTTACTCATACGCAAATGTTTGTCACGTGATTTAAACTAATAATACACACATCTGCTCCTTAAAGTAGTCTTATATTCAATGCTGGGTTGGGTGACAGTGTTACATCTTCGTGCTGTTTGTGTTTACATAACACCTTAATGGAAATCAGCCATAGTTTATTTTTACACACGCATGTCTGTTAGCTTGCGGACAGTCCTCATTTGTATATCCACTTAATGTATGCTGGTTCGTAGACTTTACTGCAATTTTATGTAGTTTTCAGTGACCTTTTGCCACGTTAAATTAAATCTACTTTCTCTTTGCAAAGAAACTGAACCTGAACATGTTTTGGGGGAGGCAAGAGTTAATGAAGGAACAATATTATCAGTTTACTAGAAGAGCTCCTTTTTTTAATGCTAAGGAAAGGCATCAACTCAAGTGAAGCTGCGTGTCCTATAAAGCTAAATCAGAATCTCATGACCTTTGAGGTGATACAAAGCCCCAGCTGTAAGCCTGTTTCTCTCACCAGACATGAGGGACCGGGGTCATAATTACAAAAGAATTGGAAAGATTACTCAGCATTGATCTTTTTTCATTTGAAAATGTTCTTTTTTGTGTCTACATGATTTTCAGACCTGTCTTTGGTCAGATTCATAACTACCGAGCTCACGAGAGGCTACTTCCTTGAACACAATGAGGCCAAATACACAGAGCGCAGAGAGAGGGTATACACCTGCCTCCGCATCCCCAAGGAGCTGGAGAAGGTAATCATACAAGAATTTTAGTGGAAAGCAATTCCAATGATTGTGACATGGAAATTAACTGCATCTGGATATTCTCTCATCCTTTTTCTCTAGTTGATGACTTTCGGCTTCTTCCTCTGTCTGGATACCTTTCTCTATGTGTTCACACTTTTGCCCCTCAGGGTAATTCTGGCCCTTTTACGCCTCCTCACAGTGCCATGCTGTGGCCTCAGGTACAATTTCAATTTAGTTCCAATCACCACATTTTTATTAGTCCTAAAATGTAGATAAATCTTTGGGTTTCAAATGGTCAAGAAAAATAAAAGGTTAATTTTTTAATTGCTTGCATATATGAAAGACGAAAGAGACATTAAGAAATCAAGTTTATTTATAAAAATAAAAAAAAGGTAAGTTTCACCCAAGCTAGAAACTGACATGTAAACTTTGGAGTATTTTTACAGTATCTGTACCTTTACATCTGAAACCAGTGCTATCCTGTCCTTAACCTCAGGAGGGCATTAGAGCTCTGTCTGTCTGGCTTGGCAGATCACAGTGACCTGCCTGATGCCCCTTTTTTCCTCTGGTAACAGCTGCTTTTCCATAATTTGCGTGTTGTGTAGTGGTTCCCGTTTGCTCCAGCCCGCCCAGGTGTGTGATGTCCTGAAAGGCTTTATCATGGTTCTGTGTTACTCCATGATGAGCTATGTGGATTACTCCATGATGTACCACCTCATCAGGGGACAGTCTGTGATCAAACTCTACATAATCTACAACATGTTAGAGGTATCACCAGCCTGATTTATTTTCTTTTTATCAGACTAATCTGTAACCATAATTTTGCTTAAGAAATGCCTGCCCCCTTCTCTAAATAATGTGGTCCTAAATGTTTCCTCAGGTAGCGGACCGCCTGTTCTCGTCATTTGGCCAGGACATCCTAGACGCTCTGTACTGGACAGCCACCGAGCCCAAAGAGAAGAAGAGAGCCCACATAGGAGTGATTCCTCACTTCCTCATGGCAGTGCTCTACGTCTGTATCCTCACTTGGGATTGCTTTAGCCAGACAGCTTGTCTGAAGTCTTTGTAAAAAGAAAAGCCAGTTTTCCTCTAAATAGTATGCTTTCCTGTTAAACTGCAATGATCTTAATCTTCAGTTAATCGTTTTATTTAACTTTAATTAAAACAGGGAAAATTATGATCTTAAATTAATATTTAATTATGAATGGTCCTTTCCTATTTTTAACTTTTTTATTTATTGTACAGCAGACAGCATACAAAATATTTTGTTATGCAATCTTTCTCTGCTTCATTTTATTTGTAACTAGTTGTGAAAATGGTCTTAAACATAACATAAAGCACTCAAAGTACAACACATTTTTCCTCAGCATATCATTGATCAGTTCTTCATGCCATTCTGATTATGGTTCAGGCCACAACGCTCAATGTAGCCTTCAACTCCCATAACAAGTCTCTGCTCACCATAATGATGTCAAACAATGTGAGTATGATTCCACAAATATATAAAATCTTACAGCCTATGAAAGCTTTGTGCTGCAGCAAGAATCATTTTGGCTTGTTTTGGGGCTCTTTGCAGTTTGTGGAGATCAAAGGAAGTGTGTTCAAGAAGTTTGAGAAGAACAACCTTTTCCAGATGTCAAATAGTGGTTTGTGCTGAGCAATATTTTCCCCTAAAAATCATAATTTTAAAAATAAATATATATTTGTTTTTCATCCTTTAAACTAATCCAAGGTAAATTTGTTGAATCGAGTTCAGAGGCAGTGAGCTCAAAGTAGGTTAATCCAGGATTGATTTGCCTGTGTCCAACAGACATAAAGGAGAGGTTCACCAACTACATCCTCCTGCTCATTGTCTGTCTGAGAAACATGGAGCAATTTTCATGGAACCCCGGTAACTAAAGCAGCCCACGCAAACACAACATGTGTAGTTAATAAAGTGTGTAGTTAATCAAACTGCTGATAAATATATGGATGCATTACCTTACTCCTTTTGATCCAACTTTCACATAGTTTCGTCACAAAGCACTCACGTTTTTTGTGTGTCTCTTTATTTTTAAATCAAATTTTATATTACTCAATTGTGCTGATCTATCTATTGTGTTTTGTTATTTTTTTAGACCACTTGTGGGTGCTCTTTCCTGATGTAGTCATGGTTATTACTTCAGAGGTTGCTGTGGATGTTGTTAAACACGCCTTCATCACCAAATTCAACGACATCAGTGCCGATGTGAGTCCTTTGTTCTCTTTGGATTTTGTCCAGTTTGCATTAACCAAAGATTTAAAAAGATCATTATGTGATCACATTTGATACTTAAATTACAACAGCTGTGTGAATTTATGTGATCATAAGCCACGTTAATAAAAAGATAGAAAAGATGTGATCAAATATTCTATTTTATATGTATTATCTTAATTACATTCTTGAGCATATTTTAATGCGGTATGGCTGTAAATTATGATGCCATGTATTGAAATATAGCTGAAAAGATAATCGGGACAGCAGACACTGACCTATCAGAAACTGGTTGAAGGTGCTTGTTAAGACTTCAACTGTGATGCAGATGATAAAAAGGCCAGGACTAGCATTTTAATCTGTGATAAATAGCAAATCAAGTGAGTGATAAGTCTTATAAAATCTTAATTTACAGCCTCCACAAAGCAGAAGAAAATATTACAAAGGTGTAGTGGAAAACTACACCTTTTGTAGAATGAATCAGTCTTCAGTCTTAACAGACTTTGAATAATTTCCCACTGTCTGTGGGATTCCTATGCAACTCATCAATGTTGTGTTTCACAAAAGGGTGTAAAGCTCTTCTACAGCCTTGTCTTCTCACTCAAGTCACAATCTGCTGATTCTGAGCCACGCTGTCTCATTTAATCTTCACCTTGTAGGTTTCCCACCTCCTTTCTTTACATGTCATGTTCCTCTTTGATTCCTTAAAGGTCCCTTCAGGGTTATGTAACAGAAAGCCTCCCCACAAGAAGGGATTAACAGTTTATCTTCAAACTGTCAAATCTGATCACACAGACCTCACCTCAGCAGAGTTCAAGCTCTTGTGAACAAATGCTAGTCCACTTGTAATGGTAATCCATGTGTGCATATTTTTACTCGGCTACTCTACTCTTATCTACAGCAGTACAGTAAAGTAAACAAGAGGCAGAAATAGCTCAAGATGAAAGTTCACTTTCCCATCATCTGTTACAAAGAATTAGCCCTGTACTCCGTAACGGAATATCCCTTTGATCTCTGGATTATTAATCTCTGTTTTCCAGGTATACAGTGAATATCGAGCCAGCCTTGCCTTTGACCTTGTGAGCACTCGACAGAAAAATGTGAGTTTAAAATCATTAAAATATATATAAGCCTTGTGTATCACCACAAACCAAATAAACTCTGTAGACCAACTCACAGAAACAAACATACAGGACTCTTATGCACCCATAACCTAAAAAGTCAGCAAACATCTTCAACACAGCTTCATATTTGTTAGTAAATAGGAAATAATATGACACATGTTTGAGTGGTGTTATAGTAAGGAAGCAGTTAATTTTACAGCATGCTGGGGAGGGTAAAGAACCAATTCTGAAGAGTTTGGTCTTCACTGATACTCCACCAAGCAAATAGCGTAAAAAGTTAAGACCACAGTTTGTTGTCATTAGAGATGATGTCCCCAAAGCTGTTTTAAAACAGGCAGTGAGATGTTGAGATGTTTTAGAGGAGTTCGGTTTCCAGTCTACATTGCAATGGTCACCTGGTTATTAGTTAAGGGGTGTGTTAGTATAAATAACCCAACATAATTTCTACTGAAAGGCTTTTAAAAAAATAATCTTAATTTTTGCACTACAAACCATGTTAGGCTTGTGTTATTACACATTCTACAACTCCACTCAAAATAGTATGTGCCGAGCCATTCATTAACAAAAGTAGGAGAACAATGTTGCTCGTTGATGCTTTAATGATGTGATGAATGTGTCCACAGGCTTACACAGACTACAGCGACTCTGTGTCCAGGAGAATGGGCTTCATTCCGCTTCCTTTAGCCCTTCTGGTCAGTTATATCTGTCTCTTAAATTCAATGCCACTAAAATTATTTTTGCTCTGTTTGTAGAATGTATAGTGTTAATTAGCAGATTTTTTTGTCTTCTTTTTCCCAGCTGATTAGGGTAGTGACCAGCTCAGTGAAGATCCAGGGTTCCCTCTCCTTTATGTGTGTGCTACTCTTTTACCTGGGGTAAATAATGAACCTTATGCGCCAGTGTTTATGTTTCTAAGAATTTGTATTGTTTTTTTATATTTGTTTTTTGTGCATGCTGCTCACAGTTTTTGATGTGTCTTTGTGAGCAGGATGATCACGCTGAAGGTGCTGAACAGTATCGTTCTCCTTGGAACCTCTTGCATGTTCGTCAAAGAGGCCAAAATGGAAGAAAAACTCTTTGACCCGCCTCCTTCTGTCGCTTCCAGCCGAGTAAACTCCAGAGCTCACAGAGCAAAAGTTTACACTGCACCACACCAAGGTTGTTCACCTCTCATCTCCCTCTTAGAAAATATCTTGATAAAGTTTGATGCTGATTTATTAATCTGCTGATAAACCCTGTTATCGCCCTCTGCAGCGGAGCCCCCGTCCGACAGAGCGGGAATACCCCTGGTTTCAGACATTTCTCAGCCTACAGATACGGCAGAGAGTGCCGCCCCCGTACTCCCCAAGAGCGACTCTGACACATTCCTGACAACGCCTGATGGGGAGGATGATGACAAAATCATAAACACTGACACTGGATTGGAAGGAGAAGGGCTCAACCACAGGCCACCCAAAAAAGACCTGTTGGAGATCGACCGATTCACCATCTGTGGCAACCGCATAGACTGAATGCCGTAGAAAGCCCCAGTGGGTGCTGTGTCCTGGCAAGACAGGAGGGTTCAGGGATCAGACAAAGGTCACGGAGCATGCTCAGACCTGACTCTTTCTTATGCACCTGGCCCTTCGACTATTTATTTATTTATTACGGACAAAACCAGCCAAGGCATAAAGCTGTTACACCGAAGGTCTCATCAGCCGTTTGCAGCTCATCCTGTATGCGTTCAATGAACCAAGTGGACTCTGGCAGTTGGTCATGGTTGTCATGGCAACATGCAGACAGGAGCACATAAGTGAAGCAAGCTGCAGATGAGAAAGTACAAAAGTCAAATGGGATTGTTGAAGCAAAACTACCAGACCATAAGTGTGTGTGTGTATTCAGAAGCACAATCATGCACACAACGAGGAGTTGTTTTAAGAAAGAACAAACTATCAGTTTGAAGATTTCTGACAAGTTGCCATATCTCACAAAAATGAAGTTTTTATTACATTTGTTTTCTCTAAATTGACCATGTTCATCTGCAAGACCGTGACTGAGTCGCACGAACACTTTTAAAGTTTTAAAAACGTCCCGTGAACACACAACTCACATTCAAAGAGATCTGTTTGACCGGTGTCACAGCGACGTGGGCACGTGTAGTGTAACCTGTTAAATGTAGCAGCTGTGACAGTAAAAGCATTTTGCATGAACACATCATCTTCATCTTTGCAGTGTTAACGCAGTGCAGTGTGTGTTGTTAAGCTTACTTTGAAGCACTGAGAAGATGGTGCCTGTTTTGTTGAGGTGCGAGTCTTTATTCGCAGATATTTCAGTTCTTTTTCTGCCATATGCTTTTTGTTTTGATAGTTCAATATCACACTCTGCTCATAATTATCATGAATAACGTATGCCAGAAATGTGGTGCGATCCTTACCTAAGGGGTGTGTGTTTTACCAGCTCCCACCTTTGTGAAAATCTGCTGGTTGTTGATCAGACTGAGCCGACACCGACCTTTTGTTTTCCCTCTCATGCTTTATCAATATTTCTGTATTTTAACGAGCAGGTAGGCCGAAAATGTAAGGTGAAAACCCAACGTGGTTCCCAAAAATGTTTGTATCAATCGTGTATTTTGTAAACGAGAATGCATCCATGTTTTTCTTAATGAGGTGGAGTGAGAGGAGGGGGGCTCCCTGCAGCGGTCGGGCCGACTGGAGCTGCAGCAGGTGCACGCGCCTAAAGACTCGCTGACACTGCAGAATTTAGAACTCAGTCAAGTTTTTCACTCATTTGGAAGTTGTGATGTCTGGCTGGGTGCTGTTCACTGCCTTCCTGTATTTTTCAGAAATAACTTATTTTTTACTTACTTGTGATTTTGATATACAGATAACGCATGAGAGGCAGAACCAGGGCCAGTCAGGCTTCTGAGTCAGAACGCAGTCAAAACGATGGGAGAAATTAAGCGGATGCTCATTAAAGGAGCCTAAAGAGTGAGTGCATTTTGACTGTGCGTACCGAGTGCGAGAGGCAGTTTGCTGTGAGTGGATGGATCTTGCGACTACATTTTTATTTTTCATGTACAAGTCATCTGTGTATTGCGTCTCCTTATGCGATACAAGGAGAATAAAACAAGACTTTGTTTCGTATGTGTTCTGATTTGATTTTAAATGTGTGTGTGTGTGTGTGACAGCGGGGAACAGTGCTGGTTGTTTGAGTTAGAGGAGTCACTGCACTCTCTGTTAGCAGGGAAAACACTGCAGTCCACTGTTTGGCGGAGCAGATGTATGGAGAGGGTCCCTGTCAACACGCATTCACTCACTAGGGCTTTTTTTTTGCCGTCTCAATACATGATATTCTTCTACGTCATCATCATTTACTTTTTTTTATGTTAAGAGTTCTGGGATACAAAAGGATGGAGACTAGAAAAGGACACCCGCATTAACCAGCTTGTATCGTGAACAGACTTTGGGGTTTCCCCCTTTTCAACTCAAACCTCACCTTTGCCAAACTTTCCCCCCAACCTGAGGTATCATCTGCACGGTGGCCAGGCTGCAGAGTCCATGACCTTCTTCAGTTTCATACTCAGGCCCACAAAGAGCAGCTTTAAAGACTAAACTGATCCTTTCAAAATTTGGAACCTTTTTGTGAACTTTAACTAGTCAGAATGCATTGATCTGAAAAACATTTTAAATATCCTAAAGACGGTCTAAAACCTTACAAAAGAAAGTCATACCTGCAGCGTTTAGTATCACAGGTTAATTGTAGGTGAAAAAAAAAACTATTGCCCCTTCCACATCACAGATGGGGGCTCTACTGTCCTCTAAAGGCAAATAGGTGTGGATTTCTGTGCCCAGAAATATCTCTTTTGGGGTAAATTTTAAACTTTGTGGGTGCAATAGAAGTTCTTCCTGTGTTTATTCTAATAGAATGCCACCAAATGACCTAAACTCGTATTTGTATTTTTAGCCTTGTCCCCAGTGTAGGAGATTTTTATGGATTTCGTCAATCTTTTAATACTATTATGTACAAAGAAGTAAATGAAAATAAATACTTTGCATAGCTCGAGGTGGCCTTTACTCATAGAATAGGAAAGAAGGAGAGGAGGGCATGCCATGCAGCAAAAAAGGTCTACTGTGATGAAGACTTTTGACCTGCTTACATTTGGTTCCAACCACTGAGCTATCAGGAAAAGGCTATACATATCAGATGATATCACTGACTGGTAGCCAATAAACCTCAGCAGTTTTAATTATTCTCTGTAATTCTTGTTTTTCTATTCCTAAAAAGAAACTAACATTTAATTATGTTTGCTATGTTTTTATAATTCCTGGTAATTGGGTTTAAGATTTGGTAAAAATTGCATGCTGTTACTATTTTTTTTACAAAGTTCCAACTTGCATGGTAATGGGCTTGACTATATCCTTTGGCGTTAGCAGAAAGTAAACATGAATATTAAAAAAACAGAAAAGTAAGTGTATGATGAAATGGCTTGAGAAAACAAAAATATTGTCTCCAAGTTCCACTCAAAATAAAAGTGTTTCTGCTTAAATTATGCCCAAATTGGACACACAGCACGGTTTTGTGTTTTTAATTTGGGTTATAAGTCAAATAATTACTTTTAAAAAACACAACTGGAGAGTCACATAAACTTGCCATTATGATAATCTGAAAATATTAATCAAAGAAATCTTAAATACAAGCCAATCCGTGATAATCAGTAGGCTTGATCCAATTGTAACGATTTATTGTATGTATTGATTTGAGCAAACTTGGAAAATGTACAGGAACAAACGAGGTGCTCCCCCACTACCTGAGCTTTTGCTTCATTATCCATCCATGATCAGTGAACATAAAAAAGGCACATTTAAAAAGTAATGCCATGACACTTAGTGAGAAAATGAGAAACCAAAGTCGTGATACGATCTTTCAAAAGCCGAGACTTAACATTATCGACGTTCTTAATTTCCCCAGTACTCCTCCTGACTCACAAGTCGACATGTGAAAGGTTTTATAGGAGCTTGGACAGGACGCGGCTGTGATTATAATAACGCAGGGGCAGGCCGGTGCGCTTCCACGCGCCACAGACGCTCCAACGGGCTTTTAGCGAGCGCGAGCGTTCTTGAGCCTCTTCGTGCACGTGAGATTAGGCAGCTCTTATCCCGCGGGACGGTGACTGTGAGGACACCGAGAGAACGAGCACATCCTCAGCCGGTGCTCCCCCACGGGAAGATGTCACTGACGAGGACCCCGTACCGAGAAACCACGAGCTAACAGCCGCTTCCACCTCGACCCGTTGGATGTTCAGTTTGGAAGTTTTTCTCCGGACGCTCGTGTCGGTGCACTGAGGCTCAAACCACCGAGAGGGGACAGGTGTCACCCTCCCTCTCCATCCCCCGCAGGACTGTAGCACCGGTGGGGGCCAGCACCGTTTCTCTTGTGTTTGCGTTTTTCTCCTCCAAAGCCATGTTGTGGTCGAGGGGGCTCGTGCTGCTTCTCTGCTGGGGGGCCACGAGCGGCGAGCAGCAGCAGCAGCAGCAGGCCGGTGAGAGGGGCGGCGTTCGGGCGGCGGTCCGGTCGGACCCGGGCAGGCGGCGCTCCCCTCCACCGATGGAGCCCTTGGATTTTGGGTTTGTACCGGCGGCAGTTTACGACACGCACGCCTACTATGAGCCGGGGACCATAGGCATCCTTTTTCACATGGTCCATGCGTTCCTATACGTCGTTCAACCGAACTCCTTCCCCAAAGGTGAGAAAATGCAACTACCCCTCCTCTTTCCGTCCTAAGCTGTCGTTTTTTCCGTATTTATTTTCTTAATTGACTGTGTGCGCGTGAGGTCTATTCATCGTGTATACATTACCACCGTAATTTTCTTTTCTTTTTTTAACTTTATCTTATTTTGCTAAAATGTTATATGTGACCACTACCAGAAAAACACAATCCAAACAACAACATATGGTCACAACAAAAAACAGCTGCAGAGCTAATAAGCCTGACAATTCTAATCAGGTAATTAGATCTGAAGGGTCATCACCAAACCTTGTATAACTCCCCTTAAGGAGGTGAGTTAAATCAGTTCAAACTGTAATTTGATAGTGTTTAAGTGACATGCTTAAATAGATAAGGAGTGAGAATCTGTATAGATGCAGAAGCCTTGATTAAAGGGTTGTGCAAAGTTAAAATGAGCCCATATTAGCACACCCATGGATTTCAAGCATTGAAAAATTCTTACAGGTGCATCGTTGCTTATTAGTGTTGATGAATGAAAGTGAATGAGCTGTGTTTATATTATGGGGTTCATGCTGAGGTACAGTTAGAGAATGAACCTCAGCCAAGGTAGTATGATAATGTCCATACTCATAAACCATAATACCTTTTGTGATTATATAAACTGTGGACATCCGAAAGTGTGACGAACAATAACCTTTTACATTTTAGAATTTGGGAAGACCATCATCAACCTTTGAAAGCCAAGCTTTCAAAGATCGATGTGGCTTTCTTATTCTGTTGTGAATATAAAGATATGAGGCTAGAAATCATTGTGAATTATAACTCAAATGGACAAACAAGCACAATTGTTGAGGCATGGCATGCAGGAGATGCGTGCGTTTGTTGAGCCTCTAACCTTTAAACCAAGGATATGAGTAGATTAATGGGATCAATACCTGTCATAGGTCATAAGTGAGCTTCTGCAGTCCCATGCTGTAGCCCTGAGATGGGGAATAGGTTTAAGGGTTCATCATTCTCTCAATAATGTATTAATGCCTGCTGCCTTTATTGAGTCCAACTGCCCATTAATGAACATTCAGAGCGTTACAGCCCATTACAAGCTGTTGGTTTGTGTGCTGCATGCTGAACTATGAGTTGTCACGTTGGAGGATGACACGGAGCAATAGGATTGAAGGTTTTAAGTTGCTGCCATTTTGGTGTCCAGCGTTAGGGACGCTGCTGGGTAATCAATTAGCAAATCAGTGATTAGAAGAGGCTTTCTCTGTCACCTGCATCACTGCATAATACCTTAATCCACCGGGCCATATGCCGCTACAGCCAGGGCCTTTCCAGGGTGGTTCAACGTCACACAGGTGTAGACCACCTGCATCACCCAATAACTCCCACATGGTATCTATGCACACTTCAAAGGGGCCCCGCTTTCACCCACTGCACTGGTAAACATGTCTGAAAAGACGTGCCAGGTCACTCTTGCTGTGTTACTACCTCAACTGTCAATCTTATAAGCCAATAACGAAACAAAACAACAACAAAACAACAACAACAAAAAAATGCTGCCACTACCTGGATCGTTACAGTGGTATCACATTTTTTACAAACGTATTCCATAAACACACAGAAATCAAGTAGGAGAGTTGAGAACTTAATTTCTTGGTTGTTGTAATGTGCTGCCATTAGAAAGGCATAACAAACAGAAAAATCTCTATAATAAAATCAAATGAAGGGGGAGAAATATTTTGTATGTATTGTTTGTACTGTTTGAGCTATACAGATTTATAGATACATATAGTTTCCAGTCACTGAATTTAAGGCAGATGAAGATCAAAACGTATATGAGTAGCAGGTTTGATTAGTCTTTATCAGACCAGAGCAGGAAGATGTTCATTGAGCATGTGTTGTATCATGTGCTGTTTCCAAAATAAGCCTTTTGACTGCCAGGGTGTTTAAAAAGATAGCCACCAAACTACTTATTTTAACCAGCATAAGTTATATATGAACTGTGTGTGTCAGATGTCTGCACTCTTGTCTCTGTTCAGGTATGTCACGTTATATTTGTTCCAAGCTTCACTTATAGGTTAGGACAAAAAACCGACTCATTTTCAGGATCTAAGACTGGATGTGACCTCTATGGGACTCTAGTGTTTATTTGTCACTGTAGATTAAAACTTTTGTCTTTTGAGAGTTATCATAGCATATTTGTAATTTCTGTGGCTAAAGTTACATTTTCAGATCCTCACTTTAGTTTCTCTGCTTTTATATTTTAAATAAATTATACACTCCGCTTTCTCTAAGTCATTTTTAGCCATACCAGGTGAAAACCCAAATTTAGACACAGCTTGCGTGACCACAGAAATGTAAACAACAGACTATTGTTTATTTCCTAGCCAGCGGATTACCAGCTTCAGCGGAGGGCAGATGACCCTGTAGTTCTTCTAATTGGTTGACTGACTCATTTCTCTAATGACCAGGGATTTGTACAGGTATACAGTATGCCGAGGGTTCGAGAAAGATGCCAGGATCTGCTTCAGTCAGAGGCACAAGCGTGATGGGTCTTAGAAAAGCAGCATGCCTGTGAAACTCTGACAAGCAGAGGAAATCAACGGTGCACCAAACTATGGCATTTTGTTGTGCTTCAAATGATAGATTTGCACTTATAAAGCTCATGTTTTTTCAACGAATGACAACCTGCTGAATATCATTACTTTGGCAGATATCAAAGTAAATGAGTAGATTATTATTTGACTTTGTAAATAAGAATAGCCAAGTGTTGCTGAGCTCATGCCATCTTATTGTGATGGCACTTTACAATCTCTGGCCAAAATTTAGCAACATTTCCCCATATTGTACTTTAAGTAGGTTCATAAGCATCACTTATAAATTGATTTAATTTTTAAGGCTTAATACTAAACTTAAAACAATAAAAAAGAAGAAAATTGTAAAAATGAAAGGATTTTAGTTCATATTTTTTTGTCATCCGTCTACATATGGATAGACTAATCATTTCTAATACCTGGGGCTGATATAAAAGAAGCAAATTGCTGCTAATGTGAAATACAGGTAGGTTACATTAAACTCTAAAAATGGCTAGAGAGTGATACATTTGAGCATTTACTACTTATGACTGAAATCATTGTTAGGAGGAATTACAGCATTTTGACATGAATGTTGTCTGCTACAAGTACATGGAAAAAGGGGAACATTTTATTTGATGCCCCATTAATTTGATCATTTCAACAAATACATCTTTTTCTGGTGTTCCCTGTAATGCAGCTGACAAAGTCTGGGTTTCAGATCAGATTAGTCCAATGCTGTTTCAGAGGTTGCGCCTCAGGATCAAACTACATTAGAGTTTATGTTCAGCTAAAATCAAAGGAAAACAGATATTGATTCAGCAATTGTAATATTAATTAATTTCTCAAAGAAATCTGGCAAAATCTCCATGAACTCCTCATATTATGTAAATATGATAAAAAAGTTTGCATGTAGAGACTAAAAATATTGAAGTTGCTGCTCAGAAAGACATCATTGAATGCTGGTCGACATTTTTCTAACAAGTCTTTGGAAGGGTTGCTTTTGCTGTGAAGCGACATTTTGGACTGTTTCCTTACTGAGGAGGCAGTGTCTTATCCCTTTGATACACACACGGTGGATTAGGGGATTAGCATCCACAGGGCTAATGCTAACACTGGGCAGCTACCAGTGCTGCAGATGGCATGCTCACACACAAGTGTGCACATACATGCCCGGGCACACACAAAGTGGGTCACTTCCTCGTGTCTGGCTGTTTTTCCTTCATGACTGTGGGCATGGCTGTGGACGTGTTGTTTAGCAGAAAGTCAGTGAGTCAAAAGACATGAAACTTGCATATTCACATGCAGACAACAGAGTTTTCGGATGACTGCTTTTTTTTTTTTTTGTTGACTGTATTTCTACTTAAAATGGCAGACTAAATGATGGAGAAAAGTGAAAAAGCATGGTTGTAATGCTCTCTTTATAAAACTCTCCTTTGCTCACCTATCAGTGTGAATGCAGCCACATTTAGTGTTGACATGAGGTGTTTTTTAAAAATACATTTAATTCTGGATTTTGCCTACATACCCTGTTTTCATTTGGCTCAGATTATAATATCAGTTGCACAAACACCCACCAATGCAGTGTTTGCACTGTGGTCATGAAAGTCAAACTCTGAACTATTTTTGCCGTCTATGTCGGGCATACGATTAAAATGAAGTTAGTAAACCGAAAAATAAACCAAAATGTTTAAATTAAATAAATTAACATGATCAGCCGTTGTTGTATCGGCAACTCAAAAAATAATTTCCATATAAAAAAAACTAACAAACAAACCAACAGAGATGGAACTAGGCTGCATAACAGCAGGTCTGATTTTCACATAGTTTTTGTTTTTCTTTGCTTTACAGTGGATTATGTGAGCCTAAGTGTGTTTTTTTTACTCTTTTATTTTAACCAGATCCCATATAGGTCAGGCTGGGATTTGATCAAAACAGCTGAAACCTATAAAAACCCTGAAAATAAAGGATGTCACAATTTCTGTGCAGCAAATCTTCATGTTTGAATTGAGCCCCCCTTCTGTGGATATGAATTAATGTTCAGCCTTTCAGGTGTAATTCAGATGGTTGTTTGTCCCCTCTTTTCCCTTCCTTTGCAGTAGTTACCTCTTATACTGGGTCACTGAACTAAGCTGTCCAAGCTTAACTGCCCTCAGTGGCTAAGGCTAACTAAGTAGCTGAGCAGCAACAGGTGGCATTGAAACAACTCAGATGTGCTCATATGCTTTATCTGCATACTAAGCTGCAGAGATAGATGCCTTCGCTCTGTCACAATCTGGCACATCCACCACGCCAGCCAATTTTTTTAACTTTCGAAAACAGATGAAACAATCAGTGAAAAGCAAAGTGGTTATCTCCCACGATCAGACCTGGATAGTAATGAGAGGATTAACCATATGGTCACAAAACATATCCCAAATCACTGTTCCTTTTGCTTTTACTCACAAGAGAGGCTTACTAGAAGAAAGTCCAGTCAAAGTTTATTCCATAACACCTTTAAAGAGTATTTTAGGTGTTTAGTATTTTGTTGACTTTCGTTTTTATCAAAGGAATATTTTTTTTTAACTAATTAATTACTATTCTGGGCAAGCCCTCAGGAAACATTTTAATCTGTAATTTTAAATGACTATAGATTACTTTAAATGGTCTTTATTGCACCAGTACATTAAAAGACGGAGGACATAAAAACAGATTGGATGGCTACATCTAAAGCTCTCAGGCTGGGGGTCAACAGGTTGTGAGCAGCAGAGGGCAGGGAAAGATGGGGAATGTGTGTGTGTTTGTGTACATGTTAATCTGTACTATGAAGAGAATGTGTAGATGCCCCATTAACGTGCATAAAATGGAGAAACCTTGTTTTCAACGGGTCAATTTGGATGTCGGCTGGCATTAGGATGAGAGTTTTGGAAAGATTGGTCAAGGTTAGGAAAAGTAATTCGATTTAATGAAGTGTCCTCAGAAGTGATTGAAACGTGTGTCTCTGTGTATGACAGCTGTGTCAGCACACACATGCTAAACTGTCCTCCATCTGCTCGTGTTTAGTGGCGTCATGCCTTCATCATTGGGGGAAAACTCCCTCTGTCACAACATCAAATATCTACATTTTTTCTGTTCTGAGCACATGCTCTTATCTTTCTTATACCTTTATTAATTTAACATTTTTTGCTGGAGATCTGACAGTCTATTCGTGCTGGTGGAAGAAAAATCCAAACTCTCTTTCCAATATCAAGATCAATTCAATCTGGGGATGTGCGGACATGTTTTGATATTCATTTTGGAACTGAGGAGGCTTAGAAGTGGCACAGTCAGTCTAATGGTGTATAAATACACTTGCATGTAATTTTAGAATGTGGAAATGGAAGGGTACGTGTTACATGTTTGCCTGCTGACTAACAGTCTGGATGAGTCACCGTGCAGGTAGGCTTAGTGTTAGCTGACCTATATTCTGTAAACAAGCAGACAGCTGGACCGAAGTCCTCTTTGGCAAACACGGTTTAAACAACTGCTGTGAAACACACAACTGTTGAATGTATGAGGGAGTCCCATCACAATACTGCCTTTGGATATTAAAAAAATGATACCTATCTCTAATCTTTGTAGTTTGCTTGTGAACAGATAAATGGATATTTCTCACTCCAGCGAAGCTCGTCATCCCTTTCATCCTGCTGAACTGCCTAAAAACCACTGCTTATTATTATTTTGCTGGACAGCATCTTCTAAAGTACACATCTGTGTAGCCAAGCACTTATCCATATCCATTTTATGTATATTTTTTCCAGATCTCATTGTCAGAGTCATTCAGCAAAATATGGGAGGAATTAAAATAGAAGAATGGCGAAAGGTACGTTTGATTTAAGTTGCATTGAGCTTAAGTATTTGACTAAAGAATTGTTCATGGAAATGTCTCAATAATTCACTAATGAAGTTCAGTAGAAGCAATATTTACAAGAATTTTACAACCTTATGGTCTCATTTAGATCCACATTTGAATGACATGATCAATTTTCTGTCTTTTTTAAGCTTCAAGTTTAGATTAACAAGAAACTGTGTTATGAATTGCTTAAATTCAACTAACCCTCCTTTTCTTGTGCTTTGTTTGTTCTTGTTTTGGTGTTTCAGCCGGAAAACGTTGTCCTGTTTTTGCAGGTAAACCCCTCATAAATTACATTTTTTCCAGGCTCAATTAAAAAATCTCTATGTGAGGTTGATGAATGGATGAATGAATCTCATTCCCTCACTCTTCTCGTGCAGTGGATCCACTACGAGGCAGGATTCTTAATATGTGGAACCATCGGCGTCGTGTTTTTGGTCCTCACCCCAATCATAGCCACGTGTTTCTGTGTGTGTCGATGCTGTGACAACTGCGGAGGGGAGATGCACCAGAGGCAGAGGAAAAACGCTGACTGTCACCGAGGTTTTTTCACTGCCTCTCTCATCGCCACCACCATCTTTATCATGTAAGCTGCCACCCTTATCGTTACAGTCCTTTTACCAATTGATAGACTTATCCTTTATATGGGTGCAAGTCATAATTAACGTGAATCACAACCAATAGGTTGAATCCAAAGTTTGTCTTTTATTTATAAGTTTGATGAACAACATAGAAAGCAGACTGAGCACAAGTATAAAAAAAGGTGCAAATGAGAGCTGAAGGTTAATTTAGGCTGACCTCCTACCCTCACCCTCAAAGGTTCATGTGATAAAGCTAGGACAATGAATGCCTTGGACCTTCCAACAGGGCCTGTAGGGATGCAGACAGGTTAATCCCTCATGAGGAGGAGGCAGCAGGATAGAAATAAGATCCAAACTGTGCAGGACAGTTAGCTGTTATTGATACTGGTTGGCTGATTGTGAGAGGGCCCTCTGTCTGAATGAGACCTTTCACATGCATGGTCACGCACACCCAAAGGCACACATAAAGCTCTGCCTGGCGGAATGCAGGAATATTATCTGATCAGGTTTTATCACAATTCCCTCTTATGGCAGATTTCATCTCCCATTTCCGGTTTCTTTGTTGGTTTTTATTTTAATTCTGACTCTTGTTTGGAGCTTATGATGTAATGGAGGTCAGGGATTTGAAAGATACATTTGAGACAGAGTGTTTCTTGCCTCTGTGTTTCGTAGAGTTACACCCCGTGAAAAACTAAAAATTAAACTCAGACCCTGTCAGGAAACAACAGAAGATTGTCATAGCATAATCTGCAGTATTTTCAGCAGTTTTAAGTAACTGTACGTGACATCATTCTGATTATTTGACACATGCGAGTCCTCATTACATCCCAATTGAAGCCCCACACCATAGAAGTCCACTTAATTTAACCACGCTGCCCTTTGCTGGTCAACTCGGGTCACTACATTTCTTCCCTCTGCTGATCGTAACTCTTGTGTGTGTTTCAGTCTGGGAGTATTAGTTGCCTATGCTGCCAATCATAATGTCAGCTCTCAGATTAAAAGCACTCGGCGGCTCATTAATACTAACATGAGGGACCTGAAGACATTTGCTAACAACACCCCAGCGGTATGTTTTCCCACACAGACGCACAGTTCCATGTTAAATGTACGTACACAGACAATCTCTAATACTGGTGTCTAATATACTTCCCACTGCAGCAAATTGAATACTTGACAGCCCAGTACACCACAGCAAAGAACAAAGTCCTGTCAGACCTTGACAGTAAGCTGAACCCACTCTGTTTGCATACAGTATTTGTCTACTTTCTCTGTATTTACATGACTTTAACGTATTGTCTTATAGACATTGGACCTTTACTGGGCGGTAGGATCCATAGTCACCTAGAGAAAGAGGTGGTTCCTGCTCTGGACACTGCCCTGCGTATGGCAGGAGGTAACACATTCACTACGTTAGTTTTTGGCATGACCTTCTACTGAGGATGCAGAGCTGAGACTTTTAGGTCCATTAGAAGACCCCACAATCACTTTTTTTCCGTTTCATCCAAACATTCAACACATCTTCCACACACACATTTGAAATGTTCTTATACATTGATTTTTTAAAAACATTTCCACATTTTATGCCTTGCTGATAATCATCACCATTTGTAACTGGAAAACATTTTAGTAGAGATTTTTTCTTTTTCTTTTTCATGATTTCCTTATATTTCTTTTTTTTTTTCAAAGCAAAAATTGAGAGTGCGATCAAAGGTAAACAGAGCTGATCTGGAGTCAGTACCGTGCTCGTGACTTGTCTTTGTGAAAGTGTTAGAACAGCTATTTATCCTGAAACACCTTTAAAACAGACTCTTTTTGTGGTATTCCTTTATCGGTTGTAGATTTTGTCGGTGTAAACCATATTCGTTTTTAGTATAAAATGTTTAATAATCTGACAATATAGAACAACCTTATCATGCAACGCTCAGAAAACAACTTTGTTCTAAAAAACCTTTGACTCACTTTCATCTTCCCTCTTAAGCCATGCGGGAGACCAAAGAGGCTCTGGAGAACATCAGTACTTCACTAGAGATTCTTCAGGACGGGATGGGCAAACTTCAGGCCAGTCTGTCAGGGGAGCGTGCCTCTCTGTCTAACACCCTGTCCGACCCTGCCTGCACCAACGGAGCCGTGTCACAAACCTGTAACGCCATCCGTTCTACACTGCCCCAGCTTGGAATCAACGCTGACTTCTCCAAGGTATCAAAAGCTATAAGAAAAAAAGAATGAACTCATGAAGTCAAATGGATACAAAGCTTTTTGTTTTTTGGCTAGAATCTGACTCAACTGACTCTTCTGCCCTGTTTTTGTCTCTCCCGTGTGTTAGCTCCCTGATGTCAATCCTGCTTTACAAAATGTCAATGCAGTTCTGAGAATAGATCTCAGCAATATTGTCCAGAAGGTCAGTGTCTGCCTTTCTCATCATCGCAGTGCTGTTCATCATAAAACTTTACATTTCACCATCTATATGCTGGTCTTTTCTCTTTACTTCACCCTGCAGGGTTATGCATCCTTTAATGACACACCTAGACTGGTTAAAGATCAAACCAAAAACATTGTCTCAGGTATTTAAATACACATGTTGGTCTAACCAATCCTGAAATGAGATCAGAATGATTCTTGACTGTTCACGCTCTTTTTCTTCTTACTGTTGCATGCTTGCTCATGTACAATGAAACTCAGCTTTGCCTCGTGAGTCCTTTCATTCTTCTCCTGTTAGAGCCCTTGTTCCAACTTTTGGTGATTGCTTAACCTCATACCTTTTCATTAATGGTAATAGTCAATTGCGTGCTTTTCCTATTTGTGTGCAGGAGTAAAAGGGATGCTGGATAAGATTGGGATTGAGATCACTGCCTTCTCCAAGATGTTTCCAATTGAGCCTTCTCTTGCCAATTTCACGATCTTCCTCAACGAACGACACAGGGCCATTGAGTCCTTTTACCCGCAGATCGACCAAATGGACTTTTACAGGTGTGCGCTTGTGTCTGTGGAAATTTAGAAATGTCTGCTTCAACTCTGCTCTATGTACTTTAACTTGTGATGCGGGCATAAAACATGCCAAATAATCCTTTGATAAGCTTGCAATGGTGAAATACAGCTTCTTGTCTCCTAATCTTTTGGGAGATAACTTAATTGTTGGGATAACCCCTCAGGGAATAGATGTAATTGTTCTCTCTAGATATAAATGCGTGTGTCTGTGTGCTGCAGGTGGATAGTCTGTGTGGCAGTGCTCTGCGTAGTTGTCCTGGTCCTGGCCTTTAACATCCTTGGCCTGCTTTGTGGCACCTGTGGCTACGACAAGCAAGCTACCCCCACAACCCGCGGCTGCCTTTCAAACACTGGAGGAAACCTCCTGATGGCGTAAGTTGCCACAACAGAACAGCATTTATGGATGGGGAAAGGGTTTTTGTTTTTCTTCTCAAATTTGGAGCCTCATGTAAGATTAAACTGCTGTTAAAGCTCAAAACCCAAGAAGGAGTTTGTTTGGATCAGATCTAAGATGTCAGGAAGAAAAGAGGGTTACTGGTGTTACTGTGTTATGTGTGACTGAAACTCCTGTTTTTCAGCGGAGTGGGCTTCTCGTTCATCTTCGCCTGGATGCTTATGGCCATCGTTACAACCATGTTTGTCGTTGGTGGCAACGTAGAAAAGCTAGTGTGTGAACCTCTGGCTAACAGGCAGCTATTCAAGGTACTTCCCTGCTCGTCCTTTTAGATGAATCTGAGGGAGACTTACCTTCCAACTATTGTGTTTTGTGTTGGACTGAACAGTTGTTGATGAGAATACATGTGTGTTTGTATACACACAGATCATTGACACACCATTCCTAGTACATCCTGAAAAAAGGAACTTCCTTCCCGGGATGCTGTTCCAGAATCCAAATATTGAATTGACATTGGGCAGCGTGTACAGGTACCTTTTTTTTCACAAAAAAGGGGTTCATTAATTAAACTACATTTTTCTAAATCGTTTGAAATATTGCATTTGTCTGACAGGGATTGCCACGATAACAATGGGCTGTATCACGCCCTGCAGCTGGAGACCATGTTTAACATTAACACCTTCCTCAACAGAACGGTGGTATGTATCTCTTTTGTTTCCCTTCATTTTGTGACTCTTTTGCTAATGCATTAATGGAGCAACAAAGAGGGACGTTTTATGATTTGTGATGGGGTTTTCTTTGTGTATCTTATACCAGTACAACAGGGATTTGGCCAAAGTGTTTGAAAGCGTCCAGGTGAACCTGGCGGACATCACACTCCTGGAGCAGGCAGGCAGGGACAACCTCATGAACTTTGCCAACTCTGGAATTGGTCAAATTGACTATCCAACTTATCTTGCGGAGGTATTTATTTTACACGTGCAGGAGTGTGTGTGTTCCTGTGTGTGAGTGTGTGTGGTAGAGTTGCTGCTATGGCTCCCCCACCTGGACACAAAAATAACTTAAAGGTTTAAGTAAGTTGTCTTGAACATTTTTCATAAACACTTAGCATTCTACAGGTTAATATTCCCCAAACTTTATTTATGCATATATATTTCCTTGTATGCAGTTTTTTGTATAAAGATGACAGTAACAAAAAAAAAAACAACTCAATTTGTTATAATCTTTGTTTTTTTATGTACTCTATCTTTATGTAGAAATACAGAGACTTCTATTTATGTAGCCATGCCTAATGAATGTATTATTTTCTTTTTTTAAAGGTAAATAAGGGAGTCACTGCTGTTGATCTGCTGTCCTTCTGCTCCGATCTGGAGGATCAAGCTGACCAGCTGGTGAGCCCTGTGACAGTTGTGCAAACTGACAACACAAAAAACAGTACTGCTTTTGTTGTTCATCAGCCAAAACCAATAGGAAAATATAACATTTCAGTTTTACAGTTCAAATATATTCCCAACATAGAATGGATGATTAGAGGTTATAAAAGATCAGTTATATCAGGCTATGAAAATATGATCTATAAAAGATATAAAGTGAATGTCCCTATGTCAGTCATTATGAATCTGTTAGTGGCTTTTGAACTGTAACATTTCACTGATCTGAAAAAATCCTCCCCATATTAAATTATTTGTTTAGATTTGATTTCACTTTCTGAACCAGAGAAGAAATGGCATTATCACCTCATCCTTCCACAAACAAAATGTGTTAGCCTTTTTTTGTTGATAAGTAAGCATACCTATTGATAAGTAGGCATGCACAGCACTGGGTTCGCTATATGTATTTCCCATAAAGCCTCAAAGTAAAAATAAAGATTTAATGATCTCTGGAGAACACTTGATCAAACAATCTGCCCATTCACCCTGATAGCACCAACAGTTTTGGCACATGAGTTGCAGGGGAGCTTTGCCATTAAAGCATATGGAACATGATGCTGAGGGATTAGTCTACACACAGTAATATGAAAAAGAAAGAACATCCTCTTTTATTTCTAAAGCTTTTACATGTTCGCCCATAAGATCGACCCCAGATAAACAAATGCTTTACCCTTTAACAAGTTAAAAAAAGCATTATTGTTCCGTTTTTCTTTTCTCCTGATTTCCAAAATCTCGCAATTGAAACAGGTGGTTGTTGGTTTTTATTACAATGTATGCATGTTTGTAATACGTACACCATTATATTCTGGATATAAATACATTTTATTTCTTGTAGAAAAAAAAATAAAAATCATCAAATAATAATCTGAGTTTCTTCTGCTCTCAATGCCTTGTTTGTTTACAGCCACGTGGTGCTCTCGAGAATGCTCTGAAAGGGCATGCCAGCAGCATCAGAACAATTCACAAAGAACAGGTGGTCCCCTTGGAGCAAGCAATGGTAATCACTCTTCCTAAACACAACCAACTAACAAAACTTCTGACTGTTAAAGTGACCTTTTCTACACATGTAGCATTAAATACATGCAAGTCCTCTCCCACCTCCAGGTGCACTTTTCATTCACAACAAAATAAGAAACTCAGCTGCCTAAAAGCTTCAGGAAACCAACATGATGGCATGAAGCAGATCAGCTGGTTTAGTTTGTTCAGTCATATCACAGAAAAATCAATATCTTTATTTTTGTTACTTCCCGTGGTGCACTCACTCCACACTCTCAAATTCATACAACAGCAACATGAAAAAAACGTATTAGTCTAAGTCAAAGATGCAGCTTTTCTAAATGTCTGTATCTGCTCTTCCCACTACCCTCCCTTTTTTTCTTCCTTCTGTTTCTATAAATGGTTACAGAAATTTGTCAGAGCGAGGGTAAGCTGCTGTCAGAGAAAAGCAACTGTGGCTGTTTTCTGTTTTGTGATAGTTGTAACATGGTGAAAGCAGTCACGTGTTTCAGTTTTTGTGAATGTGTAATCAGAGATTTAGGAAAGCATTTCAATATCGTCATAGTTTTTTCCTCTCATACAGAGCACCCTGAGCCAGAGTATCAAGCTCCTACAGAGGACGTCCAACGACCTGCCAGTGAGTTTACTAGACAAACAAAAATCAATCTTAAAGTTCAAGTAACTAAATCCCTTTTATTCAAATGATTTTTTTCATTCGTCACAGGTCAAAGTCACTAACGTCCTTGGTGCGCTTGATGCAGCAGAGTATCTCATCACTCAAAATGCCTCTCATGTAGTAAAGCAGGTACAAGAATCAAAATGTTACATGGGCTTCTTGTGACAGTACATACAGAGTTTTTAGAAGTTTACAAGGCTTTAATTGTGAAAAAACAAATTATATTAAGGTGATGCTAAATGTGTGTAGTAAAAATACACTTTTGATTTGTTTATAGGGACATTTCTTGGAAATAACCATTTAAAACATTCGAACTAGGGTGTTACAAAAAGAAACATTAAATTTACCTTTAGTTTATTTGGCCTGTGTTGTGTTAATTTCCCAAGCACACAGTTAAAATCGTGGAAGACCATGCCCTGAGTGGCTTTCATAGCTTCACTTCACATGTTTTTGTTAATAAAAAAAGACTACCGGTAAATCAGAGGAATTACGCAGTGAATGACAAATGAAAAAACTAATAACCCCGGTTGTAATGCAGTCATATTAACTTGTGTATTTTCTAGGAGACAAAAGCATTTGTGCAGACCTTGGTGGGATACTTCAAACAGTACACAGAATGGGTTAAAAACTCAGTGAGTATTCTTCACATTTTCTCTCATCCTGCCAGAACCCGGATACCATTTCAGCAGACTGATTGCATAAGGAAACCTGTATAAGGAGCCACTGTTAAAAGAGCAGTGGATTTACTGTATAGACGTTCAGCCCACTAATGACTGAGCTTGACTCAGTTTAGCTGAACATGGTGTTTAGGTTTCAGTAAAATACAGATGCCAGAGTTGTGGGCATTGCAGATTTCCTGATTGAGCTTGTTCAGCTGTTTATCGGACTTGAAGTCAGCATGTAGGAACAAGAGTTTAGACCAGAGGAGCATTGAGCAGGTATATCGCATGTAATCCTATTCCATGTGTTTAGTGTGCATCTGTGTGTGTGTTACTCCTACAGCTAACTTCAGAGGTGGCTCAGTGTAAACCCATCAGCAACATGGTGGACAGTATGGAGATAGTAGCGTGCAGCTTCATCATCGACTCAGTGGTAAGACTGTGCACATGTGTCTGAGGCTAACAGGCAGACGTCTGACGTGTGTTCATTCATTTCACAGCTGTATGCACAGTATATGTACCTTCATGTATGTGAATGGTACCTGACATTATAAATGGCTCTTTGACGGTCTGATGGAGCTCTGGGTTTTGGGACTGGAGTCAGCCAGCCAAGCGTCCCAGAACAGGATGTTCTGAATGTGCGCACACACTCTGAGATGAGATAGAGTCTGTTTTTAGGAAAGGTGGAGCGTATGGACATAGATTGTTCACTGTTTTAACGCAAAGGCAACAGAGTTGTAAAATGTATGTTTACATATGAACTATATATCACACATTTAAATTAGGGAGTTTAGTGTGAATCCAAACAAGTTAGGAATGTAAACAGGAGTGTTAAAAGTAATAGGTGCAATATAACCATAACTATATGTGAACAGTATATTTCTCGTGCATCCATATGTGCATGTGAATACTATAACAACATGGCCAGCATCACTGCAACTATTTGCAAAGGTTTCCACTAGCACTTTTAGTTTAGTAGAAACGTCATTTTAAAAATTACACTCTACAAGCCACAGTCAGTTTGTGTTTCCTCTTTACAACACAAATGATGCATGAACTTTTGTTTGTTTTGATGTCAATTTAATTTATGGTCTACTGGAGGTTTCTGTGACCCCAGTGACCCCACTAAGCCTGCTTTGAGTCTTTAAAAATGTATGAAAATTGAATCTGCAATTGAAGTGCAGCTCGTGTATATCAAATCAAAACATACCAACAGAATATATTAAAGAAAGGAAGACAAAAAAAAGCTGAATTTACAGATTATCAGTGATTAGCTGGAGCAACTAATTATCTTCCTGGTGAATTATTTTCCAGAACACATTCTGGTTCGGTTTGGGAGGTTGCTGCCTCCTTCTGATCCCCAGCATCATCTTTTCCGTCAAACTGGCGAAGTACTACAGGCGGATGGACACAGAGGACGTCTTTGAAGAGTGAGTTCAAACACACCTTTTGAACATTCAGGAACAACATTTAGTTCATTTTGCAGCCAAGTTGACTGAATCTCTTGGTATAGATCAGAACAGAAATAATTAGTCCTTTTTTCCTTTTCTTTATGTCATTACTCTTGTTCACACTCTACGATTCTCCTCACGTTTGATCCTTGCGTTGTTCCCTCCTCAGCTACTCTTACCCGTGGCTTGTTGCTCTGTGAACTTTCTCTCCTATTTCATGCACCTTCTCGCCTTCTTTTGTGTGCCCACTCTTTTTGGTGCAGACATTTTGGGTTTCTTTACACCTTTCTCACTTGTTTACATTGAAATGACCAGCATGGTGTCTCACTCCTTTGCATGAACCTTTCCGTCACTACTCACCATCGAGTCTTTGTGTTGGGCATCGCTCCCTGTGGATCACTCCACCCTTCTGACTTTCCGAGGCGTTCTCTCATTGTCTTTCTCTTCCATACTCCATCAATCTTATGTTGCAGTATAGCTAACACAAGTTGTCTTGATGAACAAATGTGTGATATCTATGGAAACATCGCAGTGGTGAGGTACGAGTCATGTCCACTCAAATCTGCTCTCTTGCATGAGGTCATAATTGGTGGAGGTAAATTTCTGTCTGTAGACAGACTGATGTTTATTGAATGCAGTTTTCCTCAAATTCCTAAAGAATTCACTTTGTGTGTGTGTTTAGATTTAGCTCTCCTTATTATGACACTTTGACTCGGTTCCCTCGGGCTTCTGCTCCACCATGTGACTGGTGACCCACAGGATGCCTCTCCCAAATAGAGGTACAGATCACTTATAACCACCAGCTAACCGTCATCCAACAACCCCATCAAACAACCCAACCATCTAAGAAACACCCAGCACCAAGGAGTCATTGGTTTGCCTTCACCCACCTGCTCTGATAGATGTTTCATCATCACCCACTTTTTTCTTTCCGAAAAGTTCTTCTTTCTTTACTTCACATCTCTTTTAGCATTCAAATGTTCCTACTTACCAGAACAACTGCTCACGTTCATCTGGTCCGGTCACCCAGCAGGTACCCCACATGTCCTGCTCTGTTGATGTCCACTGTAGAATTTAAACTGCTTTAAGGAGATTTTGTTCTCTGCGACATCACATGGAAAAAGCTGCAAAATCAAAATATATCTAGAGAAGTTATGTTCTGTCCAAAATAAGTGCCCTTTGCTTGTTAATATAAAGTATACATTCAAACCTAAGATACAACATCAAGCTGTTTTGTCTCAGTTTTTTTTAATGTGGTACATAAACTTTAATGTCTAACAATTTCAGAGACACTATAAAACTATTTATTTAAAACTTTGCTGATATTTTCTCTGTCATTGATATAATCTTTCCATCAATAATCTTCCATACCTGCCTAATCCCCGGAGAGAAAACCACACATACAAAGAGAGAATACTCAAACTCCACACAGAAAGCCCCCCATCCGGGACTGGAACCAGAAAACGACCTGCGAACCAGTTTTTGATTTATACTAATGGATTGAAGGGATAGAGTTAGCCGATGCAAAACACAACCGCAAAACGTCTCTAACTCCATAAGGCAATTCCAAAAACTTGAAATTAATTTGTTTTGTTTATTTTTTCATTCACAGCGGACAGGAGAACTGGAATTGATCGGTTTCCTTAAGGTAATAGCTTACCTTATAGCTCAATCTGTCATCAGTAAAGAATCAAATTAGGCATTTAAAAAACAAATAACCTGGCTTCTCTTTTTCCCAGTGTCACTGGACTTTAGATCCTTTTACATTTCCACGGACAAAAACGAAGAACAAAAGCAATCAGGAACCGATTGGTGAGGGTGTCCGGCCCACCCTTTCCTTCCCCTACCCATTTGACAACGACCTGCGATGCCTGCCAACTGCAAAGCCGTAGAGTCCTCTCATTCACAACAGCGACCAGTCACCCAAGTTTCATGATGTACAAAATCATCTGTTCCTGTGTAACTATATCTACCTGTAGAGAATGAATTTGTGTCCACATTCTCAGATTTACCAGGTGTACATTTTTTACACTTTCAAAACATTTGAAAGTTTTATATCTTTTTATCAATCTCTGTTTTATAACACATTAGTAGTTTTTTTTTTTAGCAGTAGTTTTTTTTTTCTCTCTGTGAATATTTGTAATATAGCTGTCATTGTTTGGGTTTTCAACAGATGCATTGACCAGATAGACTTTCTGGGAATAGTTTGACCCGTTGGAAATTCCACTTTTCTGCTGAAATTTTAGGAGGATGAGACATCTGTCAAGAGGCATACAAGTCTCATAAACTAATCTAAATGTTTATGCAAATTGTGTCTATTGTCTGAAGAGCACTGGTGTCAGCAGAAACTTTCATGGAAATTTCCCCAAAAAAAACAGCCTTGTTACCCAGCAGAAAGTTGGGGGATGTCCATTCTCATCAACGTCTTCATGTAAACCTTAGCCTAATCAAAGGAGTGAAAAGGGGAATTTCCAGAAACATTGAACTATTCCTAAAAACGGAATTAGTAAATGTGCAGCTCAGGTGGACTCTCTATTTGTGTCTTGAGGCATGAGAGGTCCACCACTTACCCTGCCTCATGCCACTAAACAACACAAAGACTATGTTCAGACTGCAGGCCTTAAAGCTCATTTCCACTATCGTTCTCAGAGCTCATTATTTGCTGACCTGTAGCTCTTTTTAACGAGGCCAGTATCAGATTTCAGTGAGAACCGTTCTCCTTACTGAACCACCAGCAATGCACAAAACTCAACAAAGTTGTCACTAGGTATGTGAATCATCCATCAAAATTATGAAAAAATGCTAATCAATGCAACCAAAGCAGCTTTCCAACTCATAATGTAAATACGACTTAGAACTTGCACAAATTCTGATTTGACCGGAAAGGCGGTTGCATTGCATAAAGAGGACTCTCTGTATCCAGTTTAACACACAGTATGACCATGAACCGAAGTGGCCAGAACTGGTGGCTGTCACACTGTCATGAAAAGATCAGATCCAGCTCACATATGAGCCAAAACAAGAATCGTATTTGCTCAACATTTGACTTGCAGTCTGAGCGTAGCCAAAGTGTCACAAAGCTATGTCAAACCCACACAGCAATTTTGAAAAGAAGGTTTTTAAGAGTAAACACAATTACTGCTCAGAGATTACTGCACAAAGGCATTTCTCCACGGACCGTAAATGAGGGCCTAATCGCTGTGATGACGGAAATCAGAGGAACACGTTAAAAAAACTTTGGAGTTCATGGAATCTGTGAATAAAAAATATAAAAATATCCTGTACTATGAAAGTCTGCTTCATGTTTTCTTCAGCAAGCATGAATTTACTGGTCATAAATTTTCAAGCAAATTTTTTTTTACTCTCGCTGTTTTGGAAACTAAAGCAAAAAACCCGTTTTCCAGCAAACCCGGTAACCCTGCAGATCAAGAGAATATCTGTAAACCAGGCAGAGGTGTGCGCATGCACTCAGCAGACGGAGGTCGATAGCTCTGCGGGAGACGTGACCAGAGTGGGGGCTGAGGTGGCATGATGCTTTTGCACCCTATCAAAAGAAGACTTCAGCATATTCATGAGAACATCTGGTCCAAACAACACACACACACACACACGTACATTTCTATATATACGTGTGCAGACACACACTCTGCATGTTGGCCCCGTTGATGTCTCTAACAGGAGAAGTTTTTCTTCCTCACCAGATTGACTGCTGTAAAAATAAAGACTCCTAAATCTGCTGCAGGCAGCTGATGTGGAATATTTCAGTCTCTTCGAGGCCAGCGCCTGTTTTTATGTTCTGTTTCAGAGGCTAAAACTCACAAGAGATCAGTGAGGCCTGGTTTTAAGCTTAACAACTCCAGAACAGTAAACTGTTTAAAGTCAAAATAGTCATTTGACATAACTCAACTATCTTGGATTTCTTTATTTAAAAGTAGGCCTCCCATCTCCAGAAAAACATGGGGAGGCAAAATAAAACACAACAATCGTGTAAATCTGTAATTGATGATATCTGGAACATGGGGGCTCCAGAAATGAGGTCTCCTGCAGACCCTCTTTGTCTCCTCTTGTCAATCTCTTGAGTCCTGGAACTAACTTTGCAGCAAAATAATTTGTTTTACTGCAACAATCAAACTATTGTTTTCCTTTAGAAAAAGTTGATAGCAACGTTTTAGCTTTGACAGTAACGCTCCAAAGAAAAAACAGGTTATGACCAATTGAAACTTTGCATCACAAGAGAGCCATTATGAGATTTTTATCTCAGTGTTACAGAGTTGCTTTTAACTCCTCTGTAAACAGCTCCGGGCTGCACTGTGGCTTTAGACCCTCGCTGCTCTGCCCTCAATCAATGATCAATGAACCTCCTGTGTAGGATTATATAATGTCTAATGTTTTTCATAATATTTGGCCTCCTGTGTGTGCTTTCATTATGCTTCTTGCCCTATTTTGGCTATCTCCCTCCTCTTTCCTCTTCCTCCCTTCGTTTCGTATCCCCCTCCCCCCTTTCCAGCCATCTCGTCCATCACTTTTCTGGGGTTGGAGCGTACCGCACGTACATGTGTGTGTGCTGTTGGTGCACACGTCTGTGGTGTGAAGAACCGGAGGAGGGGTTTTTAGCCCTAAACCTCACCTGAATAATACCTTCTTTGTGAGCCCCGGCCTTATAAAAGGGGGAGCGCTCGTGCTTTTGGCTCTTGCACATCTCAATCCTCCGTGCAAATCAGAACAAATTCGTCAACCCCGAAACCAAAATCGAAAGTCGCCATGAGAGCCAAGATGAAAATCTTGCTGCTGGTCTTCGCGGCGACCGTTTGTTCGTCCAACGCTCAGACCAGCAACATCAGCAATGACAACAAGCAACCACAGCAGCAACCACAGCAGCAACAGCAGCAGCAACGCAGCATCTGGGACGACCCCATCAGATTCAACACCAAGAGCAAGGACTCCTGCACCATGGTGGTGTCCGGGGCCGGGAACTACACCCGCCTGCGTGTCTCCTGCAAAGGGCCGAGCCAGACCACTGGACGGTCCTACTACTGTGACTTCCAGGGAAAGCCCAACCAGTGTCGCGCCTACAGCCAGAACCCCCGCCACTACTTCACCCAGATGATGTGGGAGCTGAGGAAGCTGAACAACGCTTGCCAGGGAGCCAAAGTCTACCGTCCGCACATGTGCAGGAAATACCCCGACGAGGCTCAGATGACCTTCCTGAGCTCCTGGCCCAAGACCACCGTTCCCAAGACGCCCAAAGAGCCACGTAAGCCCGTGGGGCCCGGCAAGCCAAAGCCAGCTGCTACCTCTAAACCTATGAGGGTTCCGACCGATAAATTGCCGCCGGGCAAAGGCCCCCAGCCCAAGAAAACCACCCCTAAGCCCGGGAAGACCACTACTCGTCCCACAGAGCAGCCTGAATCCAAGGCCTCTCGCCTGGCCTCCGAGTACTGCTGGAGAAGCTTCCACGGCATCTGCAGCTACTTCTTTGGCTGGTGGCGAGAATGAGATGTGACCTAATTCGCTCTAAGGTAGGTGACGGAAGAATGAAGAATGGATAGACGAAGGGGTTGTAAGAAAATTAGGACAACAGAGATGCATTCCTGATATTTCCGTAATTACATAATCTAAAGAAACAATCTCCTGAGGACTTTTCTGTTGATGTTTCAGGTTGAAGTAACCAGCTATCAGCACACTCTTCCATCTTCAAACTCTCCGGAATCTGTATGAAAGCCTTCAGTCATTCCATCCCTCAACAAGAGCCAGCGTCTTATATTTAAAAAATCTCAATTTACACCTGTGTATACGGTCGGATAACGATGGGACATGCGTTTCATTTCTAAATTTGAACATGCGGCGAGGCAATTGAAAAACATAAAAGGCATGCGTTTCTGTTTGTATGTGATGTAAAAGTCATTCCAAGTGTCGTGTAAGTGTTTCAGCAGCATGTATTCCATGGAAGAAAACATGAAGAGAATAAAGTCAGAGTGGTGACCTCCCCTCTTCTGTGTCTGTTTCTCCTTATGAGCTCAAACAAGCGGCAGGCTTTCACACTCCTGGATGTGAACGGACTCTTTGTTTCCACTCATCTCTGGCTGTAACAACATGTCTGCCGCCCGGTTGAGGAAGTTGTTACTGCGCAGACACAATCACTCACAGAAGGTGTCTGAGCAGAGCCAAGCACTTCTTTGTATGAGCTGATGAATTGAGTCTTAAGAGTGGCTTTGGAGGAACAGAGGGGGTCTGTGTCAGGGCCGCAGTAAGTGTGGCTGGAGCCCGGCTGTTTTTAACACACAAACACCCACTCATGAACAGGATGAGGATGGGGACTGCTGACCACTGCTCTGTTTTTTCCCCCGTTTTTTTTTTGGGATAGTTCATCGAGCAGTTTTTAGACATTAAATGCTCCTGTTGTCAGATCAAACAGTGCTTAAGTCTACAGAGCTCTAACAAACCCACAAAGAGACTTTGTTAAGACTACAAAATGTGTAAATAAAAGTAAGTCATAAAAACGTAAGCAAAATAAAGCAATAATAGTAATCAATTAGGACATGAAACGAGAAAATAAACAATCTATTACCATCATTGTAAGGGTGAGGGAAGATTCTGTTTATTAGACAAAAGTTGCAAAAAGAAAAGCGGAGCAGATAATTTGTAGCATACTGAATTAGACATTTCCAGCATCAAGTTAATCTGATCTACTTTGATTAATAAACACATCTAAAAATATGCAAATAAAGAAAGCATTTGTCTGTTCCAGAATTCTTAATTCTCATTTCTTTTAACCCCAAAAAAATAAAGTGCTGCCAAAGTGTAATATTATTCAAAAATAGCTGATTCATGTAATTGATTGACAATTCGGTTTAATGTAGGCCACTCTGAGGAAATGGTAGAATGTCACACTGTTACGATACAACTGAAACCGTTCAAATCCTTGATACTATAAAACAAAAGTCCCATGGTCATTAGTATGAGTAGAAAAGTGACATTAGCTGTTATCCCCTATGCATAGGAGTAAAAGTAATGATGTGTTGTTGCAGCTTTGTTTTCTATGTCATCACTATCTGCCAAATAGTCTCAAACTCAAGGCTGAACCTCTCTGAAAGGATGACAAAATAAATCCGAGGAGCTAGCTAATGACTGAAGAGCTTGAAGAAAGGGAGAAAAACTGGCTGAGATTATTGGTCAGAACTCAGACGACAGAGCCTGGACTGAACATAAGATGGTGCTGCTGAGCAGAAAGAAAACGAGGTAAGACACGAGGGTCATGGAAATGTGTCAATGTCACATTTTTTAGGACAATCATGATCAAAATGTTTTTTATGTAAAAGTGTGAACCTTCACAAACATTTGATGTTGAAAGTACCGGGGCAAAATGTTCTCATGCAGCAGGTAGGTCCTCCACTGATTCATGCTAAACTTTTATGCCAACAGGCACACAGCCATGTTGCTTCCATCAGTTTAAAAACCATCAAACTGACTCAGTTCGATGATCAAGTGTATGTCATGAGAAGATGTGGTATGTGCCCACGTGGCCTTGGAATGTTGCTTCAATATAGACAGATATGGACATATAAGTAGCATTTTCCAACCTGACAGATACATGGCAAAGTTCAGCCAGGCCACAGGGCTGGGAGGACAGAATCACAGGGTTAATATCAGGTGCAAAACAAAGAAGGAAGGACCCACAGGAGTTTACAAGAAGGAAATGACATCTGGTAAATGTGTTACTCTTCGGCCAGTAAAGATGCGAAAGACAGAACAAAGGCGGTTCGATCTCATGGTGTGACCTGTGTGAACTCAAACATCTTGAGCAAATCTGTCCTTGGACAGCTTGTATTTAATGTTTTATTTGATCACACCATTAAGAGCCGATGCTAGCCATGCAGGCTGGGGTCATGTGCCATTTTACTTAATTTCCTTTAATAGCGCACTTTACCACCATGTTCATACCTGAGATACATTCTGATTAAATATCATAACATTTGGGGGGTTAAAAACACATATTTTGATGTCTTCATGTTTGTGGACATTTTGGGACTTTTCTTATGCTTGTTTTATATTCTTTCTTATTGATGCTGGAGTCCCTCACTGATTGGCATTCACTAAATTCAGGTGGCCAAACATTTCTCAAGATGAACCCTAAAGGCCTATTTCAAATCACCTGACAACTTTTTACCTGATAAGTGATGATTGTGCAGTGCTTTTTCACAACTTTCTGAAGAAAAAAGACTAAGCACCTATGTAATGGAGAGGGGAAATCCCAGCAATTGGAAGCTGCTTAGGAACAACAACTTGAGGCTCCTTCAAAAAGACTCTTGGAATGCAGAGGATCTGCAGATTTACTTGTCAAATCTCTGTAGGTTCAAATGTGTACTGATCTGCTTCACATCCCCAGATACATTTTAAAATAATTATATTGAAGTTTTGTTTACTCTTGTTCCAGGTTTTGGAATGACAATCCCTACAGTCCACCTGTGTGAAAACCCCCACAATTAAACTCTTTTTTCCAAACAGCAGACAGGAAACACAACTGGACATGTCATGTCCATTACATATTGTAGAAATGAGATATATTAAAGTCGCTGCAGATGACATGTTGAATTCATTTGATGTTCCAACGTGTACAAACAGATTTCTCCTGTGTGCACTGCAATTTAAAAAACACAACCACCTCTGGCATCTGTTGTGAGCCGAACGCAGCAGTTTGTAGGAAACCTTGGAATCGACTCTCACACAGGTCCCGGATATTGTGTGTGAGGAATAAATCCACAGTCTTCACAAATGCGTAAATCTATTCGTATTATTTGTATCTTTTAGTTCTTTCCTCCACTGTAATTGGCGCGAATTCAGACTTGCGCGCGTCGAGCCACACACACACAAGGACAAACGACTGGAATCGGAAACGGCTGCCAACGTTTTTCCTCAATGAATGAGCATTTACGTGCGTACGTAAGAGTGTGTGTGTTTGTGCGTGAGATGAATGGTGGGCGTGCTGCATATCTTTGTATGAAAGCCATGCGCCAAACCGCACAGAGCCGCAAAACGTTGCTTTACGCGCAGCATCACTGGTTCGTTTCGGTAAGTTTGACTCAGTTCGAGTTAAAATATTTGTATTTCAGTGCAATAAAACCTTGCTACCATTCGGTTATTCATGGGCTTCTACCCTAACATTATTTAGTGAGCAGCTGCGATGCAGGTGGAGTGACTTAAATTAAAGAACTTTTCCAGTTGAAAACTAAAAAGTGTTTGTAACTGTTGTTTTGCAGTTATTTAAGTTGATCTCTGTTATTGATGTGGTGGCGATCAGGGGCTTCATTTCCACCATTTATCCCTTTCAGGTGATTTTTTTTCCCCCTCACAAAGATGTTTCTGCTGAGAGCTCTCGCCCTCTGGCTGCTGCTGGCTCTTTCCCTGTCCTCCGGGCAGCGCGCACCGGGCAGGCCCGGCGGCCGGGCGCAGAGGAGCGGGGGCAAGGGCGCGCTGACCAGCCGGGGGAAGTTCTCCACCGGGGACCAGATGCAGTGCGCGTGGAACGCCAGGGAGGTCAGGGACGCCGTGAAGATGCGCGTCACGTGCCAGAACCCCAAGGCGAAAACCAAAGGCGAGCTGGTCAGCCTGACCTGCGAGTACAACGCCAAGACCCAAAGCTGCCAGCGGTCAGACCCCAAAGGCTTCTGGAAGCAAGTGTCCCGCGCGCTCAGGAGGCTCCAGGGCAAGCTGTGCAGGGACGAGCTCGCGCTCGTGAAGACCGGGACGTGTAAGCGCGCACCCCAGGACGCGCACTTCAAGCTGGACGCGCGCAGCGTCTCGGTCTCGCATCACTCCCAGGGTCCGGTCAGCCCCTCACCTCCGCCGGGAGGCCGGTCCACCCCCGCCGGACCGACCCGCTGCAGCAAGTCTGACCACCGCCACACCGCCCAGGAGTACTGCAGCAGCTCCTGGGCCAGCGTCTGCTCCTTCTTCCTCTCCATGCTGCAAAGCGAGGACTGCTAGCTGCGCATAGATTCCACTTTTTTTTATTTTATTTAGGAGCTCAGAGGGTTTAAAAGTTATTCCAGAGAAATGATAATAGCATCTTTTTTTAAACGAATGCACATGAATGCGAAAGAACTGGGTAGGTTTTAATTCACAGTGTGCTCCGATCCAGGGGTGCTTATTTATCTACAGTCTGTACTGAACCTTATTTCTGGAATGTGGACATTTTGTTTGCAGTTTTTAAGTTTGTTTTTCTAATTTGTGACATATTTCTTTGAGTTGGTAATGTAGGCCATATATTTTCTCCAAACTCCAGTCAGCACTGTTCAGATGCAAGTCAATTATTTTTTGAGAAAAATGAATCCCAATTTCATGATCAAATTTAGAAAAAATATTTATTGAAATTGGTAAAATACTGTAAAGTAAATGTAATTCGTACTAATTAGTAATTAGTACTTTAATGCTGCTTAGTGGTGTTCCAGAAAGTACATTTTTATATATTTGTCATGCAGTTTGTGATACTTAAGTGAATATTTGAATATTCTATTTTGCTATCTTAATTTACATATTTTGGAATGTTTAAAGTTTGTATGTATGTTTATGGTAGACACTCTTCTTCTTCTTTAAGGCTGCATTTGATATTGCAATTACCATTTACAGATATGAAAAACCATCTGCTCTCATCTCTGCTTTATAGTTCTGCACTATAATGAACATTGTCTTCCTAAACGAGTTTTAACAGCACTGTAACAGCATCAGAATCTGATCTGAGTACTTCTTCCATTGCTGTTTATAAAATAAGTGACTATTAAGTGGTGATAGCATGTTCTCTATCTGTGCAGTCAGACACTTGAATGACATATCAAGTCCTGTATTTATACACCATCAATAAAAATTTGATACTGGCACAATGTTCTTCTTCAACTTGAGCGATTCAAAAATCAATTCGACAGCTGTTATCTAAACTTTTTTCCCGTGATTTACTCTTGTGTTTTTTGCTCTCAGGAGACTCACGGTTATCTCTTCAGATGTTCATCAGCAAATCAAAGCAAAATCAAAAATACTTATCACCAGATCTAACAACACAATGTCTCCCAACATTCCATCGACACACCCTCGGGGTGCAGCAGCACACACCCACGACAGACTCCCAAATGCAGAAGTGGGCTGACTGCATGTGGCACCCTGTCCTCCGCTTTCCTCTGGCAGCCTCTCATTACAGCAGCGCACTGCCAGGAGCTCACTTCTACACACAAAGGTGAGGGAATAAAAAGCAATCCGCTTGTGTGTGCACTTAGGTGAGAGCACTGTGGATGTAATGTGTCATCCATCTCTGAGCGAGTGTGACCCCATGTGTGGCTAATAGCCTTTTCCTGTCTGCTCTTGACCCCTGACACCTCTGACCTGCTCTCTGTCCTCCCAGACTACAAACAACTGGAGAATGGTTTCCACATTTTCACCTCCTTAACAGCCTAAAAGGACTGTTTGTGGCCATATTGGTTCCTGGGGCCCTTCACCACAGCTCTACTTTGTATCCCAGTGCCAGCACACGGCCAGGGAGGAAGTCATTCGAGGTCAGAGGTCAGGGAAGAAGGAAATGAGGCTGCCATACAAATGTGTTTGTTGTGGATTCCTCATCTCTATGTTTATTTGTCATGTGGGTTCATTCTTTTTATGGGCTGGCAATAGATAAAAGGGAGATCAACCACTCTATCACTTTGATTCAGATGATAAAAGTAAATTTATTCCGTGTCCGTAAAATTCACTGAGTCAAACAAAACAAGAAAAAAAACTCAAGTGATTTTTTAAAACACCTTTTACTTTACATTGCTCACTTTCATACCTTTAAAACTCATCCATTTCATTCCAAACAAACAGTATTTTTCCTCAGATTTATGGATTGGTTTTGACAAGTACATTTCACAGCCTGTCTCTTTAATTCGATTCTTTTGGTGAGGCATAAACCCTTTGTACGCAACACAACTACAGTCCTGTTGAGACGAATACACCTGAAAGGTCATCCCTTGTAATGTGTTAACGGAGAGAAGAGGAGCCTGAAGGAAATTCATTATTGTCAATAACAATCAATTCATTTGAGACACATTCATGTGCACTGAGTGTGTCTTCCTGTTATTTCAATAAGAACTTGTGCATGTCTCGTCTTGCATCTTAGGCAATAGGTCCCACCATTTTACAAACTAGAAATCCCACATGAAAGCATCCGCCTTAGCTTAGTTTTCAAAGAAAGCTTTTGTGATTTGACAAAAGTTCCCCGCACCTATTCAGTCAAATGTGTGTCCCAATACACTAAGCTATGCTGATGGTGTTCCGATTCCCAGGATTCCAAACGCTGCCATTCTGTCAAAGCTTATAATAATAGATAGTTTAAACAAGGGCCTTCCAACACAATAAAACCAGTACAAACATGTTTTTAAAGATGTGTTTAAAGATTTGCTTCCTATTAATCTTGACATTTTGTTCAAAGAATTGAACACTTTGATGTCAAAGCTGTGAGGCTTTGTTAGACGCTGTGTGGAACAGAAAAAAAGTTTTTTTTACCTACTGAACACCTCACTGAATGTGCTTAAAATGCTATTCATCACAATACAAATAGTAATTATGATAGCATCTGATGTCAGTGCTATAAAAATATAAATTTAACTACATATGTGGTCAGGTTTCTTAAAGTATATTTCAGATGATACATTAGGATGCCTAATAGCACATTAACACTTATCAACCTGGTGATCCCCTTACCAGTATTTTAAGCATCGATCTTTCTAATTTTGCAAGTTCCCACTATCAAAATCCCAACATGGCAGGATAAAGTTTAGTGTAAGCAAAGAAATTAGAATCATGGAGGTTTTCAATTAGAAAAACTACTGTGGGTGTAGTCTTCACTGAGGGGCAGACTTTGTAGAGTCAACTTGATTGTGATGTGCAACACCCACTGTGAAAGTTGCATATCAGCACGGCTGAAAAAAAAGCCCTCATCACAACACAACTCAGTGCTCCACTAAGTACCCAAGATCTGACCTACAAAGCTGGCTGAATGCATGCGCATCCACGGTCTCCACCACCCAAAACATGCGAGGCAGCCATGTGGGAGGAGTTGGGGTTATTGTTTTCCCGTGGCTCGAGGTGGCCTGACCCCACACCCTGCTGATCGGACCGTGTTATTGGCTGCCGGTTTCTGTGGCAACAATCAGTTCTATGGAAAAAAATAACAGAGAGTTGGAGTGGTGTACTAAAGCCCAAGATGACCTCTTCCTTAATCCTACGAACACATAAACCTACATACAGTTAAACACGCCAAAAAGGGAAGAGCTTTACTTTAGCTGCTACTGATTTATTTAAAAAACGATCACGCTAAGACATTCCTTCCCATTTCCTCTGGTACAAACTGAGATTTTCCTCTTGGATCTTTGTATTACCCAGCCACCCTATTTGGCATAAGCAGTATCGGAAATGGATGGATGGAAGTTATCTATAAGACCTTCTCACTATGTCAGTGGCTACATCCCACTGTCCACTGAAGGGTTAACTGATGATTCTGAATTATCCCCAGGAGGAAGCATGTATAGCTGTTTGGCTCATTAGGCTTTGCCTCTGCCTGTAGAGGACAGGAGACCTGTCCAGGGTATCCCCTTACCCAGAGTCTGCTGGATAAGGATTCACCCTTCAGTATATTTTGTAACAGGGATGTAACGATAAAGATTTAATGGATGCTCCCGTAAGAAAATGTGTTTCTTACCCACTTGGAAGACATAGTCCAGGTATTTTACTTAGATGAGAATAGCATAAAGTATATGTTTAAGATTCTCTGTTACAGGTAATTGTAATTGATACAAAATTATATACTCTGCCCAACAAGTTAAATGTAAATATGTGGCATAAACAGGTACTGTATACATTTTCCATTTGATATGTTCCAAAAGGAAATAATCAAACCCAAAAATGGAAATTTCAAAGTTAAGTACAAGTTGCTCAGATCTCCACTTCAGTAAATCCAGGATCAACCACACCGAAGGCCCATTTTTGTAAAGCATTTAGGCATGTGCTGAAAAGCACTTACCTCTTTCATTCTGTCATAGAGGGAAGCCATGAGAATGTTCAGCGCTGTCTCTTTTTCACATCCATACAATTCTGTTTCCCTCTTGTGGCCACAAAATGCCTGTACAAGTTTAACATAAATATCCTGACTGAAAGAAAGTTTGACTGGCCCACACTGTATTTCACCATTGATCTTTTTTATATATATATAATTTTGCTGACAGAATAGGTTGATAAAATACATCGGCAAAAAACTTTGACAAACTGAGATGTTGCTATATTGTGAAACATATTCAATCTTTTAAATGAAATTAGATTTTTGTTTTTGCAATAACAAATCTTCAAGGAAATTATTATTATTATATGGACAATGTCTTGTCCAACACACAAATCACTGAATATTGCTTTCTTCCAGTAAACTAAAGTACATGACTGCCTCTCTTCAGACCACAGTGCATGTGTTTGGGGATGGTTTGCATTTATCTTCTCTCCATATCCCAGGTCCTCCTGGCAGTTCTGTCACAAAGATTAAACACATTTGTGCATTCCCTACTCTTATGGCATAAAGTTTTAAATCCTTTGCTTTAAAGTCATCTTTGGTCGACCTGTAGGTTTCACTTACTGTTTTCATATTTTCTTTGTACTTGTTCCAAATTCTAGACATGGTTGGCTGTGAGCAGCAGATATTTCTCTCCTACTCTATGTGTGAAATTACATTCTTAAGGAAGTTGATCAATTCTCTCTATTGTCTCCCTCGTTGAGGTTGTGTTTCCTGCTGATAAACCAGGTAGAACAACCCAAAGGGCTGCACATTCTCCTTCGACTGCAGATTCATATTTCATGCTTTTGCTAGAAATGCAATCTTCAAACTTCTTTTATCCAAAATGAAATGGATAGTTTGTGTGATATATGCATGGTTTTGTTTTGTGAACAAAAAAAGAATAAACAAGCTTGAAGTGTGGTCTTATACCATGGTTGTTCAGACAGAAAAACAGGAAACAATCAACTCAACACTGACCGTTAAGAACTGAAACATTTAATAATGCAGAAATTGGTGCTGCCATACAAAGTGCTTACAAAAAAGAGTGTTTTCTGATACTTCAGCATTTTAAATGAATGGTATGACACCGATTATGGTGTAGCTATTAGTAGACCCAAAGCTACATTAATGTGAGAAAAATGTTAGCTACCTTTTAAAAACATTGTTTGGAATCATCGTTTAAAAAGACCAGATAGGCCATGTCTGTCACAAAAAAACAAAGTTTATTTTAGCTTGTTATTATTGTCAACCCATGGCCAACAAGCCCTAATAGGTAGGAGGCACTTCAGAGGCTCAGATCATCAACCCTGGCCATGGTTACGCGTCATCTCCTCCGCAGAGCATAAGTAAAGCCTTGCGGTAGTCACCACCGGTATCACCCTGCAGGTGAAACAAAGAGTACATAAGGTTTAAAAAAAGGTAACGGCAAGACTTGATGGACTTATCAAGTACAAGTGTGTATGCACCTTGATCATTGAATGCAGAGAGCACGCAAACAGCCTTCTGAACTCAGTTCTGATGTCCAACAAGTCCACTTCACTGCGAGTCACCATCACCCTAACCAGGGTGTCATCATCAGTACCTGCACCCTGAAACGAAGACCGAAACATGTACTGTAACAACTGTCCCCTTCAAAGACGTCCAGAAATGACAACAGTCCACAGCACACGCTGTGATCACATACAGACTGCATGTGGAACAGAATGCTGGCATTGAATAAGTATTATGTCTATACATCCACATGTATTTACACCTGTATTGGCAATTTATTTGTAACATGACATCAAAGTAGTAGCTTTTATAAAGTAGGCTGAATGTATGTATGTATGTATGAAATATGGATCAAATATCCATTGCATGCATCTTTTCTAAAGATATTAATTAGGATTGGTCTTTTCTGAAAAAGGTCAGCCCAACGGGCACCAGAAATCTGCATGATGAGATGGGACACTTAAAGTACATACACCTATTTTGTACCGTCAATACAGCTTAACTTAATTATCTTACCTTCATGGCATAGTACAAAGTCTCAGCAAAATAGGCTGGAACGCTTCTGGCACACTTGACTTCACAAGAAAAACAAAAAGAAGGAAAAATGGTTGAAAAGTGGGAAACCGTGAATAAAAGAACAGGACAAATTGTGTGGAGTTGTTCGTACCCACGGCAAGAAGAATGGCTTTCAGGTTTCCAGATGTTTCTCTCTGGATACTCTCCTCCAACTCATATCCAGACAACTTCATGTACGCATCAAAAACTGAAGAGAACATTCACAATAGGTCTGAGTACAGTAACTCTGAATGATTGGCCAGTCCTATTCAGAAGCTCATGAATTATCTCACTATTCCCTTGAGACCATTCTTTCATGTGGCAATGGGCAGCTTTTATTGTTCATAAGCAGGATGAGTCACAAACCTTTCCTTAGGTGTTCGGCGCTGCGATTGCCCAGGATGGTAACAAAGGCCTGCTCGTCAGTGCCAAACTTCTGCTCTCCTGCCTTAAAGAGAGCCTGAAACCACAAAAACCCAGCAGATTATTAAAGGTTCCTTGAATGTGTTGTGTGCAGTCCTTGATTTACACAGTAAGTTGAGAATTTCTTTTAGTGCCTTGAGCATTACTATGCATATCTTAAATAATTTACCTTTAAATATTGCACTACATGCTGATAGATGGTTTGGAAAAGGGAGGGATTCTGACTGTTTTCGTGGGCGCATACATTTTATAATCTGCTGAAAATCAGCTCAAATGTTCAATAAAAACAACCAATGTGCTACAAATAATGAACACAGACAAGAAAAAATGTACTGTAGCATGGAGGTAGAGTCAGGGTTGTCAGCTTCTGCTTTAAAATATTTAGTGGGAAGGTTTTCATTTCTTCCTCCACAAGAGGGTGACATACCATCATCAGAATTTTGTTCAACGAATGACCAAACACATGACAGTCACGCAGTTCCACAAACGGACAAAATATGCTATTTATGTAGACGACAAAAGCGGTTTTGTGACTTACCTCGGCATCACTCTCAATGTTTCCCCCCTGGATCCCTGCCTGCCTGTTTGCCTGGGAAGGGAAAAAGCACTTCTGTGAACAGAGGAAGTGAGACAGAAAAGGGAAAGAGGAGAGGATGGGATCGGCCTTACCTGAAGCAAAATGACCAGGAGCCTCTGGAAGTGACCGGAGGTGTCACCACACACATCCTCCTCCAGATTGTCGTCGTACTCTGAAGGCAAACACATGATTTCAGCTACAGGTCAATGGAATTAAAGAGCTCATAAAAAGCCTCCGGCAAATTGATATTACTCCAACACAAACTGTTCCGCTTTATGTGAAATAGATCAAATCTGTGGGCTGTTTTGAAGAATGACTTTACTTTTGGTTGCGATTGTGTTTGTTTTATTCTGAGTTTGTTTATTCTTTATTCTGCTGCTGCTCCAGGGTCAGGAATGTGCCGGTGGATATGTTACCTTGTCGGTAAGCGGCGACGATGTCCTTGACCTGCTGAGAAGTCCTGGAAGCCAGAACCTCCACCAGAACCTTCTCATCTGTTCCTGCCCCCTGCAGGTCAAAGAGGGAAATGCGACAAACGTCACACAATACTCGGGCCCAAACTGATATTGGCAAGGTAAACTGTCCCACGAGACCAGAGTCATTTTTGCTAACTTCAGTACCTACCTTGATCGCATTTCGAAGTAATGTCACATCATATGCCAGAGGCGGGGTCATCAGGGCCACAATCAGGTTCTCAAATTTGCCCCCCAGCTCACCCTTCAGGTCATCAATTAGATCCTGGACACGATAAAACAGAACATGAACCATCCGTGGGACCACATTTTAATGCTATCACTATCTTGTCTTTCATCTTTAAGACTGTGTTCCTCAACTCCATTTTCTATACCCCCTTGATCTGTTTTGCATATTGACACTCTACCGATGCTCGTATTTGGATGTGAGGTGTACCAGGTGATAATTGGGTTATAAAACCTCAATATGCTTTAAAATGTTTATCCACCTCTGAAATTAATCTGCTCTGTCTCAGGAACGGTGTTGTCTTTTCTTATATAAAACCACATGTAAAACTATTCATCTTTAAATGAAAACCCTACTTCATATGCATGTGCTATTGCTGTGATAATAGAAGTGTAGATAATGGCACAGGTGCTGCTAAACTTAAAATAATCCACGCCAACAATTGATCATGCTTTGCAACAGTGTTAACTCATGGCATTGCATCTACTCTGGACTCTGGATTCCTTGTTCTTCCTCAACTCTCTGCTGTGTAAGCAAAACCTTTTCACAGACAAGAGAGTGTTTTTCTCTTCTGGGGGATCTTTATACACCAAGCAGATGTGTCCCACATTCAGATACAAATGGGGAAAGAACATATCAAATTTCCTGCCAAAGAGTGAATTCTCTCGTGACCTGATGGAAGCTGTAAGCTGTAATTACTCTGCACACACAGAGAAGTCTTAGGCAGCCATGTTACTGTCAGAGGAAATCCAGCGTGTTTAAAGTTTCAGCATGTTTGTAATGTTTCAAGAGATCAATTGGTAAAAATTAAATATGGTATTCCCAACAATGTCTTCATTTGTGCCAATCGTAAGCAGTTTATACCACACGTGCAGTCATCAGCACATCCTACAGAGCAGACTTTAAGAGGATGACATGTTTGGTCAATGAAGTCTCAAAAGGATCAAGTTACTTTTTTGTGTTTTTTTATATTCAGCATAATTTGCTCTTTTTGACTAATTGTATTGGTGTTCAGCTAAAGATGACCCCTCACCTTTCCATAGAGGGTCTTGTAGCTGGCCTTGATCTCCTGCCTCTGGCTGTTGCTGCGAGCCGTCACCAGCTGCAAGATGGCATCCTCGTCGGTCCCTATGGCAACCAGCACAACCATTACTCACACACGCGGCGCTAACCCCTCTCATGTGCTCTCCTGTTACATAAGCTGCATTCTTGATTACATCTGGTGAACCCGCTTAATTGCAGCTTTATGACCGCTTTATGGCAGCTTGTCAGCAGAGTTTCACCCCAATGTCCATGTGTTTCTGAGTCACTGCCGTCTGAGGGAGCTCAGCTTCACTGTGTCATGCGGCTATGACTACGACATCAACCTTAAAGAGGAACTCCCTAAAACAGTCACACGCCCATCTGATGTCGACACGCTTACCCAGCCCTTTCATGGCCTTATAGAGAACCTCGGCGTCTGCACTGGCATTGAAGTTAGCACTGGCTTTCACGGTTCCTCTGGTGGCCTGCAAACAGAGTGAGATAAGTTTTGAAACTGTTTTTTATGAAAGTTTGGATGCAAAACTTTTCTCCATATACTAATTTTTATTCATTTTCACGTAATTTTTTGTTATAATAACGCTGTTTAAATGACAACTCAGTGGGTTTATATGTACATTTATTTGCAAGCATCTAAATGATGACATGAAAACATTATAACACTTGTGACTACAGTCTACTCCTTCCAAGAAACACAAACAGTATAGCAGAGTAAAGTGGCAGGATTTTTATCCCAAGAGGGGAACATCTACAGCTGAAAGCCACTGGAATGTCTCTGGAATTTTGACCGTGGAAATGCGAAGAACGAAAACCTGTGACATCCAAAACATGCTGCTGTTAACAACAAGGACTCTGCCTGTCCCTGCAGAAGGAATGTCCAGAAGCTTTCCTTTTCCATAAACACATGCCAGCCCAGATCAGATCAGTGAGCTGACTAACAACCTGGAGATACTTTGGTGACAACGAAGACAACTTCCACTGTTCTGTATCTGACACATACCAGAACTGACAGCAAGTTGAGACTTGGTGGTCCGGTTGGAGCTATCCTGACTTTCCACATGTAAACACAGCCTGCGACAGCACTTCCTATCACCCAACCTCCTCCTTTCATGGGCCATGATCGCCATGGGGATCATACACCAACCACATAGTAACGCTTCTGGTAAAGGAAGTGCCATATCTCAATGTCATAAAAGGTGTTTTATTATTAACCGTCCTATTAGAGTTTGTTACCGCTTGTCTAACCCAATGTAAGGCAAACAAACCTGTCTATCAGCCATTGTCTCCAACATTAATGTGTCAACATTTAACAGGAACTCACTAGGATTCTAAAAAGTTGGAAGATTAGAACCAGGTTAGAATAAGCTTTTTAAAACCTCAAACCCAAATGTTGTATATAAGGATGTGAAACTTTTAAGAGTAGTTCATAACTCCAGTCAGTCAGTAAACCACTGTAGTAGGTAGAAAGAAGTAATTCCCTGTTTAAAGAAGCAGTATTGTTTTTCTATCAACTCCTTAAGTTTACAGTATCCAAAAGAGAAACCGCTTCAGTTTTGGATGAACCTACAAAAGCATGAGGGGTTTTAAGGTATCTAATAATCTTAAACCTCTGTCTGTTTAAGAAATAGTTTTGCATATATCACTTCAGACATTTTTTTAAAAGGGTCAAAACCCCCATCTGATGGTGCCTATAAGTTTAATCAGTTTTATCTGTACTCCGACTCCACCCAGCAAGGAGAAAAAAGACTGGTTTCGCTTTAAGAGAGGGAGGGTGGGAATAAACTGGACACCAGACGTGGAGTTGAAATTATTAAAGGCAGAAAGAGGTGGAGAGACAGAGGCCCACCCGAATGGAGCAGAGCCCATATGAGTCATGCACTAAACTTCCACAAACTAAACCACTTTCCAGCCCCACAAGCATGCGCAAAACACACCCGAAGTCTCATGGAACCTGGTTAAACCTTAACACTTTAGTGAGTGAAAAATGCTCATTGATCCATTTGTATGCTCAGATCCACCTGATTAGAAGTCACTTCATGACCACTTTTCATAGAGCACTTTTCCTTTTTGGTCACATATGGACAGCCATATTCAATAGCACACAAAGTTTACATTAAAACTTTAAAGATACAACAAAACTGTATAAAATACATAATGAATGAATTGTAAAAAAAAATAATAATAAAAAACTTCAAGTACATTAGTGATAAAAACGCTATGAGTTTTATATGATGAGGAGCCCAGTGGGCGTTGTCTTTAAGTTCAGTGGGTTAAAACCGATGAGTCAGACATTTGCATAAATAACGGATTTCTACAAAAAGTCTTCGTTTAGACTCATTTTTATAAGCGAACTTCCGTTCTTAAATAACGCTCCCCTTTAAAATATGTGATCAGAAATGTTTGCCATGTGAAGTACTTACCATTTTAACAGTCTTGGGAGGTTTTTCAACGGTGAGAAAGAAGGCTAAAGGAGAAAAGGAAAAGGTTAGAACAAAAGCGAAACTTCCGTGTCGTATACGGTGAATCTGTCAGCTTTAAGCCAGTTTCCTGGTCTCTGTTGTCGACTGTGTTTTTCCTCTGGGATCAGATTTCCCCCTGTCTCATGTCGGCTCTCACCTGGCCGACGCAGTTCCACATTTCCTGTAAGTCTGTGGAAACTTACCGCTGAGCAGCAGGCGTCAGATGAAGCTCGCTGGGAGAAGCAGACAGATCCGGCAGACAGAGAGGCGGAGAGGAAAAGGAGCAGAGAAAAACGGAACCCACCGGAATAAACTCTCCGTGAGCGCGTGAGCGTGCGTGTGCACGCGCGTGTGTGGGCCACACCCAGTGCGTCCCAGAGCGCAGGAGCGCCTTTGGAAGCACTCTGGGAAATGCATTTTTAAAATGCTGGGCATTGAGTGGACGAAAACACAGAGAAAACGAAAAGAAAAGACATTTTCATTCTCAAATCGCGTGTCTTGAAAACGTGGCGCTGATATAGAGATTATTCAAAGATTTACAGGGGTGTTTTTACAGAGAGGTTGGAAAAAGAAATGTGGACTCTAAAGTAAAAGGGAATTAATTTCAGAACATTTGTTGTCATTATTGTTTATTCAGTCGGTTATAGGCCTTAATTTAACCTGGATTTGTTTTTTTCCCACCATTAGACATATGTCTTTTATTTTGTTTCCTTTTTTTTTTGTTAGCTCCACCCCACTCCAGAAGAAACTTTGGACTCTAAAGCCAGGAAAAGGACCCTACTTTACATGCTTAATCTGTTAATGCAGAAAAAAGAAAATTTGATTTTACAATATGTTTGAGGGAGATAGTTCCGTGCTGCTATATTTATGAAATACATTAAACATTACAGCCACTAACTGTCTGTTTTATTTAATGCAGAGAAAACAAACACTGTACGACTTCGGAAAGCTGTTGCTAGCCAAAAACACATAGACATTTGATCCACAATTGCTGTTTAAATATTGATTAGTGCATCTTTATACATCAGAACATAGGAGCACACTGCTGACAGGTGTCAGAAAACACCCACAAGGTAAGCCATACACTAAGAGAACATCTAACGTCATCAGGCTGAGGCACTGTAAAATTGTCAGTGATCCATATACAGCCTTAAAAGATGCATGGAAACACAAAGTGACATGTGGCACATTGGAAAATGTGTCACCTATGAAACTTGGCTAACATTCTCCATAAAGAATGTCTACAATGAATGTAATTTGTGTTCTTGTTAATTTGGAACACTGCTCATGTTGTTGTCTTCTGGCTTGGCATTTTGGGAATCTTCGTACCTCTAAATTCCTATTTTAACTGAGGGTAAAACATTGTTTTAAACAAAGAAACTACTAAACACACATACAAAGGCAGACATGTTAATAGGAAGAATGTTCATCCAAATCTACATTAAATAAATTCATAGCTAACAGATTTGTGCATAGTCTTAAGTCAGTGTGTGTTGGAATCTCATAGCATTACTTTAATCACAATTAGTCTGAGCAATTCCATGTATATATGTAAAATTGACACCTTTAAATATTAAACCATGAGAGTCTATTTCAAACTAACGATAATATAATGAAGTTACCAATTGATGGTAAAACATTCCAAGCTAGCAAACTCTAGAGAGAGTCTTATTGAGTGTCTATAGGTCAATTAGTTCAGAATTTCATTGGATGTATTATAATCTGCAAAATATTAAGTAGTTTGTAAGAAGACAAGAGTAGGCAAATGATTTTAAATTATCAAAGCTGTTGAGATCATGTTAGAAAAAGGTGCAAAATAATTAAATGATTGTGATTATGATTATGATTATGGATAAATAGATAACAAATCGCCTTATGTGCTGTTATAATAAAACAATTCTGGCATCTAGCCATTAATATTCTACAGTACAGATGGGCTATATCCTAAAATAATCAAGAACATTCTTACTCTGATAAGCTAAAAGAACTTCCATATGTTTTCAATGATTGTTTTATTCACATACCGTCAATACTGTTCGTAATTAAATGTTTAAAAGTTTGTGAGTTATAGTGCCACCAAGTGGAACAAAGGGAGAAGATCCACATAATAATGACTGAGGACAGAAACTCGTGAAAACTCTCATTTTAACAAGATACTGAAGACGTAAATAATTTCAGAACCCCCCCTCCTTAAAAAAGAGAAAAGAGGACACACAAAACTTTGAGCTGATTGCAGAAATGGTTAATTGTATTAGCCAGTGCCAACGACAAAATTTTTATTAAATGGGTGAAAAGAGAGGAGTTTTATTTACCTCTCTACTATAGTTTCAGCTCAGCTTAAATAAGATATAGATATGATTTTCTAGTCCATATCTCGTTATCTCTTCACCAAGGGGCAGACGTTGATACGGAGTAATCGATATGCCAATCCTTCGTTTCTAGAAATTACGTGATTTAACTTCTGAGCTCTCCTATTTTAAGGCTCTCTCATCTGAAGATAAGACGTTTTTTTTCTTGGCTGCTTTTTTGTTTTTGTTTAAGTATGTTGTTTGGAAAACTTGACATGTAAATCTAACTAACATTTCCCGTGAATCAGCACAACAAACGGCTGTTTGGTCTGAGCGACCCCCCCGTGCCTGCAGCTAAGTGGTATGGTCGACAGAATAAATAGCAGGTGCCGAATCAACTTTCCACCGACCGTTACCCAAACAATCGTGCGGACACAGTATTTTTAGCCTGCCAGCCAGCTCACTGCCCAACGCTGCGAAAATGGAGTGGACACCGATGGAGATTAACCCCGAGGTGAATAAAAAAAAATTGAATTCGCACTGTGACGCTCCCTATGACAGAAAGCCCACTTACCTATACCTTTTTGTGTCGTTACAGATGCTAAACAAGGTGGGTACCAAACATTAGACCGAGACAACTATTGGTAACGTTTTTGTGCAGCTTTCAGGTAAGTTTGAAAGAAGCTAATTAGTCGGTGCTGTCGTTAAACCTTGACTGAGACCAATGCTGAAACGCCACAAGGCCACCAAGCAGCATATCGGTGCAGTTTACTTGAAATAATCCAATTTTCTGGGTAAGGCACTGTGATATTACAGAGAGCACACGACGGCTCACGTGAGAAGCGTTGAGCTACTCCAAGGAGCGGCAGCATCCTCCCCAGCGCTGCCTCCTGTCTGGGCTACAGGGTGTGGTCTGACTGGCCCAGCGCAACGCAGCATCTTGCAATGTCTTCCCAAGGCGTCTTCTGTCCACTTCCTAATGTTTGCTGTTAGTTCTGTGAACAGCCAGGTGAAGTTATGTTTCGGTTTACGTGCGTTTCCGCGTTTCAGATCATGAACAAGCTGGGAGTGGGTGAAAGCTGGCGCTTTGTTGACGTGCTTGGGCTGGAGGGTGAGCAACTGTCCGCCGTCCCAAAACCATGCTGTGCTTTGATGCTGCTCTTCCCCCTTACGCAACAGGTAATAATCGGGTGACTCTGTGTCTGCTTCCTGGATGGGATGGCGTCAGGGTGGGTTGTGCCCTGTCTGGGGTGGGGGGGCAGGGAGGGCATGGAGGATGAGGGAAAGGGTATGGTGTTGCAGTGGTAAGGATCTGTACTGGGGATGCTGAGTGAATCAGCAAATTCCATCCCCCCACTAACACCTACAGATGCGTTCATTGTGAATTTTATTAGGGTTGCTGAAAATGTCCGTTCTCTGGAGTATTGGGGTGACATACAATGATAACTGATTACACCTGATTAAAGGAATGCATAGATATCGCTGTATGAGATAAAAGTTTAGACCTGATATTAATCTTGATTTATTTCCAAATATACACACGACTTGACTACAAGAGATGTGATCCTTTGGACAATGACTAAGCACTCTGCCCTTGTTTGTCCGTGTGTATGGCAGCATGAGTCTTTCAGAGCAAAACAGCAGGACAAGGTTGCAGGAGGCTCAGACGTTTACTTCCTGAAGCAGACGGCAAGCAATTCTTGTGGCACCATTGCCCTGGTGCATGCTGTAGGCAACAATAAAAACAAAATGACTTTTGGTGAGTGTGCCTGAAAGTACTTTTGCAATTTCGAGTTGGTGAGTGAGCTTGTGAAAGGTCTCTTATGCAGTTTGGTTAAACATTTCTGAGAGACTAGTACATATACACACTGTTTCTTTATACTGTACATTTTTAGATTAAAAAAATATGTATATGTGTGAAACGATCATAAAGAAAACTAATTTTCCAGTTTGAACATTTAAATGAATTCCTACATGTTAAAAGTCTGCAGCTTACCATTCGTTGGTGTTTGCAGATAGTGGCTCTGCCTTGAAGAAATTTCTAGATGAAACTGCAAACATGTCTGCTGCTGATCGTGCAAAACATTTGGAAAAAAACAAGGTAAGGCCTCTTTTTTTTTTTTCTTTTTTTTCTTTTAGAATAAAATATGAAGGTTGATCAGCAGAAGAAGCTTATGTGTTGTGCTCTGTAGAGGGTAACAATTCAGAGGTTACAGTATTCCTAACACGATGGATCACAATCCATCATGTTATGAATACCATGCAAGCTATGTTGTGACCACTTGGGGGCGCCACACACAAATAAATCCCGTTCTCTGATGTTAAAACTAGGAGTAGTCATGGTTACATTTAATCTCAGCAAGTAGATTTGACTTTATTTATTTATTTTTTTGTTCTGAACTATATTAAATATTTTATGTATCTTTTAGGCAATCTTGGAGGCTCACAATGAGGTTGCTGCACAGGGACAATGTCGGGTAAGATATGTAGCTACATGAATGCACATGGTCATGTACAACAACCCTTCTTGTTTCCATCATACATTTTATATTGCATGTCTGAGAATTGTTGTAATTAATGAATTGCTAGATGAAAGTTGGCATTTCTTTAAATTGATTTATTTGTAACTTTGTTTGCTATTTGAGATGATAAACTCTACTTTTAAACTTCACAGTATGTTTTGGCACATACTGTAGCAGTTTATCATATTTTTACAGCCAGAAGCTGACAAAGTCAACTTCCACTTCATTGCTTTTGTCAACATTGATGGGGAGCTTTACGAGTTTGGTAAGTGTTTCACTTCTCTTAATGTGAACTTTTACATTGTGGGCTCCTAAGTCTTATTTGTTTTCAAGATGGGAAACTGAATGGACCCATGAAACATGGACCTACCAAGGATGACTCCTTTGTAATGGTAAGTAAAGGATGCAAACCTCAAATGTACATTGAATTTCAGTTTCACTGACTTAAAAATGTTTTAATTTTTTCATATCTAGGATGCAGCCAAAGTATGCCGCGGATTCATGGAAAGAGAGGAAGGAGAAGTCCGTTTCTCAGCGGTAGCTCTTTGTCAGAGTTAGATGTTCCCAATGCCAAGTCTGGCAGATTGTTAACCAAAATGTTCTGGAACACTCACATGGCAAACACAATCAACAGGTACCCACACTGATTTGTGTGCACATACATCTGCAGACACTATGCACTATGAAGGATGTTGTTGTCACATGTTGCTTTTACAACTTATGAACAATGCATTCTTAAACATTAGCACATACAAACACCAATCAAAGCCTTTAGCTTTTCCAACTCTAGCTGATAAAAGCCTGTCCAAACTGTTCTGTGATTTCCACATTCAGCTGTGAAACGGTAAAACACAAGCTTAGACCTCACCCCTGCATGCATTTTTTTTTTTTTTTTTGTGTTCCTTGTATACTAGTGCATCTGTGACACCTAAGATTATTCAGTTACCTTTTTGTGCCAAGAGAGGACAGGAGAAAACCTGTTTTCATGAACCTCCAATACCCATCTGTTTCTGGGCATAGCTTCAGCTGCTGTTTTGGTTTACAAAGATTTAACATTCCTCCAAACGGCCCAAATTCATTTGTAGGAAAGACTGAACAATTTCTCAGAAACTAGACATTTCTCTGGGAAACTGAGTTTTCCTTTGACAAGTTCTACAGGATGGTTCACTTCGGTACTAGCTTCCATTGTCCAAATAGTCAGAAGCTAAAAATGTTCATGTCTCCTTCTAATGTGCACAGGTTATTCAAAACTTGCAGTTAAAGGGTCCGTGCTACAGAAAATGCTTATGTATGTTGGTTTGTGTCATGGGGGGTGAGTTGTACATCTAGCTCTATTAAAATTCTGCACTTTCCAAATCCTATGTTGCTGTAGTATGGCTGTGGGAATTTAATAAAGCGAACATGAAACAAGTGTACTAGAGTATTGCAAGTCCATATGGGGAAACCTTTATCTGCATTGTCCTGTCCCTCCTTCCTTTTTTAAATCTGAAGTTTTTTAGTTTTTTTTTCCTTCCCCCTTCATCTCCAAATATTCTAGTATCTCTTTTACATTTTTGACTCCAGGTCATTACATTGTGACACCCAGAACAAAGTTTTGCTGATGAAGTGTTTTGTCCCCAGGCCCTCAGCTTGTGACTTATCCTCAGAGCTTGGTTGCTATTGTATATTATAGTGACCACTACAGTGGAACTTTTGGTGAAATTATGATAAAAGAGAGAACCAAAGAATGTTGTCACGATAACAGTTTGTATAGTTCCTTTCAGAGATGCAGATTAATGCTGAAGTCCTTATCTGAACTGAGTATACTGCAAACAAAGGGCCTGGGTCATGCTGTGGCGCAGCTATTCTTTTGCTCTAATGGCTTCTATGTTCTGATAAACTGCTATTCTTATAAATTTAGGATGTTATAAAAATTTGAAGAGTGGAAAAAAATGTTAATGATTTAAACCACAAAGATGCTGGAGCCTAATATAGGGAACAAAGAGGGCAATCTATGACACAGTTTGATAATGATTTTATATGTACATGTGTGCAACCAACTCCAGCACAGATTATCAAAAGATGTCAAAAATCTGGAGACAGCTGTGGGACGTCACACACCAGAGTCCACTGGCTGATCTGTACACATCAGTCTGTACAGAAATCCATTTGGCACAAATGACCAACATGAAACCAGATAAATATTTGACCTTATAAGTGAACTGAAGATATGCTACAAATGATGTGCAGTTTATACTCGCGAACTTGGTGACTATTAGTGGCAGGCAATTGACACTTTTTTATTATTTGACTTTTTTTAAAAGAACATTTAATCAACTGTGTGAACAGCGAACTGCCCAAAGACTTTGAAGTGTTTTGGACAGAACTCAAGCTAGGAGCAAAAAATCTCCGCATAGGACAGCTCAAACAGCCGCTTCCAGGTGAACCGTGAGAGCTGCGTCGTAACGGGACATCCTCTGCGGCCCTCCCCCCTCTCCCCCCTCTCTCTCCCGGCCCTTTCCCATCGACCTCCCCCGCAGAGATTCCTGCTCGCGCGCTCACGCCCCCTGAAGCGCGCGGCGGCGGCAGCAGCGTTGGTGGCTGAGCGAATCGGGGTATCGTCAGCCTCCCCCTGCAGACCCTTCCTTCGGCGTGCTGGAAAACCGATATTTTTAGCGCCCGGTTCGTGTTGCAGCGCCGCAGTGGCGAGAAGCTTCTCGGGTCTCTGCGCCACAGTTTGAGCCGGAGTCGCGCGCGGGGCACCAGAGAGCTGCGTGACGCCGAGAGCGCGCGTGGGCTCGTTAGCACGAGCAGGAAGATAGCGGACGGGGAGGGGGGACGGGACACTTAGCAGCGTATCACCCCCGTCCGACTTCAGTCCTGGTTGGACGGCCTGCCCGGAGATGGCCAGTCCTGCGTGTACAGATTTAGCAACGTCGCCACGGGAGCACGGGACGGTGGAGCAGAACCATCCAGAACCAGCCTGCCTGGAGGCGCAGAAATGGATAGAGGTAAGTGAGAGGACCGTCCGGATAGACTCTGTGGCCCAAAGCCGGGGACGCATAGGAGCCATTCTGCCCCACGCTGTGGCCGGAGATATAAATACAGCCTGCCAGCACCGGTGCACCGTCACCTGTTGGAGGAGGAGGGGGGGTGCTGGAAAGTGTCGCGTTACGGTGTGAAACAGCGGCTCTCCCGCACGCAGGGACAGCTGTGCATGTGGAGAGTTTCAGAGCTGGTTTTAACCTGGTCCAAACGGGAAAATAAACGACAATGCGGCATTGTGGCTCATGCTTTCGACCAGCTGGAAAGAAGAACGGCATTTATCAGGCGTGAGGGGATTCCGGTTGCCATGGTTATGACACCGGGCCAGTGTTCACACGACATGCCACATTTCCCAACATTTGGTCGCTTAGGACGAGATTATCATTTGTGGCTCGCCACATCGCTTCCACCATCATCTGCTCGGCTCTCTCTATAAGCCTAAGCGGTGAATCATTATTTGCCCGTGGAGCTGTGTTATGACCTATTTTTTCTCTCGTCTAATTTTTTTTCTCGGTCCCCGCATCAGCCCAGATAGCTGCCAAATAGAAAATGAGGAAATTAAGCCTCGGGGGTACGACAAAATTATTTTTATACTGAGGTTTTGGGCCTCACATATTGCTGCATTTCCACAGGACTGTCCTGTAAACAGCCACTTTTAAGTTCTGGAGGAGGGGATGAACTATCGGTTGCACTCACACCAAACAAGCAAACAACACTTTTAGAGTTGAGTATTTAAATGATTCGTGTTACTTCTTGGAAAGTGATAAAGATGAAGCACAAATCTCAGGGTTTTGCTTGATACTCTTATTTTTTAATGCCAGTATGATTTAAATTAAAGCAGAAGGTAGTGTGCAAACTAAACCAGTCTGAGCTGAAAAAGCTCAACTACAACCATTCCAACCATTAGCAGCTTGAAGAAAAAGATAGACAACAAAGGAGTGTTTTTTGCACAATTTGTTCTACATGTTCTCTAGAATACCTTTTTTTTTTAAACAGCTCAGTGGTTGAGCTGTGATACTGAGTGTGACACAGTCTTCACACGTACCGGGAGATGTTCTCCCTGTACATGCTTCCGCTTTCTTCCCCACACTGGAGACATGCGTTTCAGGTCATCGGGTTAATCTGGGAAGACCGTGGGCATGGCTGTGGAAGGTTATTTCTCTATAACCTCACCTAGCCTGCGTATACTTGTTGGGTGGAGGATGAAGTCAGTGTACACTTTGTGAGGTTGACATGTTTTCTTCTAAAATAGATAACTCTGCAACAATCATCCCACTCCAAAAGGTTTTGGTCATGCACTATATAATTTTCCACCTCCGCATAAAGTCAAGAGGAAGAAGAAGGCAGGATGTCTGCTTCCTGTCTGAATTCTAAACGTCTCTTGTCAGATGACGTTCGTCCCTAACGGAGAGATTATATTATTGACAGTACAACACTTGACTGAGTTGGTAATAAATGATGTATCACATTTTTTTAACATGTCTGTGTATTGCTTTATCTAGTATTCAGTGTTCAAAGAAGTCTAGAAGAAGCAGAAATGTGACATAAGTATACAAATGTCTGATCGCAGACTCAGAAAAATGACTGCAGGTATAAAACTTAATTTCCTAAAAGGTTTCATACAGTACTATTCCTTCTTATCCTCTTTTTCATTGTCCTCCTTTTCTTATAATGATTTTTTAATTAAGAATTTTCCTCTGTCGTTGTACCTGAGGCCATGTCTCCTTTATTAAACTCAATCCATCCTGTGTGACTTGAAGTATCATGACGAATAGATGATAGTTTTCTTTGCACTCATCTAATTTCCAACCACATTACACAGTTTTTCCCAAATAAATAGCATAAGATCATTTTTCTTTAAAAACAATATTTGTGCTGTATTAAAAAAATCGTTGGTATGAAAACACTTTGTACTCTTTCACTTTTGTAGTCAGGGTTTGTTCAGATACCTTATCTTTATAGAGCCCACAGATAACCCTCATTTCTGAATTTTTCTTCACTTGAGCTCCATACATCTTCTTTAACCTGATTCTGGGCCTGACTGGGCCATGGACGGATTTCAGTTTGGATGGAAAAAGGCTCAGATGTAGTCCATCAGCAGTGGGCATATTGTAGTCTTTGTTAGTGCTGACCTCTAAGTCTTAATCTCCCCCGCTGTGTCTTTGCTTTGTCGTCTTCCTGACCCCCTAATTCCTCGGTTATTTTCAGTCCGGCCAGGCTGGGTCTATTTCTAGTGGCGTATTTATACGCCCTCACAGGTGGGGACGATTCAGGGTTAACCAAGCGGCCCTGTGCTCCGTGCATGCTCTGGTGGGTGTATGTCATCTCTATAAAGAATGCAAAGTGTATGCACACTCACACATGACAGTGAGCAATGCACGACTGGCACACGCACGCTGGGCACACCCAGGTTGGGTGACACTGGTCACTATGGGAACGCAACATGGGCAGGCTCTCAGGTGTCACTGTTTCCAGGGGGCAGAGGAGCAACAGGCTGCATATCGCCGGATGACCCGAGCAGGAAATTAGACTGGCGCAGACAGAAATATTTTATTTGTTCACAGACGAGACATGGCTGGTTTTTAGACTGTCTCAAAACTAGAACTCACTAATAAAAGTGTTATTTGGCGGGCTGAAACCATGCAGACGTGGAGAAAATCAGAGTTTAGTTTGTGTGACAGCAGCTAACCCCTGCTGTTACTGACAGAGAACACATGGCCTAATTCAGGGTCAAACTCAGGAATAAAACAAGAATGCGTGTGTGTGTGTGTGTGTGTGTGTGTGTGTGTGCGTGCCAGATGTCACAGCTGTCCTAGGCAGATTAACTCCTGTGGTCTCAGACAGCCAGCTGTGTCTGCACTAGAGACAGGGAGTGTGAGAGCGAGGACTCATTAATTTTCCCTGCATCAAATACTGAATGAAAGAATGTGAAACAATGATGACATTGACTTGCTCTTGGCAAAGATGCTCTCCACTCCGCAGTGATTTCTGATGGTTGCATTTAGCCGAGTTAAGAGTTTTGTGTAATTTGAGAAGGCTGCACGCATTATGCAGATGATTTTTGTTTTGACAGCAGTTAAGACTGGATGTGTTTAACAATGTGCAGATGTTTCCTTCTGGATTAGCCCATGCCGTATAAAGCGTGACACTCAACTGTGTTACACGTTTGGGCTGGAAAGTACATGGACGCGTGATGTCCGAATGTTTAGCCTGCTTTAATTGAAAAATGTGAAATCGTCAGGAAGCAAAACTTTGCGATGATGGACTCAACATCTGCGTCTCCTTCTCAGGCTGCCCAGGGAAGTTTTCAGCTCCATGTCTGGTTTGTGTTTGCAAAAATATTTTGTGTGTTTAACTGAGGAGGCAGAACTCAACAGCCAGCAATCTGGGAAAATAGCTTTTTTGATGTACCTAACATCTGTTTGAAAGCACGCCTTCATGTTTTCCTGTCATTAACCAGTTATTTCTAATGTCTAAACTGTAATAAAGATGCTAGACAATTAACAGAGGATGCATAGAGACAGTATCTGAGTCCTAAAATGACCCCTCAAAGCAACCAAGTTGTTTCTGTAGCTCCATCCACTCAACCTTCAATGAAATACAGCTGACTTGATTATCAAATTAAGTCGGTGCACCTACATATGCAAGTCTACAATTTAGATTATTCTGGACTTTGTCTCTCTCTTACTCTCTTTGACTTTTTTTTGTTTTTCTCTGTCATGTTTGATTCTTTGTATGGACGTTTTAGTCCCTGACACCTCAGGGGGCTACTTTTGGTCAAGGTGACCAAAACATCCATTTACTTTTTCTTATGTGTTTTTTGTGGATTTGTGTGACTTTAAAGGTATTATTTCATCATTTTAATGTGGCAGATAGGACAGAACAAACAGAAAACACAGAAACACACAGAAAAAAGCGTATTAGAACATAGATATTCAAGTTGATTGACCCCTTCAGATCTGATCTGACCCTTTTATTTGCTGTTAAACAGGTTACCAACATTATCTCAGTTTGCAGAGATGAAAAGAAAAAAAAAAGCTGCTGGGACCAGTTCTCTTTGATCTCCGTAACGGAACAACTTTAACTTGCATTGCTCAGAACAGCAACCTACCAACTGCCTGTTGTAATTTGCCTCGAGCCGCCAGACAACTTGACCCTCAGTCGCTCCATCCTGGTTGCATTTACACCTGCACATTGGGCAGTCAGTTTGTAATTTGAACACCAAAGTAGGATTTAATGCCATGTCTGAGCATGTTTTTACTCCTCAGGCTTCCTGCTGTTAAGGTGAAATGATATATAGATTTATTTTTAAAAGCTAAATGGTGTACACGTAGCCAAGTTATCAAAAGTAAAAAAGTAAGCCGAAACATTATTCCCCAGACACTAAACTAAAGCTTCTTGCTTCAGAGATAACACACGACTGAAACTGTGACATGATTACGAATGACCTCAGAGCAGCTTTTAATCTTTAAAGAGTCCTGATAAATCATTATATTGCTGCTTCTTTGGATACATCATGGATTTTAGAGTGCAGATATCCTTCAGGACATTATGACATTCGGTACTCTACGTGCATCATCTCTGACTGTAAAATAATACATTTGAATTCATGGCTGGATTTATTGGAGCAAACAGACAGCATGTCATGTTCCATGAGGGGCATCTCTGGTAGTACTCCACCATCACTACTGATTATTGACGTTTTGGGGTATTAGATGGGTCAACACTTTTAATAGTAAACTTCACAAATTATTTTTATATCAGGTTTATTAATGTATGTTTTTTCTAAACATAATTATATAATTTAACTCAGGAGAATGCCTGCGGTGCTTTTTGAGTCTTCACAACTTTTAATGATAAGAATTTATTAGAAGTTTGTCAACAAAAAGACACACAACTTCTAACTTGACATACTGCATCATTTTTTTTCTGCTCTCCGTTTTTAGCCTGCCATTCTTCCCATGCTTTGCACTTGCTTAAATAAAAGCTACTTTGGCCTATTTCTGAAACTCCCCTGCCTCTCCACTCTTGCTTGCACAGCTATCTTTGGTTGGGCACTGTGTTGACCTCCATTCAGCGTAAACTTCTCCATCACCAGTTTATGCATAACCCTTATGCTAACCTGAGCTCACTTCTTACAGTTAGATATTCCTAATCCTCAATAGTGAGGCCATAGTTACTTTTTAGCCTCATTAGGACCGGCTTTTATCTCATACATCACCCCAGTGAGTTAAAAAAAACAATCACGCCCACATAAACACCCTCCCACCTCTGGGTTGGTGGCTGCTGCTGCCTTTCAGGCGGGCTGAGTATAGCAATTCACCCTGAGGGCTGAGCAGGAACGATGCAGCTCAAATTACTGTTACTGCCATTGAAATACCCCCAGGCTTGGCTTTTGCAGCAGACAAAGCTTAAAACACACACACACACCGTCTCCTTTCCTGTTTCATTATTACACATCCACGAGCACCTGGTCTTCTTCAGGCACAATTTTCACATAACACTGTATCAAAAACATGCTTACTCAACAATGCATGTCTGATTCAGCATTTATATTTATCCCCCCACCCCTCCACACACACACACAGACACACACACACACTACACAAAACACAAACACTAGTGTTCTTATCTCACCTCAAGCCAGTAGTCTCCTCTGTATAAATTATTCATGATGATGCTGTAAATGTTTTAAAGACCTGGAGTTCATGGATGGTTGAGGGTACCGATTTGAGTTATAGACCTCAGGAGTGAGAACATTTTCATGGACTGGAAGACATTTTGGAATGGTCACTTTTTTAGGATTAATAATTGGATCCCGGTCCGCTCGAAGACGAACATGCAACGTGTGTGTGTGTAAGTCATAAAAGACAAGAAAAGCGAGTGAGTGCCAACGGAAAACATCTGCTCATCACTTATGTAACAAAAAACAATGGTTTGCATTTTTGATGCGGAGGCACCGTGAATATCGGCTGTAAGTTTCCCACTCAGATTTTGAATGAAATATTGTGGTCTACAAATTTAAATGAAATTGATACTTAAATACTTTAAGCATTAACTCAAATATGAGGTAGCTGCTGCTGTGGAGGAATTGTGAACTTTTGTTTGGTTAACATGTTTTAGAAAAATGTATACATTGCTGACAAAGTGTAGAGTCGATCTGCTTCTGGAACAGAGTACAAATGTTAGCTCTTGGCTCTCCCACTCAGAACAAAGTTGGCCAGGGTCACTGCCAGTAGTTTACCACTAATATACATGGGCCCACATTTTGCAGTTTGAGTGTTAAATGTAATCTGTGCTAATCTGGATTAAATGTCTAAACTGCATCAGTCAACAGTCTTCTTTTCCTTTAATCTTTGTCCAGTGATTATACAACATCTACTGACATCACTCGGTGTGTGGGTTGGTGTTTTATGGCCGTGCATCAGTCTTCTCCTGCTGATTCTCTGCTCTCCTGTCTGGGCAGCAAAGGAATCAGATTGTAGTCCACGTTTAAAGACTGAAGCTATCATTGTGACACGGAGCGGCATTTTGATATTAGAATGAGGACAGAAAGCAGTGTGCTGCTGACCTGGAATCGCTCTAATATGGTTCCTACTGAAAGAAAATGTGGGGGAAGGGCAGCTTGGGGAGCTGCAGGTTCCTGTTACAGCACTGTGATGTTGTATGACATGATAGGAATGTTATCAGGGCAACAGAGATCAAAAAAGTTTTTAAACATTTTTTAAATTTGTTTATGAAATGACTGACAAGTCTCAAACTGGGAATAATTGACAGAATATTCTGAACTCTGTGTATATGATGATGGATAGATGTTCCCTATGATTTTTGTCTCTCACACTCATCAATTACAAACTGGGTTCTTTTTACAATTTGACACCACAGAGTGGACACTCAGAGACGCTGTGATTAGTGTGACCTTATTCTGAGCATTTTTAAAATGATCTGGACAACACTTTTTCACTGCATCTCCCACTTCCCATCTGCCTCCTTTACATCTGTCTCTTCCTTTGCTCCTTCCTCAGGCCGTCACTGGGAAGAGCTTTGGTGACAAGGACTTCCGCAGCGCGTTGGAGAATGGCATCCTGTTATGCGAGTAAGCCTGCGACATCACTTCGGCTTCTGATGAAGCCGACGAAGCAACAGCACACATGAAGTCGCCCAAGACTCAATAAATCTCTGCTCCTTTTCTCTCCCCCATGCAGACTGCTGAGTGCAATCAAACCAGGGCTGGTCAAGAAGATCAACAGACTGCCCACACCGATTGCTGGACTGGTAAAAAGACACTCTCCGATGTGACATGTTGACCAATAAACCACTTTGCTCTTGACAGTGTTTATTGCTTTGGCTTCTGCTCTTTGCTTTAGGACAACCTGTCCGTCTTCTTGCGGGGCTGCGAGGAGTTGGGTCTGAAAGGCTCCCAGCTATTTGACCCAGGAGACTTACAAGACACATCCATACGCGCTAACTTGAAGTAAATGAGGCTTTGTAGCTTTTTCTTTTTATAAATAGTTCACATTAATGGAATGTAGAACAGTAAAAACCATACCTCTCTCTGATTAGGGACTCGGACTGCAACCGCAAATTGAAAAATGTGAGTCCTTGTTGCCATTTCCCCTTTTTGGATTCTGTCATTCGATGTCTGATTAGTTCAAATAAAGATGCATCAAACATTACGTCTCTTACATATTTCAGGTGCTAAACACTGTATTCTGGCTTGGGAAAGCTGCCAGTGGCTGTGCCTCTTACAGTGGCCCCACGCTCAACCTCAAGGAGTTTGAAGGTCTTCTGTCTCAAATGAAGATGGTGAGTGGATTCTCTGAAACAATGTTCCCATATCCAACCACTGTAAGCCGAAACCACCAAAACCTGGAAATAATAAAGAGGCAAAGGTGAAAAATATCAAGAGCTGTGCTGGATAACAGTGTCACACATCTTTGGCCATTCAGACTCACAACAACAGTGCCAGCACAACCAAGAGCAGCTTACAACTTTGTGATTTGTGTTCAGCACGTAAGGAGTCAGGGAAGGAGACAGAGACAGAGACACAAAGGAGGTGACAGATAAGGTTGTGAAGGAAGTGAAAGGGATGGACAAGTCAGCCTAGATTCTTGTCTGTACAAGATTGTAGGAAAGCAAATGAAATGCATTATGCGTTGTCTTCTTTTCCACTGTTGTATTCCGTAGCGGGATTTTTTACTTTTGCACAGCTCTGTAAATCTGTCGTTGGATGTGCTTTGTGTGTGTAGGAGAGTGAGGAAGGAGGGGACAGTCCTCAGAGGCGCAGTGTCAGAGACAGCGGCTACGACTGCTGGGACTCAGAGAGGAGCGAGTCCCTGTCTCCACCAAGACATACTCGTGACGACTCCCTGGACAGGTGAGAGACACCTGTCAGCACGTACACACAGAGAAGGGTGTTTATTGTCACATAGGAGAAGCCTGATACAAATGCTTTTCATCCATCTATTTTATATATCCCCTTCCGTCTGATGCAAATTCTGGTGGTTTTTGTGTTCTTTTTATACAGTCTGGATTCATTTGGGTCCCGCTCGCAGCACAGCCCTTCCCCTGATGTGGTGAATCGAAGCAATGGCGATGGTGGGTTCCGATTAATGTTTTTTTTGTTTGTTTGTGAGAAAGCCACATCAGCTCTGGGCTATTCTCCCTTGCCTCTAGTCTTCACGTCATTCTGATGGCCTCCTTTACATATAGGAACGATTAAAATATTTCTCTCAAGCTCTTACAAGGAAATCTTGTGGTCCGGCAGACTTGTTAACAAAAGTTGTTCATTGTGGAAAAGAAACAAGCAGGCTATAAGAAAGACTTTAGCAACACTTTATTGTGTTTAGATCAGGTAACATGGCTATGCAGACTTTAATCTGTAGTTTTTACATGCCTCCTTGTCTTCCAAATATTTCTAAGCATTCTATATATGTATACTCTGTTTATCTGACATGGTGTGCAAAACTTGTCGTAGATAAAACTGACCCTTAATTTTCAATGCCTGGATGACTAGCACGAGGCAGCGACTCCGAAGCTGATGCCTCAGGCAGGAAGCCAGATGTGCGGAAGGATGACATGTTGGCCAGAAGGACTGCCAGCTCTGAATCAAGAAGCTCCATCCCCTTCAACCAGTTTCTTCCTAATCGAGCCAATGCCAGCTCTTACATCCCGGCTCCACGTCGAAAACAGCATCCAGAAGAGGGAGAGCAGCGAAGGTAATGACTGACACACTATCTAATCTGTCTAATCTCTTGTACTTCTATGAGTCAAACAATCCAAGCTGACAGAACATTGAAATCCCAAATACGGATACCTAATCTTTGACTACCACTAAACACCATTTCCCAGTCACCCTCAAGCCTCATCAGAACAAAGTAAAAGAACTGGACTGCATTACAAAGCTCCCAAGACTGTCACTTGGGCACCTGAGAACAATGGTGAAAAACTAAAACAGGAAGAGGAGATGGCCACCCAGGATGTGATGGAGCAGAGGAAGCTGCAGAAGTGCGAGAGGGCAGGGATTAAAGTTCTTCCTGCTGCCGTCCGCTACAGAAGGTCAGGGAGGATGGGCATGAGAGCTGCTGCTGTGACGGTTCGGCAGTTTGTTTGCGTTCACTAACAAGATGTGCTGAAAAAGAGTGGTTTGTGCTTTATTTATTGCGATGCTACGGACTGATATTTGGTTTTCGTGAAGCTGTTGTGCTCCTGTATGAGTACAGCGGTGCAGACAGTGAAAACTAACAGATTTTAGTGCTGTTGTTGTGGCAGACATACGTACTGGAGGGGTTGGTTATTTGTGTTGTGTTTGAGTAATCAGTGGATAGGAATGCTGTCGGATTTGGGTATCTACTTTGGATTGAGTGGTTCCTTTTTTCTGACTAACAGGACTTGTCATTCATATTCTGAGTTGCATGGCACATTAAACCTGTGCACTTCTGCTTCTGTTTGAAAAATGTCACTGTGGACTTCCAATGCATTCTGAAAGGTTATGGCATCCTATCTCCAACCCTAGCCCTCCTATTATGGAGGAAGAAGAAGTCAGGTCGCCGTCGCCAACCATTGTCCTACGCTGCGATAACGATTTTTTGAACTCGCATAATTCTGCGTGTGAGTCCTCGTCTGATGGCGAGGAAGAAGTGGAAAAACGGAAAATTCCTGATGTCCGTAAAGATGACTTAGCATCTAGGCGAACCCATCATGGCCCTGCTGCTCCCAATGTGCACCAGTTCCTGCCCCCTCCTGTGTGTACCGACAAAGACAGAGAGCGCTGGGAGGGCATCCGACGAGCCTCCCAGCAAACATTACAGGAGAAGGAGATCAGGTTAGCTGTAACCTCAGCTTTCAGCTGCTCTTCACTTCAATTTCTCCCATTCATTTCTATGTTTCTCACATTTCCGCTCTCTCTTTCTCTGGGTGTTGTTGGTGGCTGGACATGTTTGTCTCTGTCTGTGCGGCTCTTGACTGGTAACGTGTCACATGACACCTGTGTGGTGACTCCGTGATTGGACAGTGAGAGAGAAGCAGTACCTGACATCATTACTCGCAGAGAAAACCCCTTCCTAAAGGAAGATGAGGAAGATGAGGGAGAAGAGAGGAAAGTTAAGGCGATTCCCAATAAGCAGCGGGATGACCTGGCTCTTAGACGGGCTCAGAGTAAAGCCCGCCCACACAGGGATGGACCAATGAGCTTTGTCTCCTCATCCATGAGCCAGGCAGATATGCAGAAGTGGGAGAGACTCAAGATGACTGAACCAAGGTGCCCAACACACACTGTTACTCTGAGCACACATGCAGTAAAATGCGCTTATATGCTGCTGTGTGTGTTTGTATGTTCAAATACTGACAAGAGTTTGCAATATGTGTGTGTGTGTGTGTGTGTGTGTGTGTGTGTGTGTGTGTGTGTGTGTGTGTGTGTGTGTGTGTGTGTGTGAGTGTGTACTTGTGTACAGGAGTTTTCAAGGTTTCCAGTAACACTGTTAGATTATCCTGGCCTCTATACTGATCCAATTCTTTTACTGCAAGATTATATAGAATATAAAAGCTATGTATAGATTTTTATTTTTACAATGAATTCATCTTGTAGGTCAAAACATGATTAAAAAAAAACAACTAATGTTTCCATTAGATCTGTCTCCTGAAAATGTTCATATAAGTCTTGCTCCTCTCTCAACCCCCCAAACATTTTTTTGGCATTGTGGGGCAAAAAAGAGGAGAAACAAATACAAACAAGATGCATTTAACATGATTTTGTTCTAAGGAAACATGCTGATTATCCTGTTATCAAGAAATCTGTTGTTTTTTTTAAATATCCAGTTGAAAATGTTTCCACTCTGTTCTAGACTTAAATCAGGTTCTCTTTTTTTCTTGCGTTGTTCCCCATTTTCTCATTTAGTCCTTTTATACTGTCTGAGTGACAATGAATTGGAGAAGGGAAATGGCCGGTGTATGCAAGACTTTGTGTTTCTGCGTGTGAGACTAACTAAAACAAAAAAACCCAAAGGCGACTGTTGGCTGTGAGCACTGCTTCGGCTTTGTTTTTGTCTCTGTGCTGATGTCATGAGGACATGAGGGACAGGATAAAGAGCTGTTTGTATTCTCAGAACAGCCCAGAATAGGAAAATGTGGCTACCTACTGAAGAGAGGATAAAATGCTAAGCATGTGTTATGAAGGGATCCAAATAGACAACCCTGTGCTTTGTCCTCTTCTGTCCAGACCATACTTCCTGTCCGACTGAATATTTCATCCTCATCGTTCTCTTATCTACTATATCTATAACTACTCTGATTTTTTGGCTCATGATTTTTTTTCCACCCTGTTTCTTTCCCCCCTGCTGTGTTGCCGGTTGTCCTGGTTCCGTGACTGTGTGTTTGTTTGTGGGCCTGTCTTCATTTGTGAGACTGTATTTACAGTGACAGTAGGCCAGCCCCTATGTGTCAGGCTTGTCTGGAGAAAAATTATGGGAACCCTTTCAGCGGATCAGCAAAGGCTGGACCAGGTCACAGCAAAGTTGTGACCTTTGGGGGTGTGACAGAGATCGAGCAGCCCATAGACACAGTCATGTCAAGTGAAGGGGAGGAGACGGAGTTGCTTAGACGACTCCTTTCCAAGGCAACTGTAGCCATGCCTACCATTGGCCTGGGCTCCCAGCTTTCAGAGCGGGAACGCAGGTATGGACGAGGCCAAATGCAAGACAATTTACTGGAGTGGCTCAAAACCAAAGTCGTCTGCATTAGTCCGGACTGCACTTAGGGGCGATTGCTCCTTTTACTCACTGAATTAGATAATCGCATTGCCTGTAATTAATTTAAATTTCATGCTCTTATTGCTTCTATTTAGATAAGTATGTTCGGTAGTATGAATGCACTTCTCTTTTTTGCACTGCAATGCACCGATTTGCTTGTAGTTTCTATGGGAAGCAAACATGTAAACACACATAAACACTGCAACGAGAAGAGCTAAAACAAGCAATCAACAAACTTACCGATTTGAGCTTTATGCCGTTATCAGTGCTTTTAACAACAAACGGTTGTACAGAAAAATCAGGCTTTCATCCTATTCTTAGTCAGCTAAAGTGCATTAGAAATAAGATATTTAGGTTTGGACATATTGCGGACGAAATTGATCAGTTTTACAGTTTTGTCAGCCTTACATAAATGTTTCTAGTTTCACACTTATTTTGATTTATATACTCCACACAGATTTAGTTGGACATTAGACTTTTTTGCTACCACCCTTAAACAATTATGCTTGATTTCTTTCGTACTTCACATAATTTCTCTACCATTTGCTATCAAATAGAGGCATAAAGGCCCACACAAATATGAATAATCTTTTCATAATTTTAATTTGTTTTACTTTTTCCTCTTTGGAATTACAATTTTGTTTTGTTTTTGTAGGTTCTGTAGATAAGCAGTATAAATATTCTCCTTATTCACGGTCCATTTTCTGTACTCTCGCTGGCCTGCTGTTGTGCATGCTTATGCCTGGATGTTACAACCAGAGTAACAATAATTTACGGGAATTGATTGCCCATCTCTGCTGCTGTGGTTTGTGCTCTGTGTAATGCTCAGCCATGTGGATGGAGCTGACCCCGGTCAAATTTCCCCACCCTCCGTGGACCTCCAACTCTTGACTCCCGAAGCCACTCCCACCGCCGCTGATATAGATGCTCGTCTAGCTCTGTATGTGCAGAGAACAGAGGAGGAGGAGGAGGAGGAGGAGCAGGAGGGGGAAGAGGAAAGAATCCCAGATCTGCAGAAAGATGACATGATGGCAAGAAGGACCGGGGTTTTTCATAAAAAACGCACCACTCAGGTGACTTACAACCGGTTCCTGCCTCTGCCTGGCTCCAAGCGCTGCACTCAGGACGAGGTCACCACAGATGCAGCTCCGCGGAGCAAAATGAAAGTGCAGGCAGAGAGAAACAAGAAATTCAGCGCCAGGTGGGCTGAGATTTGACCTTTACAGTCTAACATGGTTCAGATGCCAATAACAAGCTTGGAGTTGTTTGCGGGTGTGAGAGAGTTTCCTGAAAGGTGTATAGCTATTTCAGTGACAGAATCTTCTGCCTTAGAGTGGAGCATCAGCATCCCAGTAATCCCATGGAAACACCTCAACGACAGCTTGAGCCGAGAGCGATCCCAGGTGAATGTGACGATAATGGGGATGAGTGTGATGAAAACGAGTCTGTGCCGGACCCCGAGAAAGATGACATGATGGCTCGAAGGACCAGGTCGTTTCAAAAAGCCAGTGCTGTCAGAGCAAATCAGTCCTTCAATCAGTTCCTACCTGTACCTGGAACAGCCAAACACAGCATCAGCCCGGTTTCTGCAATGAAGCAGCCACACAGCAAAGCTAAACTCACAGAAAAGATGGACAGAGACAGGTATTTACTGTGTTGGAATGGAGGCAGCGATATGATGTCGCTAAACTAATCCGAATGGCAAAACCAAATAACGTTTTGATCATGGAAGTGCTAACATCACTGGGGCTTTGTAGTGATTTAGAGTTGATCCTGCCTTACCTGACATCTTGTTTTCTCTACCAGCATGTTTGATTTGAGCTCATCTGACTGGATGTCTGCTGTAGAATCATTTGTTTGAATGGAATGGTTGACTTATATTAGTTCGACATTTGTAAGTTTGGACCACTGTGGTCTTTCCTTTGATAAGTTTAGTTGAAAGTGATGATGTTGGGTGTTATGTGGGTATTTGAAACAGAAATCAGATCTGATTGAAAACTAAACAGTAAGTTCTTCACTGAAGTGCTTGAAGTGCTGCTGCATGGGTTGGTTTACTCAAATTACATAAAAACAGCATTAAAAATCTGTTAATATTTAATTATAAGATCACTTTTCTTTAAAGAGAAAAATGCCATTTTGTTCTTTTTTGCGGGGAAAACATTGTTACCCTAGTAAAAAGTAAATCATTATATTCTATAAAAAAACACTTCTTGCTACGATTAAATTATCTGAGAACAAATGTTACAGAATAAAGAAAAATAGACATAAAATCAATCAGCACCACAGTTATCTCACAGCAGAGCAGATCAACTGCGGTTTTCTGCGAAGCGGTGTGGATTTAAGCTTTAAGCGTATTTCCTGTTAATCCTGGCCCTGTCACTGGATCGTTGTTTCAGCAGTATTGTTACCATGGCAGCAGAACATCAGGCCCTGCCCTCCAAAGCCCCAGTCAGCCCTACATGTCCCGGGCTTAAGAAGAGGCAACAGGACGAAGAGCGAGAGAAGGGGGACGCGATGATTGTCCATAACCCCACTGTCAGCAGTGTTTCTGAACCCCCCTCTCCTCCATCACTTACACCTCCACCCAGTCCTGCCCCTTCCAGGGTCTATAGAGAGGAGGTGAATCTGGAGAGGCAGGGGGTAGAGGAGAGAGTACAGGTGGAGGAGAAAGAAAGGGATGACAATGAGAAACCACAAAAGAAACCCTTTTGGCTTGAGGATGAGCTACCTCCAATAATGTGAGATGCCCGTTGATCTATTTGTGCATGAGTCATCGTAACTAAGCAGCTGTGATCGGACAGACAGGACACTAGTTCTGCCATCCAACCAGTATTTCTTATATTGAACCTATTTTCTGTGAATGGAAATTAGTGGTAAGAACTTCCTTTGAAATGAGGTCACTCATCCTCTCAAATCTGCTGTTTTAGGGTGAGCCGACGAGTTGCTTTTCTGATAGACAATGAGTAAGTGTTTCCAAATGAATCTGTATGAGCCTCTGCATGTCCATGTATTTGTGCTTTGCAAGCCACATTTAAAGAATTTAAGTTCAAATCTGTAAATGATATGCAGCAATCACATAAACGCTGATCTTACACTCATTCATGTGCTTTTTTTGTCATAACTCATTACTGATATCAAACTTCTTAATTTCAGACAGTTTATTTTATTTGAATTGTTCTGTTATTTTGGTTTGTTTCTTTTCTTTTTACTAGAATAGTTTATCCTTGATATACACACAACCAACAATGACCAAATCCTGAATATGTTTGATAAATTGCTTGAACTGCCTTTTGATGAAGAGCAGTAACTTTTATTGATTTTTACTTGTGGGTCAGCAACCGTGTGACTGATATTAGTTATATGTAGCAAAGATTATATAGCAATAACATATAGCAACAAATTTCTATATGGATTTTCCAATATTATTATTAAAGTATTTCTGATTCTGATTCTGAGATGATATCATGTTGAGTGTGTGTATCATCAAAAAAGTTAATAATTGCTGGCTTTTTTCATCCATGTTAATTATTTTTCTTTCACGGTTTTAATTAAGATATTTTCAGAATGTTCTAATGTTTTGCTTATGTTCTTTTGAAACGTTCACATTGTTTGTTTTTCTGTACGCAGTGACTGATTGACAGACATGTTAAATGTTTACTTTTTTTCCTGCTTTTTCGTCAAATAGAACATTTATGATGTGTTATTTTCCAGGAGCGTGAGTATGAGTGACATTGCTAATGAGGAAGAAGTGGGACACTTACCAACTCTGAGCCAATCCCGATATGAGCGCATGCATGAGCAGTACAACAGTTTCAAAGAGGAGGAGGACCACTGGCAAGATGTAAGGGACTCGTGTTACTAAAACAAAGTCAAACTCAGTTTAAACAGTTACAAACCGATTAACTCTGAGTGTTTGACAGGATCTGGCTCGTTGGAAGAATCGACGCCGGAGTGCCTCACAGGAGCTAATCAAAAAAGAGGAGGAGAGGAAGAGAATGGAAAAAAGGATGAGGGAAGAGGGTGGTGATAAGAGGAAAAGTATTAAGACCTACAAAGAGATTGTGGAGGAAAAGTAAGGACGTAATTTTAATTTTCAAAGTATTTAAATGTTTTCAGCATATCATTACTGAACCATAATTTAGGGTGAAAATATCCAAAGCTACATGCTGTGTGTCTCTTAACTTTGCTTCTCTATTCTAGGGAGCGCAGAGAAGCAGAGTTGTGTAAAGCCTACAGAAATGCAGCCACTCCAGAAGAGGCGGCATTGGTTTTGCAGCGTTACGCTCTCCGCTTCACCATCAGCGATGCAACACTAGACAGCCTAAAACTGCCCAGGTCCACCTCTAAACCCAAACAGGAGCAGAATCAGAAGCACAGAGCATCATCACCTGTCGACAATTCAGAAGGGTTGGACTACTCGCACAAAGCAGGCTCAGCTGTAGTGATAGAGAAAAATCAGGGACCTGCAAAACCTGAGGAGAAGGGGAAAGAAGCAGCTCATGAGCAAGGGAACTCAGGTGCCATCTCAGCCAGCTTGACAACTCCAAATAGTCCTCAAAATGTGCCACCTCAGTCCCTACAGCTCCGTGAAGCACCGACCCATCCGTCAGGGTCTCCAGACACACATCGACCACAGACCAAACCAACTTTGCCTCAGGATACTCACGCAGATCTTCAACCAGCCCGGCCCGCACACACTGCCCCTTCCCCTCCACCTCCTCCACCCTCCAGACCTGTCCCTCTGCTGGTGGCCAAGCCCTACTGCCAACCCAGGAACGCGCCATCTGGACACAAGTCTGTCAAGGTACAGCCTCAGTCTTGCTCTTGTAGATCAATGCCACTTGAGTTGAGGTCCACAGAGGTTTATAGCAGCTGGGAGGAAGTTTCTCTCTTGTTTCTCTCTTGGTTTTACCTTAAGTACGTGAAAAATAATTAACAACTGAATGCAAATTGTTGACATTGTTCTTTTTACATGTCACATGTGTACAAATATGTCTTCCTTTGCAATATTCCTGTATCCCTCCATTTATAGCTATATGATGCAACTTTTTACCTTAAAAAACATATTTTAAAATATTTGTGAATTTAATGGGTATTCAAGTTGTAATATTTAGAAAAATGCGACGATGAACGTTACAAAATAAGGCATTTATGGCCTGACATTTTTTATATTTTGTAGGCTAAAGTGAGGGTGATAACATAAGATATCTCTTCTTCTGTGTGTCTGTATCCTGTCCAGATGGAAAGGTTGGTGCGGGTGAACGGAGAAGCGACGACAGAAGAGTTCACTGTTTCCTCTCCACCCACCACCCTGCTGGAGCTGCAACAAGAAAACAATGATGTTTCCCCCAAGCAGACAGAGAAAGATGTTTCCCCCAAGCAGACAGAGAAAGATGTTCCTCATGAGGAGGCAGTGGAAAATCCAAAGACAGCAGAGCAGCGGGCACCCCCACTAATGGAAAAACCAAGTCCAAGCTCAGGCTCTGCCATCAGCTCCCTGATTGGAGGCCGCAACTGTATAATCACAACCACTATTGTGACAGAACTCACGCAAACTTACATAGAGCCGCTTCAACCAGACACCCAAAGTAATGGAAAGGTGAGAACACCGTATAATGGTTGCCTGTGTTTTCTAGACAAGAGATGACTAAGAGGGAATCTAATTGTATTGTAATATTTGTCACAAAATGATGTTGTTTCTAAGACCTGCCTAATTTGGTTAACGAAACATTTACTGGTGAGTGAAAATGGTGCTTTTGACCATGCTCTTATCACTCAGGGGTCAGACATATGTTCATCCCTCCAAAGTCAAATCACCTGAAAGCATGTCATCAGTGAGAGTATATAAAAAAAGGTTAATGACAACAAAAAAACAACAACCAAATGCATGTTTAGGGTTTACACGCCTGGTTTCAAACTTTCATTAATTGCTTCCCTGTGATGGAGCTTTCATGTAAAGCAAGTTTCTGGTTTCTACTGGTAAATTTTACTAAACATTTACATGAACAGAAGCCAGCTACTGCCTGCAGCGCCAAGACAAAAGCACTTTAAAAATCTGCTGGGTGGTTAAGCAGGAATTCTTAAAATGTAGTTTGAGATGAATTTGTCAGCTTTCATACCCTTTCAGATCTATTTAGTTTTTGAGAGGGAACAAGGCTAAATGTTTTTCTTTCCTGTATTTAATTCAAATTCAACTCATAGGCTGGGACTACAGGGTTGCACGAGACTCCGATGGAGAACACAAATGCCAAGTTGACTGCACCGCCTAGCAGCAAGCAAGAATATTCTCCCACTGTCACAGGTAAAATATTCTTCTTTGTCATTCATGGAAGTTCATTTCACTTACAGCTTCACCTTTCCCTGCACATAACATATTGTGCATTTGTCTGACTCTACAGAGGGACTTGAAGAGAGCAATGTAACTGTGAGTATCTCTGAGTGTCTCAAGATCCTTTTTTCCCCTCCGTCATCCTTAAATTTGATCCTGTCCCGACCCTTCGTCTTCAGTGGTCCCTGTAGTTGCTGTAGTCAGACATGTATCTTCACCTTTCCTCTCTTTCTGTCCTTCTGGTCCGTATATATGTATGTTTTTCTGTGTGTGCGTGTGTGATTGATGGTTGGGTCTGGGTAGATTGAGACCCCCATGTTGAACTTGGCTAAACGTGTTAATCACTGGGTCTGGGACCCCAATGAGGAGCGTAATCGCTTGGAAAGATGGCAACAGGAGCAGGAACGCCTCCTTCAGGTACTGTGGAGTAATGGCGTGTATGTGCATGGTTCAGCAACTGCCTTGCGGAAGATAAGCGACACCCTCACTGAATGTGTGTGCAGATTCCCCTGCATTTTATATGTTTGTGCCATGCGGGGGCCGTATTTCACACGAACAGTGTTTCTATTAGGAACAATACCAGAGAGAACAAGAGAAGCTGAAGAAGGAATGGGAGAAAGCACAGATAGAGGTGGAAGAGGAGGAGAGAAAGCACAACGAAGAGGTAGAACAGCACTGGCTTTTTTGTCTTACATTTTTCTTTGCTTGTTTGGTAACAACTTGCCTCTTCTAGGAGAGACGAATTCTGGAAGAAACTGTCACACCCCTCAGTCCCACCGGTTTGTTGCAACAGCAGCCAGGAAACCCAGTGACTGCTTTGTCTGCGATAGAAAAGGACAGCATAGGAGGATTAAAGGTGTACGTGCAGGAGAATGGACAGAACATCTCCAGGGGCAAAGAGGACCAGCATTCTTCGAAGCTGCACTTTTTCCAGGGTGAGAATATACTAAAGAGTCAATGGGAGTTCTAACGTGTTCATACACCAGTCACGCAGTCTCAGATTGGTCTTTTTTTCTTCTATTACTGTACATCTTTGCAGATTCCGGATGTGATAGTGAACCGTCAAAGAAACTGGAATTGTGGAAAACATCTTCCCTGGACCGCAACCCTCAGCTGAGCCAGACACAGAATGTTAAAAGGTCAGTGTAGATTGTGGGGAATTTGGAGAGCACAACTTCAAAGGTGTGTGACTCAGTACTGAAAAACTAATGAATTCCATAAAAATGAAAGATGCAATCATGACATTGTGAGCAAAAGATATAAAAATTTACCTGGAGTTTTATTTTTTTTGTAGCTTTAAAGAATAATAGATTTTACATATGTACATCTAATTGACCAAAATGTACTTCTAACATTGCTTTTTCAGATCAGGATCACATGAAGGTGTACTAAGTAAACAGCAGTCTTCCCCTTCAACGCCTCTGCCCCCCTCACCCAGCAGGTAGTGATACTGAAGCAGAAAGTTGTTTTTATTCAGACAAGGTGGAAGCCAGGGCTGATAGCTGAAAACTGCTGTCCTGTTTTCTTGTGTAGGTGTGTCAGTGGGAAGCGCCTGTGCTCTGGTTGTTCGACACCTTTGGGAAAAGGAGCTGCAATGATCATTGATACTCTGGGACTCTTCTTCCACATACAGTGTTTCAAGGTACTCTTTGATAGTGGGACTTGAGGGACAGCTTTTGCATTTAATAAGATGACACTTGATTTTTTTTAGAGATTGAAAAGAGTGAGAAATTTCAGGTAAAAACCAGTGAAAATGGCTGTCTTTTCCAAAATTCTAACTGAGCAAAATCGGTAAAGGAAAAGGAGTGGTTTACACTTTCAAACTTTTTGAAATATAATTTTATCTTTTTATATTGGTGTTTTTTTTTAACCAAACCAATGACTTAAATGATTACCAAATATCGTGTCTTAGACAATAAAGTACTGCAGCTCCACTTTTAAGTCATTTTTCATCTTTAACAAACTACATATTTCTTTAATTACATTAAAGGATTCATGTTTGAAAACTGTCTTTGCTCTCTCAGTGTGGAGTGTGCAATGGGCAGCTGGGTGACACCACAGCAGGGACTGATGTACGAATTCGCGGTGGGAAGCTGAGCTGCCATGAATGCTACTATGCATCCCGGGGTGAGAACGCATGTAAACATAAAGAAATGCAAAGACTGGTACACTTATGTTACTTTTTTTTCTCAGAATAAAAATCTGTTAAGGTCTTCTGTTAAGGGACAGAGGAAAAACACACTTATGTACTTCAGACGTTACAACAGTTTCTCACCTAACATTGACTTATTTAAGTAGAAGAAAAGAAATGTAACTTTAACTTCTCTCTGAAATTAAGATCGAATTGATATTCGTCATATTTGTCACACAAACTCCAACACAAACCTGACTAATTTATTTAAAATATTTGAGAAATTTTGTTTACATTCCTCCAAAACACCAAGAACTGAAAAACCTTCTGAAAGCAGCTCAATAATTCAAACACTTCTGTTTGTGTTTGTTTGCAGGCAGAGGTCAGCCCACCACATTATAAAAAACATTTTTTGGAAGTCGAACCTCATCTTCACGGGGGCCGTGATTGGATGGAAAACCATTTTGGAACCCTGGGTCACGTTCTGGAAATTCTGGAATTGTCTTGGAATAATCTGTGGAAACATTCTCCTCTTGTTCTTCCCCAGGAACGCACACACAGCTTGAACACGTGTTCCTGACAGAGAAACTGGGCTGACACGTGGACTCAATGACGCAATATTTTTAAACTACTTCTCGACTGTATGCACACATATAGTTATTTTAATGTGTGTAGCATGGATGTTAAGTAGAAAACAGTATGTTTAGGCCTTTGCACATCAATACCAGACTCAAGTGAAATATTTTACATTTAAAGTTGGACCCTACTTAGCTCTGCAGTCTTGGCTTATCAACTCCTGCTTCTGCTCTGATCATGTGACTCTACTCTCAAATTGGGATGCAAAGGGGTTTGGGTGAGATAACCTGACGTAGCTTGACCATTGTAATGCCTTACTCATACATTTCTTTCACTTTGGGTTTTGTGTTTACACTTTTGCATGAAAAACAACGTATATAAGTTATTATGAGTGTTGCTCAAATGGACAACAAGTTGTTACTTTCTCATTGGAACTTGAACTATCTTCTGTGTTGTACATCTTTATGATAGTTTTGGGACTCTAGCTCACTGAGACAAGCTTTTTCTTTATTATTAACTTTATCTAGTTAAGAATGCATGTTGTTAAGTAATAATACGTACTCTTTGGATTTTAAGTATGTTCCCTTTAGGATGTTTTAGATATTCTTTCATCTCATGAACAGTTGCATTTGAATCAGTGCCTTATGTGACGAATGGAAGGGCAAGAGTAATTCACACTTAACATTGACCTCTGGGTCAAGGCACATTGTGTGTGAACGTGTGTCTGTGTGTGTGTTTGCTGTCAGTTTGTGCATTTATTTATATGAATGCATCGTGTGATTTGACTTGAAGCCGAGTTCCATACCAGCAAAAAAAAAACTCTTATCGGCCTTTCCTAATCTTCTGTCCTTTGAACTCACCTTATGAGCTAAACCAATGGCACAAAGTTATCTAGCTGCTGCTTCCCTGTTTGCTTCTTGTCTGCCTTTCACAAATGTTGCCTCCCTAGAGTTTGATCTGACTGACTCTTTCCTCTGTCTTGCGTCCATCAAGACATACAACAGCATCTTCATCTCACCAAGGAACAAAGCTCAGTTTGTTGTATTTTGTAGCAACTTTATGTTTATCAATAAAATTGTGAAAATTGTGTTTTTATTTACTTTCTTCATTTAATTTAAATGATTCTATACTATTATAAAATTAAAACAATTGACCTTCATCAATATATACTATACATTTGAATAATTCTACATAGCTTTACCATTTGTGTGTGTGGCCGGGTCACAACCATAGAGGACTGAGTAGGCTATTGCATACTTTTCATAAAATGAATGCTGTAAAACCTAGTGCAATGTTTTGTATTTTTTTAAGACTATGAACCTGGAATTCAGACAAATAGAAACCATCCCAAAATTTTACAGCTTCAGTTAAAAAATCTTAAGTGTAAATATTTGTGTCAAACAATTCTTTTAGTCAAATTCCACATGCAATATGTAAGCTTTAGAAATTTATACATAAACATTACAAAAAGTTCAATAAAAAGATTTGCAATGCGTGTAAAACTTCCCTGTTTGAAAGAATTTGCACTTACATCGGAACTATTGCACCAGGAACCGAAACTTAACAGTGAACGGTAGAAGAAAAAGGTGGAACCGGAAGTTTACATTCAGCGCCTTTTCGCAGATATGTAAACTTAAGAAATGTATTAATTGAACGTTTGTTCTTTAAAATCTTACAGAAATGGATCCAAAAGGACCGTCGGCTTATACCGTATGTACCTGGTATTTAACATTAACCGTTTGTTTGCTGGTTACTAGGTAGCTAGCTTGATTGAGAACCTGCTAGCTACTGTTTCTGTCAAATCAACTATTAACACATTAACTATATAATAATTAAGACATTCAATTTTCTATAGCTGTATTTTAATGATATTGGTTAGTGAAAATGAGCGTGCAAATATTATGTGAAGAAAGTATTTTGACCGAAGCAATGTTAAATAAATTGATGAAGTAATCACAATCGCACTTTACTATAGACCTTTCTTAATCTGTATCTTTAAGTCATATTCTACTCATTAGGGTTCGTCAAAATCAGTTTTCGTTAGAAGACCTATTCGTTTTAGCAGGCAGGTTCATCAGCAGACATAGACCGAAGTTTAGAGGAAGACTCCTTGGTGGATGGACCGCTGATCTCTGCCGATGCCCTCCACTCTGCCATCAGGAGGGAGTTTCAGGCTGTGCCAACACCCTGCCATGCAGCCCTGCTCTCCGTGTTGCATGTACGATCCACCAACTCTCCATACGCTGTTTGCACACACACTGTGTCCACAAAATCCCTCTGTAAATGTAATCTATTCAATGTTATGACACACCTAGGTCGTGGTTAATTTGGCACTATACTCTAAATTATGATTCAGACTTTTAAAGCACTTTTTTACAAGACTTTTTAATTAGGTTCTGCCAAATAAATGCCTTTTCCACTTTCATTTCTATACTTCTTCTCCTGTGCATGTTATTGGATTGAAATAAGTTTCCGGCTGTGAAACAAATCACAGGACGTATCTGTCTCACTTTCCTTTCATTTCTCTCTTTTTAAGATTGTGTACGTCGTGTTGTCGATATGTGTGGCTGTGCTGTGTGTGCTAAAGTTTGGCCAAGAGGAGGTGTGCATGAGTATTTTGGGCAGCATGAAGGGCGACAGTGTGATCGTGTTTGGGAAAGTGTGCTTGTGGGTGCTGGTCCTGATGTTCACCGGCTGCGTGCAGCATCACCACAACAGAGCACGGAGCAGAGGATACCTGAGATTTTACAGACAGACACAAGGGCTGAAGCACACGGCTCTTACCATTCACTCAGCAGGTAGGACAGTACTGCAGTATTTCTGGATTTTCTGGTCAAGAGCAGGTCAGTATTCTCCACAAGATGGCAGTAAAGTCTTTTGTTTTTTTCTTTGTGAACAGGAAATGTCCTGTTTTTGGTTCTTCTGGCCACAGAATTATCACAGACTGTGCGAATCTATGCACTGCTCATCATTCTTGGGTTGGAATTCTTGGTGGCCGTGCCATGCCTGGTCTATTACACAGGTAAACTCACTTTCTCATTATTTTTAAGACAGTCTTAGTCAGAGACTAATGGGGGTCGGATTAATAGTATATGCAAAGACAGAAAATCAAGAAAAGCACATGTACACAAAAGATTACCCTCCCAAAGGCAACATTGAAGACCCTCACCCCACCCCTGGTTTCCCACTTATCTAGGCACACATCTACCTCCCCATTCTGTACACAGACATTCAGTTTAAACCAATCAAAGATCCACTTTTTTCAGAAGTTCTGAAAAGAGTCACATTGAAATTTGAGTGAAGTTGATAGCTTTAGTTGTAGTCCAGCAAGCTCTGTCTTTTCAGCATTCTTTCACATAATTAACAGATTAATTTTTGTGTTGGCTTGACAAAAACACAAACATTTTAATTGTTGCATTGTAAGGTTTCCTTGCATTTTGGGACTCATTGGTGGACTATTTATCAGTCAGCTCGCATTTAATAGTTGATTGTGTGGATTGTGTTCCACATTCCAATGCTGCAGCCTCACCTGTCATTTGATTTTGCCCATGAATACTGGGGCCGTGATATCAGCAGCCTTACACAGAGAGACACACCTTGCAGATTACTTTACACACAAACACAATCGCTACCCCCACTCTCTTTTTGAGCGTATTTGCATTACAATACCTGCCCAACCCTTTTCAGACTCGACAGCATGACAATCAACCATTCAGCTCCCTGTCCATCCTCCCTCTCTCTGCCAATCTGCCGATTCTTTACTTCTGACACAAACAGCATGCAGACTTTGCTGGATGATACCCATGCCTATCTGTGTGCCTTTTGTCTGTCTCTTTCCTGTGTTCTGCAGCTGGAGAACGAAATGGTTCAACTTAGTCCAACTCCATGCAGTTTTGTGCTGAGGTTGAGTCGCTTTGTTAGAAATGGCATAAAGTGAAGTGCATGAGCTAGAGAAAGAAAATTCTTCCTTTTATGATGCAGTTCATGGTTTAAAACCCATTTTGTCAACCTTGTTCACTTCAGTTTGAGTAGCTGCCTAATGGAGATTGTGGAAAGCAGTCATGACTTATTAGAATAGATTTAACAAAAGTCAAAGTGAACTTTTTGTCATTCGACTATGCGACAGGACATTACATAGTGGCTGAAATTGTGTTTCCCCAAACTCTAAATGTGCAGAAGAAAAGCAAAAATTTTACACATAACGAAGACATAAACTAAAACTTACACATAACTAAGTATATGACATAAAGTGCAGATTAATATCAGTAACAGACTAAAGAAAACAACAGTCAACACAGAAATATCGACAGCAGTGAGCGTTCAGACTGTCCAGTGTTCAGAAAGTAGTCAGTTGAGTATGTTACTTAAGTGCAAATAATACTGAGTTCAACAGACAGCAAAACATGTGCAATTTCTGTGGCAAAGGGCAGAGTAGCTGTATGAACATGAATAGGATGTAAACTATTGTTTTGCATTTCATTTCAAGCAGTGGCTATCTCAAATCTCAGTCATTTCATGGAGTATGAAGTCCACAAGAACGAAAAGAAAAAAAATCATGATCTGCTTAAGATACCTATTCGTTATGCATTGAATGAAACAGCCATCAAATTATTCAATGCCAGGCCGATTTCTTTATTATGAGACGCTGTCGTGGGAGGGTGGTTTTACAGACTCTTCTGCAAAAACTTCCACCTATTCACAACTATGTACTGTGTTACAAACCATAATTTAATGTTTCGTTGATTGCATTTGCAGTCGATGCTATCCAGCAACCCGAGAATGCTTAAAACATTGTAAAACCCTAATGATAAAATATAGAGTATTTCAAGAAACACAACAGAAATCCTTTTATGGATTAGTTCTGTGACAGTATAAGGTCATGATCCTTAAATGGTGTAACCAGAAAATAAAAAATAAAACGATCTCAGAAACCCAGCTTTAGTTTAGTTCAAAACCTGGTGTTAAACTCACACAATATATATACCCTCAATATGTAAAAGCACAGATCAAAATCAGGCCTCATCACGGTAAAAGAGAGCCGTGGAAAATCTTCAAACATTTTTTTTGTATCAGGAACATTTCTATATTTGAGCAATTAAAGGAAAGGGGGATCAAAGTTTCGCCAAAAGTTTTAATGCTTTGAAATAAGTCAGGCCATAGAGCAAGTGGGATATTATAAGTGCATTGCGCATGTATTGATGTGGGGGCTTCTTTATACTTTTACATTTATACATTATTCAATTTGAGACTACAAATGCAGCCTTTGAAATTGGTCTTTTTTTTTTAAATATGGTCAGCTATGTGGCTGATTGGGTAGAGAGAAAGAAAAAAAAAATTCCACATCGCCCAGGGGAAACTAGCACATCAGGCCTCTGCATGAAAGGAAACTGCTGTTACAGATGCCGGATCAGAGGATATTGATATTGGAAGAATCTGTATTGAAAGGAAATCCATATTAAAGGTGTGTTTGGCAGCTGAAGGGCACAGATTGCAGGTGCAGATATCGGAGTGCGAAGGGAGATAAGGAGCACAAGGATTTAACTTAGCCAAAGGGGCACTCCTCTGCCCCCTCCACCAGGGAGACACACATGCATTGTCCCAGTTGTTTACAGTGCTGGTGATCCAGTGCGAGTGGGGGGCATCTCTGTTCGCCAGTCGCATTCCTGCTCAGATCAGTTCGGTCAGGCACGACACAAACCGGGCGACGCCTCACTGTGCAAACCCAGCACACACTCTCTCTCTCCCTCACACACACACACACAATGCCGATGGAGAGTCAAGGTTGACATCAGCTGGTCAGGAAACTAAATTGTCTTTAGAGTCACATAGGGAGATGTAATGCCTGCAGCTATGAAGTCTATACAGGAAGGACTCGTTCAGCTTCTCTTTGAAGTGCGTACTGATTGTAAGTGTGTGTCTGTGCGAGTGTGTGTGTGTGTGTCTTTGAGGTTTTCTGTATGTTTCTGCCTCTCATTTTAACATCAATACACCCTCCTCTATAGACCTCCATGCACATCAAAGCCATGTCATGTCCTTCAAAGGCTCAACTTAGAACACATCTTTCTCTTCTGACTGGCCAGAACTTAGTGTAAGCACTGCAGGGCACATGGTTAACACACACACACACACACACACTCACACACATACGCATGCTGATACCAGATCACACACATACCCATTCTACAGGAGGACATGGGAGAAAGATTGACATTGTTTCTGTCTCTACCTACAGAGCCTAATCCCTCATTACTGACATCTACCCTGTTATATGCTAACAGGAGATGAATGTTGGTATAGCAATCGCATGTTTAACTGTAAATGAAATCATCAGGGAATCTCTGAATTTCTGAATATAGTTTATCCTCAGAAATTTACAAAGACATGACAGCTGTAAACCGAACATCTCAGTGTGGCACTTCAGCTCTAAAACAGATTTACGGCGGCTTTTCTTGATACTCGACTGATATACTGGACGCCCATCATCGATCCACTTTACAAACATTTGCAAGGAAGTGAGAGGTCATGATAATATAGATGTGTGCCAAAAATATCTTCCACTCTACCTCCCCTCTCTCCATGAGAGATCATTAGAACTTCTTTTGAAGGCATAATTTCATTCCATTTCAGTCAGGCTGAAATCTTTACACATATTTTGAAACTTATTTGTGGTGTAACTTCCTCATTCATTTGGTTTTCTGTAATGTAATGCAAACATGTTTCAGGGCTGTGGAACTAAACAAGAAGAGTATCACACCAACAGCCAGCCCTTTGTAGACACATCAGTTATGATGGTGCATTTGATTTATTCCTGTACATTTTAGAATACATTTCAACTGAAAATCACTTTAAAGCAGGTGTTTCATTGATTTTTTTTTTCTAAAACGTGTCTCCATAGATGAGCGTTTTCTTGCTGCGAAAAAACTTGACAAGAGTCTCCCCTCTCCTCATCATCTGACCCACGGCTCCCACAGATGGCACAGTTTAATAGGAGTAACTTTTCTTGTAGGTTTACTTTACACACTTTACCTTTTTCTTTTGTTTGGTGGCTTATTCAAACCTATGTGTCAGTCTGTGGTCCCTGGGATCGGTTTACTTTCCCCTTTCTAAATGGAACCACAGGCCGTACTTGGGATGCTGTGCCATTAGCGTTTAGCACCTCCGCGGCTTCACCCTTACACCTGGAAATGCGCACATCTACGCGGATGATTGCGGCTCTCAGAAGAGAGACGACCTGGTCTGAGCACTTGTCTGTCCAGTCACGTGAGAGTCTCCTACAGCAACATGTGAAATGTGTCACCTCCTTTACACTGTCACATACATCATTTACGCTGATGCACTTATCTGCTTTTCATTCTGCCGGAATACAAAGTCATCCTATGATGAACTTTCATCTACTTTTAACCATTATATTTAACCATTACATTTCTATATTAACTTTCTACTGGCCCACAGAGAATGCAGTAATGAGTCCACTCATGCACACACTGACCTAGACTCAAACACAACTAGGCACTCTCTTTGAAATCAGAGGGACTTCACCAGATGTCTCCTCGGGGGTTTTCGATTAAAAATAGCTTTTCCATGCTTTTTCAATGCTTGCTTTGTCAAAAATACTAGTAAACTATCACCATCACTTTGGACAGATTGTGTTTATCTATTACAGTTGGAGGGATTAGATCATCATAAATCTACACATCATTCACACATTGTCGTGGATAAACTTCCTTGTGAATGTGTGTATTAGTAAACTGGTAGTTGTAGTGAGGCGTTTCCTGAGGGAAGCAGTTGTCCTCTCTTAGGTTTAACTAATCAAGTATATGCTTTTTATATTAAAAAAGGTTGATTAGAGAATATTTTGAAGAACAGATATGGGCAAATATTAAGGAAATGTAAGTTCAGAGACAGTGGTTCCATCTTTCCTTGTTGTGCTTATGTGGATCTCTGAAAGAGTTTTTTTTTTAAAACAAAGCCTATGCAAACACAGACTTGCCTGATTCTCAGTTTTTTAAGCCTCTGTGCTTTTCTTCTTCACTGTTTCACTGCTTTCCAGGAATGTTTCTTTCTCTCACATACTTGTCTGCTGTTGCTTTATTTACACACACACACAAGCACACAAAGATTTAGGGCTTCATTATGCAGGAATGTGCAGTATTTCTTTGGATTGTGTGAGTGTTTGGAGGCCTAGATGCTGAACTGTTGTAAAGCAAAGACAGCGCTTCTTAGAGCCTCCCTGACAATTTCCTCTGGCTAATGACACTCGAGCCTTATCAACACTCCGCCTGCGACTCCCTCCGCTCTTCCTCACACTCTTGCTGTGCATGTACTCTCCGTGGTGTCATCTCAGTTCAGACCGAGCCGTCATGTAATCTGACATCTTGCTCCTGCAGCCCCCACCCATCACACACCTTGCTGCAAGCCCCGCCCCGTGTGTAAAGATGTGTGTTTAGGGTGTGAGAATTGGAGGTTTGAGCGCAGGATATAGCAACTCATAAGCCCTGAGTGGAGGCCATAGCCGCTCATGTGTGTTTAGGAGACAAATGAAAGACACTAAAAAGAGTGTGGCATTTCTCACCTGGAAGAGTGAAATCGGTGTAAAGCTTTCACTACTCCATAGCGTCTGTGAATTTCTGTACTTAAAACCTGAGGGTTCTGCAAGTTCAAAGTCGGTGTGCGCGTGTGTTTTGTGTTTCCAGTCAAGGTGATGCAGTTCAACAGAGCCAGAGCAGCACCGGACGTGAGCCAAGAGGAGCTCTCACACAACTACAGTGTGACGAGCGTACCGACTGAGACCGGCTTCAGGTACGCCCATTTACCAGAAATATCCGTCCATAGAAGTGGAGCCATTGTTGAACCTTGATGTGAATTCTTCTCTTTTTGTCTGACCTTGTCTAAACTTTCGACTGAAAAACTTCTTACATTTTTCAAAGGTTCACTTCAATTTGCTTTGAATGCAAACTAGCCTGCTGAATCATTCTTATTATATGTTTATAAGCATAACAGTCTCCAGATTTCAAATTAAATAATTTTGGACAGAAATTGGGACTGAAAAGTTTAAATGAGGCATCAAAGCATTGTTGCTTTAAGCATATCCAAATTGTCACTCTGCTCCAATAGAATCTTCATTTTGTCACCACAGTGTGATCCAATAAAGGATGAAAGACAGCGTATTTCTCTCCCATTGAGAGGGTTAGAAGTGTCAGAATACGAACACGCTCTCACATGGTTTATTAAATATTTTGATTCTCCTGCTGTGCATAGGCCTATGCTGTGGGACTAGGAACATGATCCGGTTTAGTTTTTCACACAGCCATGCTGAGTGCTGACGAGCATTAAACGTTTCTGACTGTATGTTACGGTTTAATATCTTACAACACGTGTCTTTAACATTTACTCTTAAAACTGTAACACTCTATAGTGTGGAAAAATCATCTATATCACTCTTCTGTTCTCACATTTGTGTTCCAGAGGGGCCTCCAGTCTGGAGGAGGTGGTAGAGAAGCAGGCCGACCTGATAGAGTACCTGAAACAGCACAACACGTTGCTAAGCAAGAGGCTGCTGAACCTCACTGCTCAGCACTAAGCACAGGCCGGACACTTCCGCCAAGCCAACCAGCCAGAGGCTCAGGGGAAAGAGCGCCAGCATTTTACAGCCCCAAGTGAAGATCTTAAAGGCTGAAGTCAGCAAATGCACCTGTACACGCAGACTGAGAGGGCTCCTCTGTGAGGAATCCCCACCTGAGACGGACAGATAACACACGGGGAGGTGGTCTGTAAGTGGAAGGCAGTTAAAGAGGAAAATGGAAGGTTGAGGGGAGGAGTCGTGGGTCACAGATCAGAGGCGCTGAGTTTTTCTCACTGTGTTACGACCTCCGCTGACCCGTGTATGCTGCCGCTTTTGCTACTCTGAAAGAAGCAGAGCTGTAAGATCATCTGCACAAAGGAAGGAGAGGTTATCACTTATCTGGGGCAAACAAGTGAGCTTAAATCTGTGTTTTATCTGTGTGAATGTTAATTTGTGAAAGTTCTTGTTTTTGTGCATTTGTCTTAAGATTTCATTAAAATCTTTGATACAGTGACTACTTTTTTGTGCATTTTGTTTAAGCCTGGTTAGGATTAAGGCTGATATGATATATTGGCAGGTTACAATGTCCAAACCTGCTGAACATTATAATAGCATGTTTGCGCTACAGGACAACATCTGGAAACTAGAGGCGATATAGGGTCAACGTTAACTGCCGTTTTTTCTGCCCATTGCCTGCTGTCGGTTCCGTTTTGAGTCCTGAGAATCTACAAAATATTTAGGCTGTTATTTGAGCCCTGGTCGTTTGCTCCCCTTTGTGACTCTGGCGTCTTCAACTCGATGGGGAGTGCAATGTTTACAACCTTTCTCCCATGCAGCTTCAGCTCCGGGTCGAGTCTACTCATTTTTCATATCTGGATCCAAGCATAATCTTGGATTCCTAAACTACAGCTATACTTACAAAAATGATCAAACTTCTGCATGAAAATCTAGATTTAAAAGAAAAAAATCTGCACCTTAAGCATTATTCTCAAATCTGATGTTTGTTTTTTTATTCAAGTGAAATATATGCAATGCTACTTGAGCACAAGATCACAATACATGATATACATAACATTTGTTCATTTTTTTTATTAAAAAGTTTAAATGTAAATAATAAACATTTGAAGTGCATACATTCTTTATAAACAAATTGAAAGAATACTGTGAAGACATTTACAGTTCTTTGGTTGACAGAAAATCTTTTTGTTCAATTTTGAACAAACCAAAATTCCACCGTCTTCGCTCCCTTCAGGAGCGTGGGGAAAAGATTGCAAGTCTTTTCATTCACATCTGTGTCCACTGGGCTGTTGGAGCATTTCATGATTAATTGTGAATAAAATAATTAATCCAGAATCTCAGGCTGAGATTAACTTTTTCAGACGTCACATAAAGATTTCCTGCAGAGTGTCGGAGCAGCAACAAGATGGTCTTTAGTTGGCGCTTTAATGGAGATCCCATTTTTTTCTGTGTCCATTTGTGTCTGGATTTTGGAATCCATCCTCTTCAGTATATATTCATATTTCTTATCGCACGAGACCTTCATAGATGTGCATCTGCCTGTAATGAAACACACAATTTAGATTCCTGCAACGTTTACCTCAACTACAAGTTTAAAACAACTGCCCAGAGGTTACTTCTAGTCCACCCCAATCTCTCTGTCCAGCTACCCCTCACTGCAGTAAAGCCTTCCTGTTCATCGTTAGTGAGATTTATGTCCAAACCATTTCCCCTTGTGCCTCTGATCTGCAGGACCATACACCTCTGCCATCGATCACACACACCCTCTTAACTACCACATGCCAGCTCTGTGAACCGGTTCGGTTCCACGCATCAAGAGCTTGGCCTGTAACCCGCTGATATAAAAACACATGAATGGGCAGACGCATCTTACCTCAGGGGAAAGGTACTCTTGAGTGAAGCGGCAAGCAACGTCTATGTAGGCAATGATGTCTGTGGTATTTTCTCCTCAGATTCAAGAAATCTAAAAAAAAAAGTAAAGACAGGTTGTAATTGGCACAGCGTACATTATGAAACATAAATTATAGAGAGCCAAGTTAGAAGGTTGTCTGATATTTTTGACTGCTGTTTAATGTAGATTTAGATGTCAATATTCTATACAAAATGATCTCGGGTGGAAATACACATTATGCGGTAGACTTAGTTGATCAAAATGGGAAGCTTGTACAAGCATGAAAAAAACTATTTTGGTATGGGGAATTAAGATATAACCACATCCTGTGATATAGCTATAACCTAATTATGACTCCACTTAACCTCTCTTGAACACTTTCAAGTTTATTGTTTAGGCCCCTTTTCAAACAGCTGGGACAAACCGGGACCCACCAACCTAACACATGATTATTTTTAATCGGCCCCAATAAATCCACTCTTGACTCCGGTTCACAGACTAGCAAAGCTCAGGAAGAGATAAACTGCCAGATGACTTTATGACCCCCTCCGGCCCACCCTGAGTTCCTCTTAAAGAAACTGCCCCCTACGCCTAGAGGTACGCTTCTTTACACTTGGCACTACTACTCCATGTCATGTTAATAAACCTCGGTATTTGCATGGCGTTTTAACACCGTGTTTAACAAAAGCCCGCCGGAGCGCCTTCTCGCCGTGGACAAAGAGTCGTCCTGTGGTCGCTGTGCGATCCCCGGCGGCGCTATGTTGCCGTCCCCTCCCTTCCTCCTTTCTCTCCACCATCACGTGAACCCCTCACTTCTTACCCAAAGCCGAACTCATTAACAACAGCTGTTTGGAAAAGGGATCATCACGAGCCACCCTGGTTGTGCGCAGAAAAAAAAGGCACCTGCTTAAACCTGATTAGTTTTCAGCGTGGCTTACTCAACCTTACATTTTAATACAATTTGATAGACTTTGTTTTTGTTTGGTTTTTAAATGGTAACATTTCACATTTATCCGTTTTTGTGATGAGAAACACGAAATGTTTCCAGTCTGACGCACCGTTTTTCATCACCCTTTACGTTCATGGAAAACAGGTGACCAGTCCACCTTTAAATTGAGCTGACATTTAAAATTTCTAATTTAAATCACATTGGGAGGAAACGTTAGCTTGTTGCTATGGTTACACACACTTTAACAGAACGCATGCAATTATCTGGAAGTCAGTCAAAACTATTAACATTTTCTCTTTAACTCGTTGAAAAAAATGGCAAAAATGTATTTTTTAAAAAGGTTTTGTTAAGGAGACCATGAGTGGTGGTTTATTTTTTTCGTTCTTCTTTACGTTTTTCTTTTTTTGCCTCTAAGGTGAAGTTTGAGGACTCTTACCTGGCCTGGCTGAGGAGACCGGTGCAGCAACAGCTACGAGCAGCAGGAACAGATAGAGCAGGTTGAAAACCTTCATGGCTGTGATGCAGTGAGTTGCAGAGGGGATTAGATAAAGATTTTTCCAGAAGTTTGGAGTGCACAAGCACCCCTTTTGAGACGATAATGTATGTCCAAGATGAATCTTTGTCCGGATGGGTCTATGTGTCCAGCAAGAGAGTGAATGTCTCCGTCTCTGAGAGCAAGTGACAAAGGTACCAAGCCCCCATCTCCTTTATATGGCCTTTTAGAGGGAGGGGAGTCGCCTACCCCTCCACCTCCAGCCCCACTACAGCCCCCAGCTCCTCAAGTCCTTACACACACACAGTGCTGTTCTCTCCCTACCACACACACACACATAGACACACACACATTGGGCATTTAGGCATTGCACATATTGACCCCACATGTAGAGGGTAATTCAAGTGACAGGAAGTGCCCTTCCAGTGCTCCAACTGCTCCTCCTGCACGCTCTGCTGCTGCATTTTGTGTGCACGTGTGTGACTGATATTTTCAAAGTGAGTGGAAAGGGAGGTAGCGTTGATCTATCACAACATCACAACACACTTTTAAGAAGCACAACCTCTGTGAACCAGATTTCTCCAGTTCTCCCCTGCCCCCGCACCGAGAAAGGCCCACTTCAGGGCCAGTTGGGGTGGGGGGTGGGGGGCTATTTGCAGCAAGCATTTGGGGGCAATACTTTTGACTGAGTGAAATACAGTGATGCACTGATGCACCACTCAGAGAACTCTGATCCTCCATCTTGGATGTATTCTGTCTCATTTGTTAGTGAGCTGCATTTGTTTTGGAGGAGTTTTGTTCATCTGTCTCTCTATAAAGATGAAAGATTGCTGCAGCCCTTCAAATTGAGTGTAATAGTAATTGCAAATGATGCCTTATTCCAATTTATCAACTGTTGGATCCTATTGCTGGTTCAGAATATCAAGACATATTTTTTAATTTAGTGGCACAAAGTTGAAGTTTGACTTCTCAAAGTATGAAATGAATAAGCTTGTCCACTTAGACTCTGTATTGGGTCAGCACTGTTCTTTTTATGTTTATTTCCAAACAAAGCCTTTATCTATAAGTCATACATGGTGTTGGCTGGGTCCAGCAAGATGTGCTTTCAGCAGGTAACCCGTTTCACTTGGCATTAGCCGGTGATGTGGGGACTCATTAGTGTGTCTGCCGATGGCTGTCTCTGTGGACTGAGACTCTCTATTCAACACCCAGCTAATGAATTAACACATTAAGATGAAATGTCAGCCATTACATGTGAATGAGGATTAGAGAAGCAGCAGGACGCTAATGGACCACAGAGCTCAAAATAGTCACAGAGACTTTGAACAAGCATCTGGATCGTCAACTCTCTTAGCCCTCGAAAACAGACAAAAAGACCAAGGTCATTTTTTTAAACTTTTTATTATTATTATTGTTGTCATTGTAGGGGTGTGTGCGTAAACGTCATTGTCATTACGTCTTTTGCAATGTCAGTTTTATTGCTTTATGATGTTTGCAAAAATGCAGCTTGAAACAACAGAGATTCCTCATGGATTTGACCAGTGCACAGATGTCCACACTTTGGTTCACACACTCATCGTGCTGCAACTTCTCAGCAGTGGCATGTAGTTTGGTTCTTTGGCGAGCAGCTCTTTGCATATCGGCCGCTATTGTCTTTTTAAAAAACTTAAATTTTCTCAATTTAAATATGCTAATTCAGACTCAATTGTCATTCACAGCCACCTGGTTTTCTGCTGCCAGACCCATGTCTCACTGTGCCTCTCAGTTTGTCTGCTCCTCATGACACAAAGAAGAAAATTACACAAAATCCTCTCACCAGGTTTTTTGTATGGCTGATCAGAGTTGTAATATTTTCTGTCTCTGCTAATTATACATTTTTACAAGGATTACTCAACCTCCTCAAACATACCCCTGTGTGAGAGGCAAACAGATGTTTAAACAATGGAAAACTCTTATCAACTTGCTTCAAAACTTTCTAGAACTTATATCTAAAAAATACCCAGAGTCTATTTCTCTAAAAAGGCTTTTCATTATTTGTGATTTCAATTTGGATCCAAAATGTTGGGACACTCTCTGTATCTTTACTATGTTTACTATGTTCGGTATGACTTTATTGGAAACTTCCACCTCTGCTTCTTTCCAGAATTTTCACTTTATTCTTCTCCCATCATCTTATTCCATTAATCCCTCAGTTATCTTCCTTTATGATAAAACTAATGAAGAACAACTGTGCTTCATAAGATGTTACTTTTCCACAGAGGTGAACATTACCGCAAAAATGTGTTGATGGTGGCAGTGAGGCAATATCACCACATACCATAGGCAGAGCTATTTTGTTTCATATTGTTCCTTTTCACACAATAGTGTTCTGAGTGACAGACATGAAACATCTAGCCCATCAAGTTTGTTTGCCAAGTATTTTGGACTTATTTTGGACTAACTATACTTATCAGGAGATTGTTGTATTCTTGTGTGTGTGAACAATCACAGAATCTTCATAACAGTGGTTTTAGGGGACATTTATTAATCGTCATAGTACAGTTATGTGTTCATCAGGAAATATATGCATACATCTCAGTATTTCTTTCTTTCCAATACTCAGTCAGGCTTACACAAGAGAAGTTTGGTGGTAGAGTGGACATTAGGTGATAAATTTGGACCGTGATGTCTGAATGCTTTTGGGTGTAGTCCTGCTGTCACTGTGTGCATGTGTTGATTGTGATCTGATGGGTCAGTTCGTTGTCCATCGTTAGATTGATAGCAGCTCTGTTGTCATACTATAAGGTCGTCAGTGTTAATGAGGGCTGCAGCCAGCCAGAGTTTAATTACTCTTAATACCCTTTATCTCTAACTGACCATTTCAGAACCCATTGGACGCTTATGCGCAGCTGTGCACACCCAATACATACACCTACATTGGACCCTCAAGACACACACATAGGTGGAGACACAGCATAAATGGGTCAGAGCTTTTTTCCATTCCAATTTCTTTAACTTTAATGAACTTTGTCTTTATTCCATAGCTTCTCCTCCTCTCTGTCAACAGCCAGACGACTGACTGCTGAGGAGTGACGGAAGGCTCAGAGGTCAAGGGGCAAACTCAACAGGGAGTAGCTCCTAACCTCCTGGATGATGCCCCACAAGGGCTTTAAGGGCAAAAGTTACTTGGATGGTTAAGTCCCAACTCAGACACAGCGGCTTCTCGTGACACTCAGGGTGTGGTTTGATTGTTTGTAAGAGCAGTGTATAGATTTCCCTGACCAAACAGTCTGTAGCTAATAGGCATTAGTGACATTAGTGAATTTTCTGCCCAAATGTTAGCTTCACCGTTATTATCTAAGGCAACCCAACAGTTAGTGTTCTTTTTACTTGACTTTTGAAAACTGTAGATGAAGCTAAAGAGAAAAATTTCATTATCCGCTGAAGAAACTTTGTGATGGCATGACATATAAGTCAAGAGGTTGAACAGATCAAAGTTGAGATGTTGAAGAACATGTTTTGAGAAGGGAAGACAACTAGAAATACATGAAAGATAAATAAATTCCTGTCAAATCTTGATAAACTGACACCCGTTTATAGTTTATGTATTAACAAATTGCACGAAAATAAAAGTCTTTGTTGATAAGGATGCTAAACTGTTAATTGGGGATAGGTTAACCTTCATATGATTGAGCTAACCAGATGTCATTGACATTGGAATATTACAGAAACAGTTTGATTTTCAGATAATCAATATCTGCCTTTTAAGTTTTTTGTCTGGCTTGTTTGGTGATCACTCTCTGCTTCCTGTTTGATGGTTGTGACTTCTTGACTTCATGACCAGTTTCATCTGAAACAATGTAAACATAAGCAGCATTTAGGTGGCAGGTGTATGCATTCCATGGCTGGAATGAGAGGACAAATGTTCACTGTACCTGGCTCAGTGTTCCATGGCGGGATGCAGACTGAAGCAAGACTATAAAAGGAGAAGATGACGAAGGCTATGATGATGAAGGTAAGCTCAAAGCCATTGAATGGTACCTCCATCTACACAGCTACCCAACATAAAGCAGCAGTTAAAGTGTGCAACATTTCCAATATAAGATTCACTTTACACAGCATTATATCACACTACCACAAGGTTGAAGGATGTTACAAACTGTTGGAAAATTGACACTTCATATTGTTTGTAGTTTTCTTTTTATTGAAAACGCATTTATTGAAATGTTATATTTGATAAAATTAGCTAATGTACGACTAAGTAATATCAAAGCACATTAAAAGACTCTCTTTACTTTTTACTTTTACCATCAAATCCGTTTTAGACTTTGCATATTTGTCCAAGTAATCAAATTTGGACATACTCAGACTCCCTTAAGTAACTGTATTTTCATTCTGAACATTTTAACCAGTATTTCTTTTAAGAATTCACTACACAGCTGTCTCCACCAGATGGCTCTGTAAGTTCTTCTTATCATCAGGTTTTACATTGTTTGATTTCATAATGCAGGAGGAAACAAAATGTTCTTATATTGTGTGTGCTTTGACAGTTCAATATCAAAACTGATCTTTGTTCACAAGTGGCATTAACATAAAGGTTTATAGTCTGCACATGACTATTTTGTATAATTATTATGTAGGTTTTAGTTAACGAATACTTCGACCTGGTAACAAGTTTCCATTAATTTACCTATTGCCAAAGACCAAAGACAGATTCCAACTTTGATAGATTATAGCAGAGTTCTGAAGTTGTGTCAACTAGATGAAACAGAAGGAGAAGTTCACATGAATTAAACAGTCAGTGCTGAAATCAGAGAAGGCAGCAAAGGCTTAGGTTTTTGGAAACTTCCACCAAACTTGGATGTGAAATTTCTTTCACTTTTTCAAATTATTTTCATTGTGGAAATTCCTGTTCACTCTAAATCTTCAAACAGACAATACATTGGTCTGAATATGTCCAAAAATAAGTGACCTGTCTCTACTTTTCATGCAGTTGTAGATTTAATCCTCTACTTTAAGCTCCACCCTTTGACTAAATACAGTCACACTTCTTATTCTAGCACAGTAAATTCAGAGCTCACTCTAGTCCTACCAGCACACCTATTGTTTCTGACCTAGATTTTAACAGTTGTCCTGGAACAGAAAAGTGGTACAGATTACTTCTTCAAGAACAAATGTAATAGGGTTTGAGACTTACTGATTGAATAATAGTAGGTGTTCTCTTTTTGTTTTTCTGTCCAAACAAAGAGGAATGAAAGACAGCAGATACGAGATACGTCTTGTGGCAGTTTGATGAAGTTTATTGAGCTCATTTTTACAATGTGGGCCACTCCTTTGTGCCTCATTCTAAAAGCAAATAACTCTACATCCTATCACAGTGTACACACAAATACATGTTCAGAGGTCACGCTGCAAGAGTTTGCTCTGCGAGCTGATTGGCCCCACAAAAGGCTTTAGTTCCTCGTAAGGCACTGCTGAAGATGTCACTGTTTCACTGCCCTCAGAAGTTTAAGTCTGTCAGCCCACCATGTCTCGTCACACCAGCAGCTCCTCATCAAGTTCTTTTATGTTAGTTTCTGTTAAAGAAATAATAATGGACAATGTGACTCGTTCAAAGAACAATATTTTGTTTGAAAACACTGTAGGTAGTTGAAACGTTTCTTTTAAAACTCAAGTCAGTAATAATCATAATGCAAACATTAGTGCTCAGAAACATATAATTGACACAGATATGCTTTATCAATGGTGTACCTCTCATAAATTGTACGTTAATTCAGACTGCTGTAATGGCCACATATGTATCTTTATCGTGAAAAGTTCAATTACCAGTCATTATTTTGAGTTGTTGTTCATGTGTGTAATGTGTAATCTTTTCTGTTTAAATGATCCTCTACAAATATATGACCTTAACTTTTTTGTATAAATCAAACATTGTGAAAGAGATTTAGCTCAAATGCATTGCTTGTAAGGTGAGTTTAAATTGTTTCTGATATTCATATCTCGTGTTTGTATACTTTTCAGTCATACCATTCAAACATGGGTGGCACTGGTTGATCATCCCAATGAGTGTGAAGAGTGCAAAAACCCCAATGGAGAACATGATGGTCACTGCTTCAATCTCAGTTGTAAGATACGCCATGTGCTTCTAACCTTCCTTCACAGCTGTATGTTGATAGTAACATCAGTCAGATTATATGCTCTCTAAAGGATAGAACTTGCCAAACACTGCATGAAAATTAAGACTGAACACTTACTTACCCAGTGTTTCCAGGAGCACTGAAAGGCTGAACACAGCAGTGTCAGGACACTTGCGCACACACTGTTACCTCCGTCACTGTCTCTCTTTCTGTCTCTCTCTCTCTGTCTCTCTTACAGAATGTGTGAAGAGCTGGCTGACACATCCCTTCTCATGTTCAAGTGAGCTCACATTAGCCGAAATAATTGATGGGCACTGGGTTTCTTTAGTTTGCTTGCAAAAACAGTTAGTCAACATGCTGTCAGTTAAGTGTTAAGGATGTTTATTGCTCCACTCTGAACTGAAATGGAAACATATCTTGAAATATAGTTCAAAAAGTGAGGATTGGTTTCGGTTTTCATGCAAAGAAACTGTGTCATGTGGTTGCTTCTTCATTGCAATGGAATGTATCTGTGGAAACCTCTGCAAAATACACACATCTTTACACTAACACCCTTTTTATCACAGACTATGATGGAATTTTTTTGTCATGAACCCCACCAAAAAGTGTGACCTGACTTCCCCATTTCCATTCTAGTTGCATTTTATCGCTTTGATACGTGTGTAAAAAGGATGTTGCTCACCAGATGCTATGAGAGCATCTGGCACCTCTCAACTGGACGTTGAGAGGTGGTAAAAGGGGTTTACCAATCAAAAAGGCTGCTGAACATCAACTTAAGTGCAGCTCAGCCTCTCAACAAATCCCACAAATTCAAAAAGAAAATTGTAAACTAACAATTGATCCAGAAGAAATTAATGAAAAATTTACTCCATTTTATCAAAATCTGTACACATCAGAGATGAAAAATGATTGCTCTGACATGGAACATTTCTTCAATAACCTCTCCCTAAGTCCTTTTTTAAGTCTATTGATAAGGCTCTAATATAATTTATAACTTTGTCAGAAGCACTGGTGGAATACTAATCTTCAACCCAACGTAGCTATGGCCATATTATGGTACCACAGACAGAAGACATACAACATTAAGGAAAAGCAACAAAAACATAATAGCTTTAAAACCCTGCTTGCACGTAAAAGAATATTAGTGCTTTTTTTTTTTAGTCTTATTTATTTTTGTACTACCTTTAATGATCTACTCTTACAGGATTGGTGTCCAACATATTCTTGGGATGGGGGGTTAAAATATAAATAGGAGTATTGTGTCTCCTGTATTTGAAACAATGTAATACATCACTTATGCTCAATAAAAAGAACAAAAAAGAAGCAAGAAAGGTTGCTGAGAATGGGTTGAATGTGTAGAATGGGAAGCAGAGCTTTCAGTTATCAGAAGGCTCTAACCCTCTCTATTAAATCAGCTGTCAGTTTGAGTTCACCAAGCAGATACACTCTAGTTTAAAGATTAGACTTCAAACTCTCCTGTTTACTAAATCGTAACAGTAAGGATGTCTCATGTGACCCTGACACTTTCCCCTCTCTGCTCTTTTTAATTTCCATTCATGCTCAGGGTGGGAGGTTGATTGTTCCGCAGCAATCTTTTTGTTTCCTCAGCTCAGAAACTTTTTTATAAAAAACTAAACAAAACATGGCTTTATTTGAAATTTACTATCGAAGAACTTTATAGATTGGATATCATGGTGTTATGATAGTACCACAGTGAACTGGAGTCTAGTTGGTTTGGATTAGATTCGACATTTGCTGTGATTTATTGTTATGTAAATAAAGTGGAAGTTAATTTAATTCCAGCAAATAGAAATGGAGACAGAGCACAATTTGATGTTGACTGACATAAAGAAGTTTAAAGGATCAGATAGTAGTGATTTTGTACATGAATGTATGTGTGTACATGAAATACAGTAAAAAAAATGGATAAATAAAAAAGAACCCAACCAAAAACAGAAAGATGAATGTTTAGTTTACCTGTAGTCTTTAGTGATAACTTTAACTCCAGTTATATCAATCATAATCCTTCTGAGCTGAGACAGTTTACAATAGGATTACATTCTTGCTACCCACAAATTTATGGGGCTGTTTATGTTTGGTGTAGGTTTCTCACATCTGATTGGGGGAATCAAGTAATGTTCCTCTATTAGTTTAGTATTAGAGAAGAAAAAAGATGGTTTAACATCAATCAGCATACTGTTTCATATCAGGAGCTCTGTAATAATAGGATGTGGTGTGTTCGTGATTGAGCGAGTGATGTCCATGTGTACAAGTTGTATAAGCTTATTAGCCACACCATTGGTCAGAGGAGGAGATTGAGGCTAGTCTAAGCCCTAATCCTCGTGGACTTTATGCATGTTATACAGCAAGTGTAACAAAGTCCTGGCTCCACCCCTTCAGACAGACACACATGCAGACGTGTATGTCCCAACAACACACTTTTTTCCCAAGCCGCCTTGTTTATTGTTCAGCCCCATCTCAACTCTTCCTCTCCTTACTGTCTATCAGCAGGTGGGAGGAGGAACGGAGAGAGGGAAAAGAAGTGGTGCGCACTGCTGAGTAGTTTCCTAGTCGCCATGACGACCTCACACCCCACCATCTTTAGAGCTGTCCCCTTGTTGCCACGGTGACCTGATCCCATTCCGTTTCGGTTGCTCTTCACGATCTGGATTGGACTGATAAGGAAGAGCGATCCGGGAGTGGCAACTCATTTCTCTAAAAACAACGTGTGGATGGGACAACCGATCCCGCACAAGAACACAGATTGGAGGACAGCACGGCGCAGCGTGCTGGGAATGCTGTGGAAATAGAACTGGAGCGTTGCTTGGAAACAGCAGCATGCCAGTACAACAGATAACTGTGGTTCCAGCAAAGGAGACAGCTAGCAATGGCAAGACCGCTTCTCGCTCCAAAGACAAGAATGAGGTGAGTTATTGACCTCCATTTGTTTTTCTTCTTATTTGCCATCAATGCTCAAAATCAATGAAAAGTGTACCACTTTCAGAGGTATATTATTCCAAATAAGTTTTTCGTGATGGTAAAAAACAGTCGTCATTTGAGTAGTCCTTAAGTACTGATCTTTATTTCCACACAAGAAGCTGCATGTTTTGTTTTTGTGGTTAGTCTTTAGTTTAATCTGTAAAATAGGCTTGGTTGCCTTCAATCAGTTTTTTTAAAGCTTTTTTTTAGTGGAGCTATTAACCACTTTTTCTTCATCACACCGTATCACACTGCAGGCAAAAGTTCATATCAGTTTATGTCACATCATAAACTCATAATATACTAAAAAAATATGACATGAAATGTTTTTGCATAATGTTTTTCTCTCTTGCAAGTGCATCTCTAGCCTAACATGAGCTTTAATGTTTTATACTGAAACAAAAATCTAACAAAAAAAGGGAAGTTAAAGATTAAACTTAATTGTCTTTTGTTAGACAGGATTGAAAAGTATTGCTTAGATGGTCTGTAAAATGTGATGAGGTACATCACATTGGAACTGATCAGTTCTTTGCCAGGGTCTCTTACAACTTATCAGTAACAGAAAGAGGAATTTCCACTACTCATATCATGACCTGGATTCAGATATAGTTGTTTTGTCAAACTAAAAAAACACATGAAGATGAAGATCCTCTTCATCTTCATATTTCTTCTCATCTTGAGTTACTGCTGCTTAGGGTGTTTTTGTTTTGCTGTTTACACGTCTCCTTCAGTTTCACTGTTTAGATAGGACTTATTTGGCAAAACCAATAAGAGCTGTTGAAATCTCCTTCCCTCCTTTCATCATACACTTCAACACAGATATCTTTGCCATATTTCAGCTACAATTGACAGCCCAATTTTCACAATTGATGCAAATATCCAATGGGCAAAGAATGCATAGACTCTTAAGATTATGCTATGAATTGATCAAATTTTGTTAAGTCTAAAGTTGGCTTCAATTGGGTTTGAGTCACACAAAGAGGATATGGTGCTAATAGACATGAAAACCAAAGTACTGATGAGACGTTCAAAGATTGGCTGCACAAATCATTATATTAACACTTCACTTCATGAAAGAAAGAAAGCATTATTCATACAAAAAAGATTTTTTGTGTTGCAATTATGCAAATTGTGGAAGTTTGCTGATTGATTTCTCTGTTCATGGCATTTGTGTGCAACCCACATATTAGGACTACAGTTCTTAGTCAAATCTATATCTTAAACATAATTTTTCATCATGGCCAAATAAACCCTAGGCATGAGGATGTCATATTCCAAGATGAAATGTCTAAGACTAAATTAATCCAATAAATGTTGGAAACCGTGAAAGAAAACCCCACCTCACTTTTAGCTATATACAATTCACAACTGCGGGGCAGCTTCTCATACTTAACAGAAAATATTTGAAATACAAAACAAATACAGATGAAATAGAAAAAGGCAAAGTTTTACAACAAATTAGTTTAGATGACAAGTTTTCAATATAAGAGAGAGAAAGTAGTATTAATTTATATATCATGATGCTGTACTTTGTGGTGTTTTGTTGTTTCACTGATCTGATTTATTGGTTCATTGTCCTTAAAGTATGATTGTTACTGTTATTCTTACATGTTCTTTCTCCACATCCTCAAAATAATACAGTCACTGTAATTTATTTGCAAGAATCAACTAAATATTTTCCTTGAGAACTGGTTTACTTGATTAATAGATAAAAGCACAACTCCATCATGTTGATTGATTACCTTGTGTATTGACTAATGTTTTTAGTGATGTGTTGGATGTCAAAGAGCTGCAACAATGTATGTTGGCTATCAGATTCAGAATCTGTCAGTTGGTTTTGTTAAGTTGCCATGGAAATGCAGCCATCAAAAAATGTTCATGATGATTCAGAACAGCAGTGAATCGTCCTGCACATGTTGTCATTGCTCTTATTATTGCTCTGCTTTTTGGAGCTTGTTTGCTCTTTCATCTCCCTATGTAGAAGTTGAGAGTGTGCAGCCTTAGCATCATAGATATCCTTCTAAATGTAGCTGTAGGGTTTTCTGACTGAGTGCCAGAGCACAGAACCAAAATATATCCCTCAGTCCATGCCACACCACTTAATCTGCTCTGCAGAATCATGCACATGTCCTCACACAGACACAGTATATTGTGCACCTTAGTCAGAGTTTCAGCAGAACAGCAGAGGCTCAGGTGAGTGACTGTTAAATTTGCTCTGATAGGTTACTTTATAACTGCTGAGTAGGTTAAATGTCTTTTTTTTTATTGCTCTGCAGTGGTAGCCCCATTTTTTGCGCCTACAGGCCTGCACTTTGCATTCAAAATCACCTGTTGATTGAATGAATGCATGGGTTAGAAAATAAGTTCAATAACATGTAAATCTGTGGGATGCTGAAAATGAGTTGTAAAAATATAAGTGGTTTATGTTCAAAGCACACGTTTTAAACTTCAGTCTCCCTTACAAAATGGTGAATTTTCTTATTTTTAGCAAGTCTAGTTCTGAATGTGATGTCTTTGATAAACCGAGAAAAAAAATTAACAAAAGCTGAGATGCTCTGAATATACAAAGAAAAATGTTTAAAAGATTTTAAAACTATTTCTTTTGATTGATGTATTGTGGGAGTGTGTTTTCAGAATGTAACACCTGTGATGTCAAAAATAGTATCGGCATGTATGTAAAGTTGGACAATGTATTCAAATCTATGTGTCCATCACAAACTCATGCTTGAAGCTAGAATTTGCACTTTGTTACTTAGTGATTGTTGTAGGACTGAATAGACTTTTTTCTTTTTACTGTTGTCCGTTGACATTTTCAGATGTGTTTCCCAAAAACATTTCTGTTATTAGTGTTTTTTTGTGCACAAAATTTCTTGAATTTTTCACAGACTGGAAGGAGAAAATCTGTTAGGCGTCTTGTTTTATCAATCTTTATGTGAAACCCAACAACTTCCACAGTTTCTCAGGAAAATCCAGATGTTTCTTACATGCAGAGCAAGTGGCTGATCTACAATTATGTTTTCAGTCTGTGTTCTCTGCAGTGCTCAATACATTTAACCCCAGGAAAGATCTCTAACAATACTAACATCAGAAAGTCAGAGTGGATCGAACACTAAATGGTATAAGAGAGCAATACAGGAAACACAATGGAGAAACAGCAGGTTTGTTACTTTCAGAGCTCTAGTTTGAACATTCTCCTGCAGGAATCAATGTGAAGCTGATGCTGATCATTAAGCACTGTTTTATTTAAACTGATAAAACCCATAATTAGAAATATGCATCTTAAAAAATTAATCTAACATTTAATTTCTGTCATTGCAGTAGATATGAAACAACATGCTTAACCCCACAAATGGAATCCAAAATAAAACTGTCAATTAATCTAAACCAAAGGTTTTCACAGGACATGGAATTCTTATGACTCAGAGTAATGAGTGACCAATCTTTGCAATTCAAATAAACACCATAAAATTGCAAGCATGTGCACACATCCCAGTCCATGTGTTGATAAGCTATAAAAGCACACGAGTTCCTGATTCTAAACACGACTACTGATTTAAACATGGCTCTAAGAAAATCCCTTGATCAGCTTACAAGATGCAGTCTTCTGTTCATCAGCCTCACTCCTGTTCATTTTAGTGATTTACTCAGTGTATTCTTCACTGTAACCTCACGTGAGCAGATACACACAATCAAAAATAAATAAATAAATGGATGAGAAGATTCATCCTGCCTGAAGGTACTTCTACTCACTGTCACTAGCCAGCAAACATTAAAATTATGTTGATTTTCTCTCTCATATATGATCAAAGCCAACCATGGCTTCTTTTCTACTACAAGCTTGAAGACATTTACGAAGGATAAAAGTTCCTCTTCCTGCCTGTTGTTGAAAATGTTTCCACAGAAGGGCTTATTATGACTCTCTTTCTGATGTGTAAAAACTAGATTTTTATACTAGCCCTGTAATGCTTCCTGAGCAACTTAGCTTGGTTGATATCATTCATGTTTCATTCTTTAAAATGATCATAATCATTCGGCGTATTGAAATCTAATTGGATATATGAGCGAAACTGGGATGTAAGGATTCCACTTTTTGGTTCTTTTCTTAATTTCTTAATTTTCTTAACTTATGATGCACGGTTTGGTTCTAATTGCTATTTATTAATACCACAGTCTCGTTATTTGGGGGATACACAATAGTGAAAACTCATTGCAGTGTGAGTTGGGTATTTGTATTGTGAATTTGGATAGTTTCGGAATCCTTACACCCTTAGTAAACAAATGGATAACTAATTCGGAACAAAAGCTGTTGGGTTTTGGAGGGCCACTGGCAGGATTTAATGAGAGCTGGACATAAGATGTCATCAGGCCTGCAGAGTGTTGATGATATTCTTTGTATAAAGGAGCTTTTTGGAAGAATTTCTGGTCTTCAGTTGGGAAAAACTACATGCAGGGGCTGTTGGCCAGACAAACGAAATATGTGTGTAAACCCCAAAGTTAGGGGAAATGATAGAATTAATGTGCATTGTTGGTGGGAGTTATTGAACTGAGGGCATAGATATAACTTTCTTAACATCAGTGGTGTAGTATTCATAAAGAAAGCTGACCCTACTCTTGAGGTCTTCTGTATTTCTTATTTTCTGAAAGGGGATTCATCAACTGTAGGTGCAAACATGATTTCAAACATTAATCCCAACGACTGGCTTTGATTTGTGGGCTGTGGCATATACCATCAATGTGTCTTTAGGTTTGCTGGTAATTTGCCACTGGAGTTAACCAGTGACTGATCAAGAGAGCTTCTCTCAATTTTTATAGATATAGAAATATAATCAATGGGTAAGATTCCTATAATGACAGAAGATACATTAGAGGTGAATGAAATTGCAAGCATATGATGTAACAAATAACTAATTAAAACAAGACTTCAGGTACTGAACTTGGCAAAAGGTTTAATTGTAACTCTCTAAAGTGATGCAGAGAGGGACTGTAGCCACAGATAGTGATGATTAAATCCATGGTGTAACAACTGAGTTGAGACGATCAGCGCCCTGGCGAGTTCTGGAAAATGTGCTTTAAGTTGACTTTAAATAGCCGCACATTGCAAAGCAGCATCTTGTCCACGGAGCAGGACTACCAGGTAATAGGATTGCTGGATTTAGCTCAGGTCACAGAGAAATAGCAAGAACATGTGACCTCTGATGCTGGATTTTAAACTGTAAATGCAGCAGGATCAGTCAACGTGTAGTACAGTGGACACGAGAGGTGTTAAAAGCTGCTTAGTTCAAGGATTTTTTCATTGTCTTTAGGCCAGATTCAGTAAAGAAGATAGTCCCATTTATCTGTTTTTGTTTAATTAAAAATTATACTTTAAAATATATTTTATATTTCTAAAATTGGAGTTTCAGGAAATTATATTTCAAAATGTATGCAGATATTTTTTGTCAATCATTGCACCCCTCATTTTTAAGGAACATAAGTGCAGGAAAATATTGTGTCATTGTTATTTTGTTGTTTGCCAGAATAATTCATCTAATCAAAATCAAGGTTACACAGCTGCTGGATCTCATGAAGCATTGCAACTTTTTGTTATTTGGCTCTGATAGTTTTTTGTCTATATTTCTCTTTGCAGGGGAAGAAAGCAGCTGGACGCTCTGGAAGTCGATCCAGCAATATCTCCAAGGTAACGCTCAAATGCTGGAGTTTAAAGGGCCAAAACCAGGATTACAACACATAGAATATTACATCTCTCTTTGATATTATAATACAGTAAGGTTGCTCTGAGTACCCATGTTGGAATGACTGAAGGGATTCTTAATTTAATTTCATGCATATATAAATTACATTTTCATCATAAACTAGGGATCAAACCACATTCCACGAAATGGATGTTCAATCATACCAAAAACCGCCAGGACATCTTTACGTCATGAGAAAAAAAAAAACTTACATGTGAAATTTGACCAACTAAAACTGTATTTAAAGGAGCTTATATGCTTTTTAGTCTCACAGAAATTATTCAAATTCCAATTTTTAAGTTGGACCAACAAAAAGAAAGAAGAACATAAGTTCTAAATCAAGGGTGTTTGTTGTTTTAGGCCAGCAATTCCACATCTGGACATACAACAGCTTCAAAGACATCCATAAGTCCATCTGCTCAGGACATATGCAGGTAAGGAAGGTCTTTTTTCAAGTTTTAAAGCGACTGTGAGGTTAGGTTAGTATTCCATGAAAACCTGCTCATATCAAATATCCAAAAAGATATTTTAGTTGAAGCTGAGAATAGCTGGAGCTCTCTGCGCTGTTGCAAAGCACAGTTTAAAGGTCTGCTCACCAGTGAGTGGGATGTTGAATTAGCATAGCCCGCTGCAATGTTTCAGGTCGCGCCAAACTGAAAATGAATGCTGGGATTTTATGATGTCCACACAGTGCAATAAGAATAAGCGATTGCAGAGAAAAAGATAATCATTCAACTTGTGAAGCATTAATGGTGTCTGTACTGCCCACAGACTCAGTACTTTGGTTTCAAGGTTTCATGAGGTACATGGACACATATTATGCGTGAGGGACTGAGCCTCCATTTGTCTTTTATCATCCTCAATGCATTTCATATTAAGTGAGAACTGTTGTCACTTACTCAGTTTTACATTATTCATCATCTGTTTGGGGGGGACAAGCAGTCATGGCTTATATTCTGTTTCCTCATTCAGCTGCACTATGAATGTTTTTTGCTTTTGTGAAAAATAACGAACACTCGCTAGATAATAAAGTATGGGGAAGTAGATTTATAGTACCACAAACTGTCACCACACTACAAAAGGAAAAGAAACAGGTTTAATAAGAATAGAAAAAAAACACACCAAAAAACATTCTTATTTTGTTTCCACAATGGCAAGAACAAGAGACTTCTTCGGTATATGAGATATTTGTGCCTCCTTTTAGGATGGACTTGGATAGAATCCTACTCAAGAATTCCAGCCACATCTTTCTATTCAGCAGTAGTAGATCTCATATTATTTGCTGCTTAACAGTTCTTGTGAAAAACATCTTGTTTTAGATTTACTGAGCTAATGGTGACAGTGTTGTAGAATAACTAAATGAAGTGCTTGCATAATTCACTTCATTTACAAGCAGCAAAGTCAATTTTTGTCATTTAGTGAAAAACATTCAAGTGCATCCAATCATGTTTTCTGTCATTCTTATTCATGTATCATCACAGTAAATTCCTTTCCATCTTGTTAAATCTATCTGTCCTCATTTCCATTTGTGTGTGTTTGTGTATGTGTTTTTAGTCCTAGACAGCTGACCCGTTTACAGGAGGATGCTTCTGAGTCACACAAACACAGCAAGCACACACACAATACCTCTGCAATGACAGTCACCAGCACAGGTCTGAGCTCCACAACTCAGGCCCAGAAAAAGCAGGTCAAGAGACGTCACAGACGCAAAAGGAGCAGCTGCACCACCTTTGACTGCGTAGAATCTAATGGCAAACAGGAACAGAGCGACCGCAGTCTCAGCTCTGACCGCAGTGAGCTTGGGGAGAAGAGGGAGCGCTCCTTCAGGAACCGCAGGGAGCTCCCTCCCCGACTCCGCCACTCAGGTGCCCCGCAGTCTGAGTCGTCCACTGAAGACGAGGCATGGCGTGAGGCCCGCAGCTGGAGCAAGGAGAAAGCTCGAAGGGCACGTCGCCGCAGCGTGAGCAGCCGAGAGAGGGACACAACGAATGGGTGCAAAGGAGAAGACAAGGCAGAGAAAATGGAACTGCAGTCAGTGGACTCAGATGAAGGAAAAGAGAATCAGCCTCTGGTGGAAGACGGTGGAGGCCTTAAGAAGCGTCATAACAATAGGAGCTCAGTGAAGAGAGACAGTGATTTTTCACACAGAGAAAGATCACGGAGCAGAGAAAAGGACAAGAAGAAATGTAAGTCACAGAGCCCTAAAGGCAGCTCTTCATTGGCAGAAGATGGTGAGGAGCTCATCACCAAGAAATACCAGGAGAAGGGCTCAGGAGGTGGGGACATGTCGGTGCCCACGGCACAGAAACACTGCAGTATGAACGGGGGCACAGCACAGCCCTGCTCAGATGATTCTGAGATGGAGGTCTGCAGGTTAGTTTCTGAGTACAAAACATGTAATATTATCAATCTCATCCCAAAATAACAGGAAAGAACAGGAGTAGTTTATCGGTACCGGTAGAAAAACCTTCATTATTCCTTCTGATTCATGTGTGTTTCTTCTATGTGTGAAGGATCTGCCACTGTGAGGGGGATGATGAGTGCCCACTGATAATGCCATGTCGCTGCACGGGGAGCCTGAGTTTTGTCCACCAGACATGTCTTAACCAGTGGATCAAATCCTCAGACACTCGCTGCTGTGAGCTCTGCAAATTTGACTTCATCATGGAGACGAAACTCAAACCTCTGAACAAGGTACATGGACATGTTTACTAAGAGTGAGAAACAGGAGTTCTGAACGGTTTATCATTTTTTGTCTCCATCCCTCTGTCTTTCAGTGGGAGAAGCTACACATGTCCAAGAGTGAGAGGAGAAAGATCTTCTGTTCAGTGTTGTTTCACCTCATAGCAATAGTGTGTATGTTGTGGTCTGTCCTCATACTGATCAAGAGAACCGTTGAGGAGATCAGACTTGGGAAGAACGGTCAGTACTTTTCTATATCCCCTTCTCACATACCAGAGACATTCAGAGTGATTTATAACCCTTAATAATTGTACGCTCTTATGGAAGACTGAAGCAGCTTAAAGGTACCCTGTGGTGTTTTTCTAACTGACTAACCTTAAACCATCATTGGGCTATCGCCACATTCTTTGTACAGTTTGTCACAACAGTGAATATCAACACTCTTTTGGTACTCCGATTGCAATCAATCAATAAATCAATCAGTTAAACTTTATTGTCAATGAATGTACTTTTCAGTATAACCCGTCTAAGATGAGGCAAAAAAACCAAACAACAAACAACATTAACATACAGGATTCGGGATGACAGGGGCGCAGCCCAACTGGAGGCGCGCCTTTTTTCAGATGCATGATAAAAGACAACATCAGGAGAGGAGTTGGGGGGAAGGGGGGAAAAAAGGCACACTGCCACGCCCCCTACTGGAGACATAACAATGATTTTTAAAAAACACCTCTGTACATGTATGCACAGATACAGAAAAATCACAACATCATTAACATGTGGGGAGGAAGGGATGGGGGGTTGGGAAGAAGGGGGCAAAGGTAACAGCGAGGTAGTGAGTCAAAGGGGGGTGCGTGGAGTCAGTAAATGTGTGTGTGTAAATGTAAGCAAGCGGGGAGGTCACTGCAGCTCACAGGCGTGATGGAATTGTGAAGCAGACACTCGGGAGGAGGGAGGGGCTGGGCTGGGCAGAGCGGCCATCTACAGTTTCATCCGGGGCAAAAGTTGCAGAGAAGCAGCTCCAACGCAGTCAACTCACACAAAGTTTGAGTCTGAGTGTTGATGTCTCAGAGCAGCGGCTCGATCAGAAACCTGCCACCAGTTACCGTCAGCTTCCGAATTTGACACAACGTTGCTACGTCCACCTTTGAAAACTGTGCAACTTCCTTCAAACATGCAATAGAGGGTTTGCATAGTGATTGCCTGAAAATCTGAAAGTTGTCTCTTGAGTCTTTCATTGACCTCAGCATCTGAAACGTGCAAGCTAATATATCTGATGAGGATGCATCCTCAACATCCTATTTTTAACGCTCTGCGTGTGGGATACTAGATGTGAGTAAGAGTCTTAAATACGCAAACCTGGTTCTGATTAACCTTTGACACAACAAGTTAAATATAGCTGGTGTTGATTGTTGATGATGTAGAATTAAAGACACACATAAGTCACAGCGCTTAAGAAGAGCCAAAGCCTAATGCAACTGTTTATCAGCTTCACCTCCAAGTAGATGTTAGAGGACATTATAAACTGTCCATTAGCAGTAGAGCTCATCTGGTCAGAACTCCACAGGGTGCCTGCAACCTTTCCACCTGTTGCTCTTTAGTTCTGTCTGACTCTGGCTGTGTGACTCTGAAGATGTGTTGTCTTTTGTAGTTGCTTTTTGTTTATGCGTTTCCTCTAAATCTTGTGAAATATGTGTGTAGCGTATTTCACTGTATACTGTATACAGTGCCAGTCAACAAAGGTCTGGACCTGCCTGTCCATGTGAGCTTTTTGACTGGTACTCTAGTGGTGGTCATCTATAGACTTTCATCTGCTCTGAAACAGAGGGAAGTTTAGATACTTGGTGTTTTTTAAGATTTATATACAAATAAATGTTTTGTCATTTTGACTAGTTTAAAGATAATTAATACATGGAAAAGCTTGAAGGCTGTCTTTTGAAATTATTCAACTGCATTATTAATGCTTTCAAAAGACCGATGGCATGATTTCTGAGGACCTAAGAGTTTTTGGAACTGAATATATTCAATATATAATACAATTAGTTGTAAAAGTGGACTTCATCAATCAGCTTTACCTTTAAACAAGAATGATGGTATGCATGTCAGAGCTGTGAGAAAACCTCCCCTGCTCTCAAAAAAATTTATTTATGCTCCTTCTCATCTGCAATTTAACAAGTTTATTAAGAGCAGCCTTCGTTGCAGATAAATTAAAGAGGAATAAAGCTTAAGATTTGGAATGACTGAGACATAATCCTGACATTAAATCAACAGAAACCCCAACAGGAGTAGAAGCTGCTTTTGGAGACTGAAGGTCCTTTGAGCTTATGCCAAAAACCAATCAGCTCCTCAAGTCATTAAAATTGAGAGATCACATCAGATACTGCAAATGAAGTATGTAATCTGCCACAGTTAAGATATATTGGGTTTCTTTAAACTTTTAAATTTTAGATTTTTTAAAATGTTTAGTGGGGTTGTTCTTTTAAGAGTTGTGTGCGAAATCTGATGTTGTATTTAGTCACATTAATGCAGGGATACTGAAAATTGTGTTGAGTTTACCATGCCGTGAAACACCGCAGCATCACAGTCACAGGTCACAGTTTTCTTAATATTTGGACCTAAATTTGTTCCTTACATCATTGCCAAATTGAACAAATAGATCCCTCACTGCATTAATGGTCGTGTTCTGTGTTGTGTGTTGTGGTGATAAATTAGGACATAAGACGCCGTCCAGTAAGCACACATAAATGTACACCCTGGATTATACAGTTGAACAGTTTGATTTAGACCGAAAACATAAAAAAACAAAAAAACACTCTTGATTGCAGACGAATTCCGAAGAGTTTCTCTTGTGAAGTACTATACGCCGCAGGGTAAGCACGGCTCTGCACACACCACCATCGTGACCCCTCCCGCCTTCTGCAGGTTGACCGACAGCCGGTGTGCTTCTGTGTGTCCTCAGGTGTGCTGGAGTGGCCCTTCTGGACCAAGCTCATTGTGGTGGCCATAGGCTTCACGGGGGGTCTCATCTTCATGTACATCCAGTGTAAAGTCTACCTGCAGCTGTGGCGCCGCCTTAAGGCTTTCAACCGCATCATCACCGTCCAAAACTGCCCAGAGAAAAACCTGCACACCCCACAGGCCTGCCCGAGCGCCCTCACCAACGGCAAGCACGAAACTGTGGAGGTCCCCGACACCCCGGCCCCCGCACCGGCCCCACAGGCTCAGGTAGACTCAGATATGTCTGTGGAGGCTGCAGTGGCTCCAGAGCAAAACCCCGTCTGAACGGTCCTCCCGAATGTTGACAATCACACCTACTCACCCAACAAACACCGGCCGGTGTGAGCAGGGTGGGATTTCACGTCTTGCAGGTTTTTCAGGTTCTGTTCCGCTTTGGTGCCGTTTGGAACTTGAGACTTAATGGACAGACAGGTTTAAAACACAAGAAGTGACACAGTCCTTCGGTAATTCAGGAAAAAAAAAAAGGCTGGTTAAGTTCACAAATTGTGAAGGAACGAAAGGAAAGCAGATGAGAAAATGCAACGTTGATAGGAAATAATGCCAGCAGCAAAGAACACTGTAACTGCGGGTAAGCGGTGTACTGATGCCATTTTATGTGTATGCACTTTGTAAACCTGCACTGACTAAAGATGTGGAAATCCATCAGAAGCTACTGTTTGATGGTCTCAGTATGCTTCAAACATCCCAATGCACAGTCATGAAACAGATTCAAATGCAGATATATTGTATTTGTTCAAAATTTCTCACTGGTTAAGCAGGACCTGATAGGAATCTGTGGTAAGAGGACACACCGAATGTCCTGTGCTGCTGTGTGTCGGCTTCCTCTTTGAAACCAACTGTGACACATTTTCAGAATACATGACCACAGTCACATCGGTTTCTTTTCCTGAGAAGAGCAACAAGTAACTGAAGACATCATATATCTGCTCTCTTTATATGCTTTAATGTATACTTGACTCAAATTGAGGTGTGGAGACATGACTGACTTACCTGCTAAGGTTGTATGGGATACATACCCTCTCCCTGAGAGCATTTCTGTCAGTGCAGACAAGTGAAAAGGTCCCTTTCTCACAGAACGAAAGATACCTAGTTTTTTTTTAAGGGTAACCCATACTTCTGAGGCTTTACAGACCACATGACTGAAGCATACTGAGGCCTGCACACCCTCTAGACAATCAGGTCATCATACACCAAAGAGTCAGGAACTATTTGTAGAGAGAGGAATTTAAACTAAATCTTTATCTCAGTATGAAATCTAAAATGTAATATTTTGAAAAAGCTGTTATCATCATAGGGACATTTGTTTAAAATGTTTGTTAAAATATGACATCGAGTAGTTTTTGATGTTTTGTTTTGACTGTGCAGCTGTACCTGATCTTTCTCAGATCAGTAATTTATGTTCATTTGACTAGAAGGTTCATGGTTGCCATTTGTTCATGTTTTTCATTAGATTAGAGCCGTGTTTCGTCTTGACTCAGATTACTTAAAGGGACAGTTGTTTATCTCTGTCCATTTTTCTACAGGTTTAATTAACCAGCATTGCTGATATGTCACATAATATACAGTTTCCTCTGTGTCTTAAGCTATCTTTGTGAAAACTATTTTTAGATCTTACTAGACACGACGAAAGTCACATACGATACATTTTTGTTTGTGGAATAAACAATGAATGTAGAAGCCCTGATGAGGCTGGTGTGCAGTCACTGACTCAACAATGTAACAGTTACAAGTTTGTAGTTTTACTTTCCAATCTCTGTGTATAGCACCACCCTCTGGTCAGTCTGGGAACAGCAGCATCCTCACACACTTCACAGTACAAAGTCTTTGCTGAAGGTCCGTCGATGTCGCGTCTCCACTGAGGCTCCAAACCAAATGACAGGCAGAGACGTGTCACTGAGATTCTGACATCTGCACCGTCTCTTTTTCTTGTTCATCATCTGATTCCTCTTCATCTTCGTCATGATCGCTGTCTGGCTCCTCTGTCTCGGCTGCTTCATTTTTTACATCAAGACCTTTATTTGACACCTTTCGCATTTTAATATTTGGAAGTTTCTTCAGGTCTCCGGTCCACTCCCTGACAAAACAAAGCAATTTTAACAAATATTTACACATCCATGCTCAAAATCTGATTTAAACTCACATTGGAGAATGTCTCTGTAAAGACATGGTATTCTTCAAAGAAGCAAATCTGGGAATTAAATGATTCACTTAACAGATGGGGAATAAAGTGAAACATTGTGAACCCCAATGGAATTTCTTGTGTTATTCCGCCGCCCTCTGCTGGAGTCAGTTGGGAATTGGAACTTGTGGTGTTTCAGCTGTACACTTACAGACATGTTTCATGCTTTTATCCAACTTTCACCTCGTATGGTTTCATGCAATTTATTCCCCCGTTCTTCACATAGAACATTTTAAACTGACATTTGTGGGGGAATATAAACGTAGTTCTACAGCTAACAGCTAAATGTCATTCTGCTCAACAATAGGAAATGAAACACCACTTCACACACCGAGTGCAGAGTTTGAAACTGACCTGAATGTCTTCAGATGCTTTGCATTGATGATATCTGGGATCTCTGTGAGAAAGACACAGCGTAAAGACAAAAAGTAATTCTCTGCTTTTGAATGTGTGTGTGCACAGCATATCTGAGACAGCAGAAGAAGAGGACTCACCTAAGCCCACACTCTCGTACTGCATCCGCTCTCTCTCTATCGTCTGTTTGATGACAGCCTCTCTGGCGCCGTGGAGACGTCCTTGCCGACCCTTGATCCCATTCATCAACTCAATCTGCTCAAGTTCTGCATCAAATCTGTGGAGGTAGCTGAACATGTGCACAAAAAACGACGTATCAGCCAAAGGGACAATCGTTTACCCTCCCTGTGGGAAATGGTTCTTGGAGCCCTTCTTACTGCTTTCACTTTAAAAATGATGACTACTAAAAAGTAACACACAAAATGCTGCAAACCTTTCAATAACGGCGCAGGCATCCTTCCGCATGTAATTAGTCCTTGTTGGATCCAACTCATTCTGAAACCACAACAGCTTCTCACCTTTGATTTGACAACAAAACACAGGATTAGAAGATTTACCTTTGGCAAACTTCAGAACATAAATGAGGGATGAGGGTGCTGACCAATGTTGCTGAGTCGGGTTGCTTTCTCAGTCTTCTGCCTAAAAAAATCAATTAGCCAGTAAATTCAAAGATGTCTAAACACAGGCCAGCAGCATTTCAAATGGTTAACCAAACCACTTTCAAGAGAAATAAAAAAACAACAACAGGGTAGGCTTTCCTATTTGAATCTTTACTTAGCATTTCTGGATAAAACTTTATAACATTAAGTTCTTGAACTTCAATGTACCCAAAATAGTTTATTACTAAAAATTAATTAAATTGTTATACTAAAACAACCATAAACCTTGTTTTTTATATTATCAAAATACAAACCTGTCTTTCTTTTTAAGTCTTATTTCCTCTCTTGCCAGGTATGCAGCCTTCCTGCTGTACGGATGAACAACTTTCTCTTTTGGCTTCTGAGTCTTCGGCTGGAAAATGTAGACACAAAAAGACAGCTGCAGTTTATATCTGATCAAAATAATTAGCTAAAGAGGTTACATGTGATGTGAAGAGTCTTACCATCTTGACTACGCAGCAAACACGCGTGGAAGAGCTCTGTTGACAACTAAACCGGAAACGGTCCGTCAGGTAATTGTGTCCGGAAATGTAGCAAGGCCAAACATAGCAAAGCTTCCTCTTTCCCAATAAGCCGAACAGTTTTACCTGTGTTTAAGTCTTTTTTTTTTATTCCTTCCCTGAGGCCTCTTTGTCGAACAAAAAAGTTTACGCATTATAGTAAAAGAGCCGAGCATAATTTCTTTCGGTGAGGTAATAATGCACCATGCTGTGGATCAATCCTTTCTTATTTTCACAAGATTTGCTCGTATTCCCAATGTTCCGTATTTTATATTGTTTACCTTGCCTTTTTATTGTTAGGCACGTGTTTTCGTAATTTTAAACCACTCTTCATGTCTCTGAATCTGAGCATGTCTCCTAATTTTGATGCTTCAGCAGTCCAGCTATTGATGGACCACTTAAGCACCAGGCTATTGAGCAAATGGCGAAATTATGTATTTTGAGAAAATCAAAGTTGGCAGCTACGAGGCCACATGCAGCAGAGGAAGCTCGAGCACTTTTGTAGTTGGAGACCTGATTTGCTTGTCTGTAAAGCACATCCCCTCTGTTGTATTGGTAGACTAATGTTGACTTACAGGAGAAAAGAAAACACTTTTAACTGTCTCTTTGGAAAGGCAAAGTTAGTCACGTGGACACTAGAACATTGCCAAATGGCACCTTTTCCAAACCAGGAGGGAACTTTGTGTCTGAGCCATTTAGCTGAGCGGGGCCTCCTCACTCTCTGCTTTCCCCCTGCTGAGCCAGTTATGAGAGGAACCGCTAAAAAGATAAATTAGATCAACTTTACTAATCGCCATCGGATGGGAAAATATTACATTTTCTCTTTTTACTCAAAAAGATGACAACAAATAGGCTGCAATTACAGCTGGAAAAACATAATAAATATCAAATATACAGTCAATCAAATCTGAGGACATTATAACCATTCATTTTAGGCCATTTTTTGCTAGAAAGTTTTGCTTCAGGCACTCAAATAGACTTGAAATTAAACATATTTTAATTTAAAACAGAATATGTTGCCTAAGTGCAGCACCTTTGTTTTTTAGACGGCAAAATAAAAAAATGACAGTAGTTTGACAGAAACCTGTAAGAGCGCATTTGTTTATGAAGTTTGCGAGTTAAATGGGACGGAAAAATGATCTTTTTTTTAGATTTAAGATAAGCAGGTGCACTTAGAGAAGGATACTCATCAATCCAGTTCACACTTGTCCAGAGAGACCAGTTGAGACCAGTCGGGCTCCTCCTGTCTTGCTTAGATTTCTCACTCATTTGTTAGAGATCACACATGGCATGAGACACAGGAAGCCTAATGAATCTGCTCTGAAGACTTAATTTGGCCCCAAATGTTTTTATTGCTGCATCAGTCATTAAAGCAGTTTGCTGCAAAAGTAGACGGAAGTGAGGGTTTTTTGTAATTTAATTCAGTTTTACTTAAACAGTGCCAGCTCACTGTGACAGTGATCACAGGACGCTTTGCAGAGAAAGAAAACATGTCCAATTCAATACAATCCGATTAAATCCAATTTCACTTGGTATAATTTTATTCATAAATTGCCTATTCGTAAATTGTTGTCTGGATAAGGGAATCAACTAATCTCATTACATCTTCTATTCAATCAAATCATCATCCTGAGCATACATGAAGCTTAAATCAAATGTTGAGATAGATAACAGGTTGAAGAAAGGTGTTCATCGGACGGCCAACCTATCTCTAAAAGAAAAAATAAGAGTTTACATGGGGATGTTTCTATTGTCAAACTGGATGTATGCGTATATTTATAAAACAGGGTTTTAGTTAATTTTTTACTTCAATGCAGAGAACAATTTGCTATCGTAAAGAATAATTGAATAGTTTAGGTATTTAAACCTTTAACCACACTGTCTTTTGCACACAAATCAATTTACACAAACAGGAAGAAAAAAGCCGAATAGGTTTAGTTATTCACAGGAGAAATCAATGTGTTACTGGGTGACCAACAAAAAGTATTTGCTGTTTCAAGGCAGCTGAGTGAGACATAGCCAGGACACAGCGGGTAAATGTTAGCTGCAATCAACTGAAAAAAAACAAGCTGAAATTTGGTCAGTACCAATGTTGGACCGTTGTGTTTGTGCATTGTCGCAGGTCACACCAACAGAGGCTCTACACGTCCAGCTGGACTGACCAGACCCACTGAACAGAGCAACTGAACCACAAATGAAAGACACTTGATTTTCCCTCTGTAAAAAAATTTGATTTGATTAAACAAATAGATTTCGACCACTCTACACTTTCATCCGACCCTCCCAATGAAAGATCAACTAACTTTAATATTAAAACTGAAATTAAAGTTGTCGTTGAATATTTCATAAGTAGAATCAGTCTGAGATATACAACCTGTGAGCAAAAAGTAAGAGAGTTAATTCCATTCAATTTAATTATCAATATCTGAACATTAAATTTTTTTTTCAATTGAGGGATGTTTATTAAAAAGATAAACTGGCCACTTCTGAAAGTTTGAACTGAACAAAGAATAACTGCTGGTAAGGGGAGGGTTTTTTTTTAGATTGTCTTTTTTCAAATATTGTACCATTTCATTCATTTGTGGTTGCTTTATGTTTAAAGATGTGTCTTTTATGTCAAAAGTACATTCAAATTTAAAGGCTGATGTGCTTTTCTTGAGTAATATCTGTAATGTTATAAATGGTAACTGTTGGAGGTGTTGTGCAGTGGAACTTTGTTCTGGATATAAAGTCGAATATTTAAGTGCAGATGACTAGCTCAAAGAAAATCAAGTGTGTGTTCACAAAATGTAATTATAGCTTCAACAGGCTAACTCAGATCATATGATCCGGTTAAACAAATAGGGGTAGCAGTCATGGGCATCGAAATCCCCTAAAGTCCTTTATCTTAATCACAGATGAGCAACATAGACTCTTCAGAAACACAAAGTTAGCTTTGGTTTTCTCCAAGCTAAAAATATTTTGGTTTCTCAAAATAGTCATCATTTTCAATCAATCTCTTTTGTACAATTTCCAACAGCCATTCCTCAGAGGAAACATTTCATGCAAGATTAGACAGTTGTCTGAGTTGTTTTAATCGTTTAAAATGACTTTAATGTGACTTTTTTTTTCTATGAACAGAGATGTGCAAGACTTCAACGACTTATTGAAGACATTTTTGTCATTTTAAACATTGTGAACTTTTACAAATATGCACTCACGGTTCAGTTTTCATGATTGATACAGACTTATTGATCAGTAAGAAGCATTTCAACATAAAATTTTGGATTTCTAGGTTGTGCCTTTGTCGGACCATTTCATTGCCTAAATTGAAAATGTATTTTACAATTATAACTATTTCTAACTGCACATTCAGTAGTTAACTAATTTCCTTCTCATAATTATTATAGCCTATTACCAAATGGAAAAGTCAGTCATCCACTAAAATGAGGACTTTCCATGTCAAAGTTTGTTTTTATTTTCCTTAAATCATGTCTACAACAATCATGAATTTTTCATTCACCGCTTATCATTTATGTCTCTATCTAAGGTGGCGTGTGTAGAAAGGGTGCTTTCTTGGAGGCATCAGTTAGTTTTTAGCTCCAGCAGCACCACAGAAGGTAAATTTGGAGAACCGTGAACCTCTGCACTTTCATTGTCAGTATACAAAATGTCTGTTTGTCCAGTCCTTTTTTAATGTTCAGATCTAGATTACCAAATATACTGCTCCCATCAGACTCAGCTCGACTTGTACATGTTTGGTAATCTAAGACGGGGAATGTGGTTTGTTCTCATTTCTTCCAATAGTCTCTCTTCACTTCATTTGAAATTCTCACCGGCTTTCACAGGAAATCCCTTTTTTTTCTTCTACTCTCTATGTGCATATAAGCGGAACAGCTGATGAATACCTCAGAAATCGGCCTTCATGTTGAAACACGACCCCAACTTGTCTCCAACATGCGGTGAGAAAGCATTGTAGGCTTTTTTTGAAAGTAGGCCACCATCATAAAAGGAGCCAGCCCAGAGATAATCATAGCAGCATGACCCTCGGATTCATGATCACTAATTTACCACACAGTGTGGCTGAGGATCCTGCACGAGTTCATCTCAGAAGCCGGATGGCCGCTCCAGCACACGGCGAACCCGGGGCCGTGGACAGAGTTACGCTATGTGGATGACAGGAGACACCTGACCAGCGGGCGGTAAGCGTATATTCTTTAGGAAGAGTTTCCCCTTCCTCAAACTTTACTCAGCTTCTCTCTCTCTCTGTCTCTCTCTCTGTCTGTGGGCTGCATGCTTAACCGGCAGGAATGTGACTGCACTGCTGCTGAGGACCTGACAGACTTGTAGCAACAAGCGCACAGATGATTGCATCACAGCCAAGTGATTTTCTTGAGTGAGTCTGTGGGTGTGTGTGTGGGGCAGGGCTTTTTTTAAAAGTCAGTTTAGTCAGATCAGGAAGTGTGATGCTGTGACAAAACAGCGGGAAGTTGTCTCACAATGGCTCGGCGTCTGCCCGTTTGCGTGGCACCATGAGAGGCCGGCGGCTGAAGACCCTTCTGCTGCTGCTGCTGCTGGGCAGCCTGACCGGGACAGGTGAGGCCAGGAGCCATCCTTTACTTTCTTTACTTTCTGAAGTTGTGACACAACCGCTCCGTCCCCGTCTCCTGCCTCCACCCTACTTTTAACCTTTTGTGCTTCACTCTGTTCTCTGGCTCTCTGTGGCTGGATCACCGCTTGGTAGAGTTATAGAGTTTTAATTGTTATAAGATTAGAAGCGTTTAGGACTTGGGTTTCTGTTTTAACATCAAAAGATGTGGAACACATTAAAATGGGTTCCACTTCTGCTTTCCTTCCAGTCAAAACTTTACAATAAAAAGGAATTAAACCCTGTTCTTTTATTCTGTTTTTTCACTGCATAAGTGCAAAAGTTTAGAATTTGTTAAAACTAATATCTGTCATAAGATCAGTGAACTCTCCATGACTCACATCTGTGGGGAAATTATTCATCATGTCCACCTTTCGGTTCTCTCAAGAGTCTGTTTTTTTTGTGTGTGTGTCTTGTAACAGTTTGCAGATGAAGACGGAAGTTTGAGATTTCTGTTTAATCTGATTTAATGTTTAGCCTCTGGTGGTGTTCTGATGCCCACATAGTTGTTTACGTATTTTATTTCCAGTATGAATATTGTATACATTTTCAATGTATTTCATTCAGACTTACACTCTTTAAAATAAATAAATAAATAAATTGGAGTTACACCCCAAAATAATATGGTGTTGTTTTGTAGCATTTTGCCAAGAAGAAGAGCCCGCTGAAGATTCAGAACCTGATGATGAACAATCGATTGTGAACACAGGTACGAACTGGAACAGGAAATGCATTGGTGAAGAAAAATGTACTTACAAATCTTGAAATCTTTCAAATGAAAGACAGCTGTAGTAACAAACAGAAGAGTCCCCAGAAGCTCCATTAAATACTTAACAGAAATGTTTAACTTCTTTATCTGTTGTTTTTTGGGGAAATAAGTCAGAAAGTATATGAACTACATGCATATGTATATACCAAAAGCATGTAATGGCCCATATAGTTTTTTCCATATTTATGTGGTGGAATTGAAAAAAAAGGATGCTCATTATTAGTTGAATCTTCTATTTAAACTATTCTGATACTATCACTATATTTTGTTCATGTTTTGTTGTCACGATGGAGAAAGGTTTACATTTCCTCTTGCATCAACCTGATTTATCATTTCTATTTCTATTTGTTTTTCAGCGTGTAATGTCAGTTGCATTTCTGGGTAGGAATTAGTCACATAAAAACGTATCAAAACCGTGGTTTGGATATATACAGTATTTAAAAACCCTTTTCCTTTTTTATCCACTTACTTTTTGTTGTCTGATTAGAACCAGTCTGAAAAACATTCATTCAATGGTTGTCATTCCTTTCAGACGATGTCCCAGAAACTACTTCTCCCACAGACCCCTGGATAAACCCAGATACATCCTTCGCAGAAGAAGAAGACGGTGGTTCAGGTCGCATCTTTGACAGTGGTACGTTGGTCAAGCTGTGGCACATACAGATTTTGTGCAATAATTAAAAACAACAAACAAACAGCAACAATCTGTGTCATATGACAATCGTGATGTAACAGGTTACAATGCACAATTAAGATTTTCAATCTTTGATTTGCTGCTGCGCCCCTGCAGAAAATTCAACAAACCCATATGAGCTGTCCTCCAGCCCTGGGCCACCCGGGGAGGCTTTGGATCTGACCATCATCCTGATTCCTGTAGTTCTTGTGATTATGATTATCATCATGACAGTTTGTGGGATCTTCATTAGCCGCAGGTGGAACAACAAATTAACAAATCAAGGTACATTTTCAAAGACATAGTTAGAAACTACGACGAAAACTAATTATAAACGCAACCTTTGTTTCAAATGAATTATGATGTTTGTGTCCCAACAGTTAGAGTTAGATACTGCGAGATACGGTGAAACAGTTACAACCAGGCCGCTTGCTTCTCTGACCCAGTAAAACGATGTGAAATAAACACATTGAGAGTACATGTGTGACATGAATCTTATTTGAACAACTGCATGTGTAACAAATGTAACATTGTCCTCTACTTTTCTTTCATCTCAGATTCAACCAAAGATGATCCATATTTGGATGGGTCCAGCACAGAGAAGGTGCCAATGTAAGTTTGAATCGAATAAAAAAATTAGAAATGCTCTGACAAACCTTTGGCAATTATGTATTAAAAATGTATCCATCTTATTTTCTAAATTTGTGTAACATATACTTAAAATCCCAGTTGTGTATGTCTGTCGTCGATCTTACCCCTCACAACAGACACATGTCAAACCATAAGTTTGTTTTTAACTTCTTTAACTTCTTCTGAGACATTTGTGTGTGTTTTCCAGGCCAATGTTTGAGGAAGATGTGCCCTCTGTACTGGAGCTGGAAATGGAAGAGTTGGATCAGTGGATGAAAAAAGATAGTAGGTTTCTCTGAGCAATAAGCAAAAAAATGATCTTGAAAAAGTTTAACCAGTTTGAATATTATGCAACTAATTCTGTAATAATGTGCAAAACACACATTTACTAATTCATCTGGACCTAAAAGAAACACAGATTGATGCACAGTATCTTTAATCGCAATTTTTTGTCCTTCTCTGCTGTGGAATATTACTGAAAACCAACCAAATCAACAAGTTATTACCACATAATTTACTTGGCTACCATTTTAGTTTTAGCCTTATTGATGTAAAAAGATGTAAAAGAATGCAGTCAAAAGAATGAAGTTAAGAATGAAGTTTTTTTTTTAAAGCAAAGGCTTGAACTTGCAGTTCTTGTGGCTCTTTGCATTTCCTGGTTGACTGTGGTTTCTGCCATTATTCATAATCAGCGCTCTGATGTTCTGTTCACAGCATTTCAGCTACCCTGAGATCGGCGCTTTGTTGTACTGCGGCAGCTTGATCCCTTTTCCTTTTCAAGACATTCTGCTCATATGCTGTGTTTGTTTTCACTAAACACGGAGCTGCCCATGATCACCCAACAGGCAGACATGTCTTCTGCTTGTGTTGAACTTTGGTCAGATCCAGCTTTGCAAGGCAAAGCTTTGCTGCCATTTTCTTCGTAGAAAGAGGAGTCTTTCCAAAGCTTCCAGACACGTCACGCATGGTCATTTCCTGTCCGTACTGTCACAAACTTTAACATTTGACACGCTAACAGAGGCCTGCACAGTCGAAGAGGACATCCACTCCTCCACATCCACTCCTCTGAAGACGGTCGATTGTGTCCTTGGATTTCTGTGTGTCAGTAATCATTCCACAGTAGGCTGATATTTCCCATTTGGAAATGCTTTTATTTATCTTTGCAGCATAATGGGTGGCAGCAGATTAGATCTTCCTCTAAGATAAAAGCAGATTTTTTTCCATCCTTGGCAATGTACGAACACACACCTGAATGGTCTGGACCAGCAGACCTTTTCAGTTGGATCAATTAATATCTCAAAAATCACATTTAATTAGCAGCTTCTGGATGCTACCGACCTCTCGCATAAGCAGCGCACCTGAACTAAATATCTATGTAATAGATGAATAGAAAATGTGTCTTGTGTTGTTGTTTTTTTATCTGAGCTGGTGCCCACACATAATGTGAGAATGCCTTGAATTTTGTCCTTGTACTTTTTTAATTCTATCCAAGTTCTATCCACTTTGAAAGATTTTCCAGCAGAGGGTGATGTTGTTCAATATAAGGATGCTCCTGTGGCAAGGCTCCGCTTTTGCTTTATTACTTATATGCAAACTATGTTTCTATTTTTGTAATTTATTCATTTATGCTGAGTACACTGAAGATGACTTTAGACATTTCAAATGATTATGCCGATGTTTAGATGTACATACTGATGTAAAGGTTTTTGCTTCAGTGAACTCAGCAGAGTGATAATCATATCACTGTGCCAAGATTGTATTTTTTTAAATGTTAATGCATGTTTAAAGGTGTTTTCACATGGAACGTGTAAGATGTTTACTTTTTCATACATTCTGAAAGTCTGAGTCAGAGCTAGTTTCGGTAAAACTGTGGGTTAAGACAGGTTTTATAACATGTCACTGTCTGATTGCATCTTCCTTTTCATAACCGGTCTCAAAAGAACACAGTCATATGAATATCAACATACTCATGGTGTCACAACCAAATTCCTTTTGACAAATTGCTAACGGTTTCTTACTCAATAATGCGAACACAACGCAGATGATCAACCTCACTTGGGCAATAAGCTGTCCTTTCAAACAATTTCCCTTTTTCTTGCCAACTTCTGTGTGTTGTTATTCACCAGCTGGTTTCAGTGTAGCTGGGCCTGACAGACTGAGGAAACTTTAGTCATCAGGCGTGTTGTCTGACGGCGCAAACTCCCTCAACATCTGCGGGTGATTAGGACAGGCATGCATGGAAGTGTGGGGCAACTTAACCCTGGGCTAGCGTCCTTTACTGGAAAGGCTGGGAAGGCGAGATCAAGGTCCGCTTCACTGGCAGTTTATCAACGCCATTTACACAGCGCCTTTTCTCAGGGTCTTACTCCCTAAGCTGGACAAAGGCTAGAGGTTTCTTTTATCTAGCAGGGAGGCACTAAATACACACTGGATTATTCTCAGAACATAAGTGTGGTGGTACTGTTACTGCGTTTGCACAACATGATGCCATGTTCTGCAGCAGCTGTGGACAGTTTGTTTGTCCTGTCAAACTCCAATAGTGCCTCTGAATAGGAAGATAAAGCATGCCCAATGCTGTTGACACTGGATTTAAAAGGAAAACATACTCCTTTTCTTCCATCCGGAAGGAATTGAACAACCATGCTGCTCAAAATGAAAATAATTTACACTTATTATAGTTTGCTGAAATTCGTACACTGATGATGACCGGATCCTGGCTTCTTTTGTATGGTCTCTGACGTGTGTTCTGGTAGAGAATTTAAGATACGACACATTAAACAAGCAGAAAGCAACATTCAAATCTTGAGTCGTGTCCACCTGATGAGCATAGTATCCATTATCTAAATCGTATTTTACTGTGAGTATTTTTAAATAGCTCGCTGAATGGCTGAGCTGCCTGTGTGTTGCCACACTTGTGTGCCTGGCCCTCGCTGTGCACACACTGCATGTTAGCTCAGCTTGACAGGGACCGGAGGTGAACAGGTAGGTTTGGTAGCGGTCAGTTTTAGATTGTCCTGACTGCTTAATAAACTGCTCAGCTGAACTTTAACTTTAGTCCAAAAATGCATCACTTAAGCTAAAATTATGCCAGAATCTGACATGTCTGCATTTGTTATTGTCAGCGATCCATGAGTATGTTGATAATAACAGTAGCTACCAGGTGGCAAATAATTGTATTATGCCTGACTGTCTTCCTTAAAGCATGTTTTTGCATATTTGTTCATGCAATTATGATACAGAGCATTACAATAAAGAATGTGTGACCTCTAGTGGTCATCAGACCAACTGCATGAGTAGGATTTTGTCCTGGTTGGTATTTCAGAACACTTCTGGGCCCTATGCAATGTCCCACATGACTAAATGAATCTGTCTTGAAACAACAGATATTCATGCAGAATCATAGAGATAGAATCAGATAAATACAAGCAGGACACATTCTTACAGGTGGTCCAGCGTATTATTTTTGTGTCTAACAAACTCCTATTATGAGCAATTGTTTTAAATGATAATCAAAAGATTGACAACTATCAAAATGAGAAGCATTTATAAAGATAAAAACCTAAATATTCTGAGAAATTGCAAAAAACTTACTGCAAGTGTGTTAAACAACAGCTTTTACAGATCACCAGCATGGGACATGAACATTGGTATTATTGACTGTGGAAACGACCAAGTATAATGTACCAGGTATAATTTCATGTAATAGTTTTATCTTTACTTTCTCAGGGCAAACAAAGACAGTACAGGACATTTTTTAAAATCAGATATTTTCATTAAGTTTTGAGTTCTTCACATATAACAACACATATACATACATTGTTATATATCATTCATTTTTTAGAGTAATTAAAAATAAAAATTAACGTAAACACCCCAGGAAATGTTTTAAATAAAATATATTCTTTGTGGTTCAGACCTTCAAATGTGACTGCAATCATGATGACAAAAAAAGGATTAACTTGCTTGACGTTTTTGGGATCCAAACCTTTTCGTATATTTTTTCTTATCCTTTTTTGATCAACCTTATAATCTAATAGTAATCCGCCACACTGACTTTCTTTTAATATTGACAGGTAAATATGAAAACGGCTAAAGTGACTTCTAAAGTCTGTCCATTAAACTCATACTGTCACATCTCTGCAGGTTGAAGGATGCTCCCGTTTTTGTGGAAGGATGGGCGACAATTCAGAGCTGCCCGCTCTGATGTTCTGACTGCTCTCCAAAGGGTCAGCAACACATACAAGCAGAGGAGTTTATCTAGTGTCTGGAACCAATACAGACAAGACACCTGGAAGCATTATACTCATATCTATATGATAAAAACAAGAAATCTTTTTCTTGGAGCTTTCAAGAAAAGCTTCAATATTCAGTGAATAGCAACAAGCCACATGCCAAGTTATTCTTCATGTTACAATTGAGACTTGATGCACGTAGGTTTTCATTCCACTTTTGGCTTGAAAGTCTTGGCTCTAAGCAGGTATAGTGCTGAAATAATATGAAGTCATTCATTGTCAGTCATGATGTGCAGGATTTTTTATTGGAAGTATCTGAATTATGAAAGATATCATTTGTAAATACTTTTATATCTTTGAATAGTACATAAATATAGAATATGATTATGTGTCTTGGATCAAAATTTGAATAAAACTTTGCTGAAATGGTGCTGTTGTCTCTATTTATTTTCTACTGGATCAGTTTCAGTCAGATTCAGAGGACACACCCAACCCACTTGAGCTTAGTTAAGCAATTATTTACCTAGTTGACTGGCATTACATTTTTACTGGCAACATCTGATGTCCTCAAATGATGAACACATAAAACTTGTCAAATGATATGCCATAACTCAAACTTGGTCTCACATACAGCAGACTCAATTACACTCTCTATCACACAGTCACACACTAACTATGATACTCTCTAACACGCCTCACACACATTACATAAGATTGGTGTTAACAGTATGACTGCATTTGTGAGAAAACATAAATTATTCCCTGCGAGATTATCCTTGGAAAAATATTTTGACCCGGTCAGGGGTTTGTACTGAATAATTAGTGGACATGTGTCTGCAACAAATTACCGTGCTGTAATAGTGTAGTAAGAAGACACAGTTTCATTTGAGTTTAGCAGATTAATTGCTCGTTAGGTTGATTGAAAGCAGGTCCGTTGGTCCTCAGTCTTCGTCGTAGACTTCGAGCCCTCAGAGCTTTTAAGGCCTCATCTCTGAGCCCCCAAACAGCTGGGCTATTTCATCCGCATCCTGTTCTCCCGCAGCCCTGAACAGTTCCTACAGCAATTCATGCTGCTGAAAACTTTTCCCTGAGCCGGCCTTCCTGCTCCTCCTCTCAGCCAGACCCCAAAGCGAGGAATGGCCCGCCAACGTGGAGGAAGACGGCGATGCCAAGTAAGAATCCGTCCAGAAAGACAAAGGAAACAGCAGCTAGCCCAGGTTGAACCCTGTGTAAAAGAGAGCAAGGATTTCAGGTCAGTCTGCTTGAGTCTGATATGACAAAAAGCAGCACAAGACTGTGATTTCAATTCTGTGGCTGTCAGGCGTTTCAGGACCACACCAGAGCCATTAGCTTGTGCCTCTTAACCAACAAAAAATACCTGAAAAATGTCGTTTGACTTTTGGGAGGCCATCATTATATCTTAGAAATTTAGAAAAAGGTGTATATATATCATCTACATTTCTCTTTTTCAGCATTTCTGTTTGAATATCATTTGCTTAAATTTAGATATATTATACTAGTTTAAAGATATTTTATCTGTAAACCTTTTAGGTTAATGTGAGATAGCTCATGTGTCCGAGTTCGTCATATCTCAAATTTAATATCAACCTGAATCCAAATTGACTGTTTAGCCCTTTGAGCTCTGAAGGTCTGATTTACATTTAGGAAAGCTGATGAGATTCAAACCAGAACAAGGAATGACACTGTCTGCATTTTCTCTTTTTCACTCAATTTCCTGTTTAATTTCGGAGGACCACATTTTCACTTTTACTACTGGTGATAATACAATGTTGCCATTTTGCTACACCAAGAGGAAATGCTAAATTTCATATTCATGAGCTATCTCAAGCTTCTTGCAACATTTTCAACTTTTCCTGACAGTGTCAGAGCTATAAAGGGTCTTATCAAAGAGCCTTTGTAATAATCTTTTCAAACTATGAACTTATATCAAGATATGTTTCAAAAGCTAAAGTACTAACTTGCTATAAACTATGCAAACCACAGGAACACTGCACAGATCTTTTTCAGAAAAGAATGTGTAAAGAGATAACT